CGTCGAGATTTTGCTCTCGGGTCAGGTTTGTGACCGCCGCGTTGATGCGACGGCCGAGATCTTGAAGAACCATGGTGATTTGATGCGACTTTGATGTCGCGGGGTATCTTGAAGATGAGAGTGGCCAGACAGGATATAGGTGGGGTTGGGTTTTTCCGGTCCGGCATACACCCGAGCTAACTTAGAGCTAAGGTTGGAGGCTGTCTTATCACGCGAATAATTACCTTTCGGGGCAGTTCTAGCCTGTGAAGATACGGATGGGTATATAAGGTCCAATTGTACTGTAGGTATTGTAATCTCGTCAAAACAGTGAAACAAAATGGGCCGTCATAATCTTCAGTACCCCAAAGACTCGACAAATACCATCAAACGGTACAAGGTCCACGGGGTTTACGACCTCGAGACTGTCCATAGTATCGTCAATACATGTCCGATTCTTCATGTATCGTTTAATACGCCTTCTCAGCCGTTTCCGGTTGTTCTGCCGATGATAGGACAGCTGGGGTCGTTTGATCGGCCGAGTTCAAGTCTGCGAGATCCTCTGGAACTGTATCTTCACGGATATGTGTCGTCGAGGATCATGAACCTGGCTCAGACATCTACTGTTGATGGCGAAGAGATTCAGGGAATGCCAGTTTGCGTTGCTGCGTCTCACGTTGATGGACTCGTCTTGACTCTGGCGACGTATTCGCATAATTACAACTATCGGTCTGCTGTGATCTACGGCTACGCGACTACTGTCAAATCAGATGAAGAAAAGCTGTATGCGATGGAACTCATCAGCAATAGTGTTGTGGCTGATCGTTGGAACCATACACGACAGCCTCCGTTGGCATCAGAGATGCAGAGCACGAATATACTCAAGATCAAGATCACGTCGGCAAGTGCCAAGATCAGTGCGGGATCAACAACGGATGATAAGAGTGACTTGGAGAATGAGAGTCTGGTGAATTCGACGTGGACGGGTGTGTTGCCTGTGTATCAGACGATCGGGGAGCCGATTCCGGGTCCGTACAACAAGGTGGAAGTGCCTGAGCATGTTGCGAGTTATGTAAAGGATACAAATGATGAGAAGAAGCAGAGATCATTGGATGCAGCAAAGGGTGAAAGGAGGGCGACTTGATGGATGTTGTATTTGATTGGGTGTTTGTACTTGATTCGATTGATGTTTGCAATTCAATGATTCGTACCTGACTGTTTGTCTATTCATCCTTTAACATAACCGACAGCATCATGCATTCAAACGAGTTGCTTATGTTGAGGATCGGTTGCTGACGGCGATCTCGCATTCGTCGTATTCCGTGTCGACAGCCATGAACCCGAGCAATACGGCGTCGATGTGCATTTCACCAACAACCACTGAACTCAAACATTGCTCAATTATTTAAATGACACTCCCAGCCATGGCGACTCCATCTATGCCACGCAGCAATCATGAAGCCCCTCACATTGTCACGACTCTTGCTCCCATACGTCGGGGCTGAAACTCCAACAGCTACCCTCGACTCAGGTCCAATATTTGGTCTCACCACAACTCTTCCAGCTGCCTCGCCTGTGAACAAGTTTCTTGGCATTCCTTATGCCGCCAAACCGCAGCGATTCAGCCGCGCAACGGAGCCTGAGCCATGGACGAAGTCATTGAATGCGACCAGGTTTGGTCCTTCATGCAGGCAACTATTTGTCCAGAGTGGTGAGTTATCTACAATGAATGGAATGAAGCTAACATTGTAGAACTCACTCCGGAGATTGATCTACTCAAAGGACTGTTCAATACAGCATCCCGCGAAAGTGAAGACTGTCTCTTCATCAATGCTTTCGCTCCAGCAGATGCTCACTCAAAGGCTGTGCTCTTGTTCATCAGCGGCGGTGGATGGCAGCAGGGGAACGGTGAAATTGATCTAAGCGGTTTCGCGGCGTATGAGGATATCGTCGTCTTCACATTCAACTACAGAACAAATGGTGAGTCGCTGATTCACTGAAACGTGTGAGATCCCTCCGGGGGCTCCTGGCGGAGGGCTCTTCCTCGCTGCGCTCGTACTTTGAGTCTTGCTAACGAGACAGTCTTTGGGTTCCCAAACTCTCCAGACATACCAGTTTCGGAGACCAACCTCGGTATCTATGATCAACAACTCGCCATCGAATGGGTTCAACGGAATGCTCGCGCTTTTGGTGGTGATCCAGACAAAGTCACTATCTGGGGTGAATCTGCCGGCGCCATGTCTGTTGATATTCATGTCAGCAGAAATATATCTTCATTCCGTGCCGCAATGATGTTTTCTGGTCAGATGTCTGTTGGGTACCTCGGAAGCACTGCCAGTCACCACGATACTTCGTACTGGGATAATCTGACAACTGTAGTTGGCTGTCAATCGGATCAGTTGCAGTGTATGAGAGATGTACCAGCAGACGACCTCATCAACGCAATGAGCGCAGCGGGAAGCGCGTTTCTCCCAGTCACTGATAATGTCACAATTCTGAGTGGCAGGGCAGAGAGATGGAGACATGGCGATGTTGCAAGAGTTCCTATACTTATGGGAACTGTCGCTGAAGAAGGCAGAGGACTGATCAGCAGGAACATCTCGCTCGAGACATTCTTCGGGGCCTATCTCTCTGAACCTCTGGTCAACGAAACCCAGCAGAGGCTAATTCTTGATGCTTACCACACTCTCAAGACCGACTTTGACACTGCTGCAGCAATCTATACAGACTTTGTCTGGCAATGTGTAAGTTCACATGCTTCCGACTTCACAGCTAACAGATCCAGCCCCAAGCTATTCTCGCAAACATATCATCCTCCGTCAATCCAACATGGCGATTCTACTTCAATGCCTCGGTCACAAGTCTTTTGGACAACAAATATTCCTGGCTGGGCAAGTTTCACGGCTCAGATGTCCTCCTGCTGTTCAATTCACCAACTTTTGACGCAATGTCACCACAACTCTACACATTTGCGGAGTATCTTCGAGGAGTTGTGGGGAGGTTTGTCAGAAACCCGCAAGCTGGACCAGGTTGGCCTGTTGGATCGAGATATGTTGCAAATCTGGGAGACGTCGGAGGGACCCAAACGTCAGGACCTTCAATCATCGAGCAAACAGTGTTGGATCAGAGATGCAGCCTGTACGGGTCAATTTATCCTCTCATCGAAAAGTATGTATTGTCAGTTTAATCGGAATTATCACGTAGGTCCCCGAATACTACTCATCATTGCAACGTAATCTCGCCAATCGTGCTGTACGTCATTGACCCACGGTTTTAAGGCGGTTACTTATCTCTAACTTCCTCAGATTGCATCTCGATCAAACTAGATTTCGAGAGCTTACCCGATTGAGTCAAATGGAGAACAAATGATCTATTAATGTGAATATTCCGGAGCGTTTGTCACGGAGCGTCATAGACATTGAAACAGGACGTCATTGAGAAGTTCACACACAGCGACAAGGGGAAGGAGATGTGAAGATATAAATACTGTCTGTATGTAGATAGAGAACCCTGATAGATCACACCAATTAATTATCCAATCACCATGGGCTACCCCGATACTTTTGAAGGCTTCTGCGTCGACAGCCCCAAATCATGGAACAAGTTCCAAAAACAAACCCTCAAGCCCAAGACATGGGGCGATCGCGATATCGACGTCGAGATTGAGGCCTGCGGCGTCTGCGGCTCAGACGTGCACACCGTCACAGGCGGCTGGGGCGACTTTGAAGGGCCTCTCTGCGTCGGCCATGAAGTCGTCGGCAAAGCTGTCCGTGTAGGCGACAACGTCAAGGACATCAAAGTCGGAGACCGTGTTGGCGTCGGTGCCCAAGTGGCCTCGTGTTTAGAGTGCAAGCTCTGCAAGAACAAGAACGAGAATTACTGTCCTGATATGGTGGACACGTATAACTGCACTTATCCGGATGGAAGTGTTGCGCATGGCGGCTTTGCATCGCATATCCGTGCTCACGAGTACTTCACCTTCAAGATCCCTGACGCCCTCAAGTCTGAGCAGGTTGCGCCTCTTCTCTGCGCGGGTATCACGACCTACTCTCCCCTCGTGAGAGCAAACGTCGGTCCTGGAAAGACTGTTGCCATCGTCGGTATCGGCGGTCTCGGACACATGGGCATCCAGTGGGCAAAGGCACTGGGCGCTGAAGTCTACGCCATGACACACTCTCCCTCAAAGGTGGAAGATGCAAAGAAACTCGGCGCAAAGGAAGTTATCGTCACAACTGATGAGAACTGGGCCGACAAGTACAAGTTCACGTTCGACTTCATCCTCAACTGCGCCGACATGACACACAAGTTCGACATGAACACTTATATGTCCACGCTCAACATTGGTGGAGAATTCCATAACGTCGGTATTCCGGATGAGCCGCTTCCTGAGATGACTGCTGGCACATTTGCTGGCAACGCTGGTAAGATCACGGGAAGCCATCTTGGTAACCACCAGGAGATGGATGCTATGCTCAAGCTGGCTGCTGAGAAGAATATTGTTGCATGGGTCGAGACGATTGATATCTCAGAGAAGGGATGTGCTGAGGCTGTTGAGCGTGTGAAGGAGAACAAGGTGCACTATAGGTTCACCTTGACTGGGTTTGAGAAGGTTTTCAAGAAGGAGTAATAGTAATGTAATAAGAATCACGTATTACCTATTCTAAGAGCGTACTTGAGAATCATACGAAGAGATGACGCGTGAATGTGGCTCTTCGTGAGACGAGTGCAACCCACCGAGTTCAAGAAGAGGATGCTAACCTAAACTCATCAAACAATCGTCTAGGCTTAGACTAGATGTAGCCAAGTATTTTGTCGCTCAAGGTTAATGGCAGTCCCATTCCCTTGCCTCAGTACAGTATCAACAACATATAAATCTCAGCCCCATCACCTTCAATATATGATCATTTCACGCGAGCGCAGCGAGGAAGAGCCCTCCGCTAGGAGCCCCCGGAGGGAACAACAAAGTACAGTTTGTCAATTTTGAACATTATCTCATTAATCAACGTGGTATCATGAACTATTTAAGCGCCAATGGCCTTGAGGATGGCCTTTCCAACAGCGTGGGCAGACGCAGGGTTCTGTCCGGTGATGACCTGTCCATCGACAGCCAGCTTCTCGGCCCAGTCGTCGGCCTTGACGTACTTGCCGCCAACACGCTTGATCTCGTCCTCGAGGAGAACGGGCATGGCGCTGGTCAGTTTGACGGCCTCCTCCTCGGAGTTGCTGAAACCGGTAGCCTCGCGGCCCTCGAGGAGAGGCTTACCGTCGACAGTGACGTTGACAAAGACGATGGGGCCGTGGCAGACTGCGGCGACGGGCTTGCCGGCCTTGTAGAACTCCTCGATGAGCTTGATGGAGGTCTCGTCGTTGACGAGGTCGAACATAGGGCCATGGCCGCCGGGGTAGAAGATGGCGTCGAACTCGGAGGCCTTGCCGAGGAACTCCTTGAGGGGGGTGGTCTGCTCCCAGAGCTGCTTCTTCTCGTTGAGGAACTTTACGGACTCCTCGTCGCTCTTGAACATCTCGACGGAGGCCTGGTCCAGGGGAGCTTCGCCGCCGGCGGGTGAGGCGACGGTGATCTCGACGCCGTTGTTGACGAGGTCATAGTAGGGGTGGGCGAACTCAGGCTGCGGTGGTCAGTTTGGGGTTTGGTGAGTGAGTGAGTGGCTTACCAGGTACCAGCCGGTCGGGTGTCCATTGTTCATCTTGGACTGGCTGGTGAGAACGACGAGGACCTTGGGAGCCATTGTGGATGAATTGGGTATCTGTGAATGTGTGTTGTGATGGGTATGTTGAGAGAGGGTATGAGTTTGTGGTTATATGAGATGAGTTATGAGATGATGCTATGATGAGACAAACTCTAATGGATGACGCACTCACCTTTATACCACATGCAGACGCCTCACTTCTCCACGCTGGGACCCTTGCAGTCGGGCCAATTCTCTACCGTTTCGAGCACTTGACAAACTCTTCCGTCCGGCTCTTGCTGCGACTGACGTCAGACTAACGGGCCTAGCCGTCCATTCTCGGCACTTGGCCCGTGTAGCGCCGGCTTTTGTGTGGGGCGGGCCGGGGTCACGTACCCGGAGCGGCCGATTGAGATTTGCATGCACCGCTGATGGACGCTCATGGAAGAGAGAGCGGTCCACTTGATGTGTAAGCCAGTATTTGAATCATGCGGTTACTTGGAGAAATGTGTTTCACTGGAGGAACTGAAACATGTGAGGTCCCTCCGGGGGCTCCTAGCGGAGGGCTCTTCCTCGCTGCGCTCGACACATTGACATGGAAAGATAGCATGGGTCAATTTGGATCTAACAAAAACACCAAATGAGTGACTTCCTCCACGATTACCTACATCCAGAAGCCGAGGGGATTGGTTCCTCTGACCTTGTTGCCCTTCCCATCACCCTTGCCGCCCTTGGATCCAGCTAACGGGGGCGTCTTGCATCTTCCTCTGTAGTCGGGCTTGACGACGAGACACTTATCGCAGCCGCAGAGAAACTCGAGATGGTTTCCGACTTTCTGGCTAGGCTGGTCGCAGAGGCAGATGAACAGGGCATTGTCTATGCTGCTGGCTGGTGATTCGCCGTCGCATTTCACATTGGGCGTGCTGCAGTATGCCTGCGAGAGTTGATCCTCATTCCACGGATTATCTGGGTTGTTAGTATTGATCATTGGGGGGGCGATGGACTTACCCATGGTCTTGAGGACTGAGGAGCAGTAAGTGTAGCCGCATTCGCAGATCGGTCCCTCGGGAGGAGGAGGCTCAGCGGTTGAACTCGGAGGCGGAGGGGGACTTGGGTCCGGAGGAGGGGCCGGGGCCGGAGTAGCTGGGGGAGGAACAGGAGCTGGTCCGGACGGAGGTGGTGGCGGAGATGGAGGAGGAGGTTGAGACGGTTCGGCGGGAGGATCAGCCGGGGGATCAGCCGGAGGAGGGACGGGAGGAGGTGCTGGAGGTGCCGGAGCTGGGGGGTCAGGAGGAGGAGCAGGTGGCTCAGAGGTTGAAGGCGGGCTTGGAGCAGGGTCAGGAGGAGCTGGGGCGGGATCAGGGGGAGCTGGAGCTGGATCAGGAGGAGCCTGAGGCTTTGCAAAGGCCAGGACGGCCAGAGTAAGGATAGTAAGTTGAAACTTCATATTAACGAGTGTTGATGGTGATGATGTGGACTGCCTGTTGCCTCTTCTTATATAGTCACGGTTCCTATACAGCCATCTTGTCCTACTCTTATTCATTCTTCATTGTCTCCTCGTCTGTTCTTCTGTGTCGCTGTCTGCCTCTCGTCTCCCAGTATCCATTACTACGTAAATAAAAACGTTACTCAAGACGACAATTCCCGCTGCTCATGGCCCATGTCCTACATGTTAGTAAGGTTATTCATGTACTTGCGCTTATCACAACTCGTCATATTCGGGTCGAGATCACGATCAACACCCACATTTACATCATGAAGTTATCCACTGCTACAGTGTTATACCCCGCACTGTACTGCCCCACCATCGTAGGAAAACAGCCTGCCCCTCCATGGTACGAGTGTCATCCTACACTCGTCAATCAGCAATCATGGCCGAATCCCAGAGAAACCGCGTCGTAAACGTCGGCACGCGAAAGTCGCCTCTTGCTCTCGCCCAGACCCAGATCGTCGTCGATGCGCTCAAGAAGAACTTTCCCGATCATGAATTCAACATCCACAGCATGACAACGACTGGCGATCGCGACCAAAACACAGCGCTCTACAATTTCGGCGGAAAGGGCCTCTGGACGTCTCAGCTCGAGGAGAGGCTCGTCAACAAGGAGCTCGACATTGTCGTTCATTCGCTCAAAGACATGCCGACGGTTCTCCCCGAGGGTTGCGTTCTCGGATGTGTCACGTCCCGCGAGGACCCGAGAGATACACTCGTGATCAAGAAGGAATTGCAGGACAAGCACGGCTGGAAGACTCTGGCCGATCTGCCGGACGGGAGCATCATCGGCACCAGCAGCGTTCGGCGAATTGCTCAGTTGATTCGACGTTACCCGACGCTCAAGTTCAAGGATCACCGAGGAAACATCCAGACCCGTCTACGCAAGCTCGAGGAGGACCCTGACCTGACCGGCATCATCCTCGCCGCGGCAGGTCTCCAGCGGATGGATCTCGGAGACCACATTACACAGTTTCTAGAGTCTGACAATGGCGGTATTCTTCATGCTGTCGGTCAGGGAGCGCTGGGAGTCGAGTGCCGAGCGGATGACGAGGAGGTGATCCGGTTGCTCAAGACGATCGAGAACGAACAGACTGCTCTCGCGTGTGAGGCCGAGCGAGCACTCATGCGGGCACTTGAAGGCGGCTGCAGTGTTCCCATTGGCGTTGAGACCAAATGGGTTGACGACAAGTTACATATGAAGGCTACAGTGGTCAACCTTCGGGGTGACCACGGCGTCGACTCTGACATAACAGAAGCTGTCAAGACACACGAAGAGGCAGACAAGTTTGGGAGGAAGCTTGCGAATGCTCTGGTTGAACGGGGAGGCGGTAGTATTCTTGATGAGATCACTAGGCTCCGACAAGTTCCGGAGACGGTCAAGTAGCGTCGGACAATACCCTTGTATTCTATTCAGCTCCAGCAAAAGTCTTGTAGGCCTCGGCATCCAATAGTTTCTCAAATTGCTTCGCACCCTCCTCATCCACCTCGACCTTTGCGATCCAGCCGCCACCAGCGCTGTCGTCCTCGGGGACCTTGTTGATGGTCGAGGGCTTCTCCTCGAGGTTGTCGTTGACTTGTAGGACCCGTAGACGCACAGGAGCGTTGATGTCGCTGGCAGACTTGACAGACTCGACGGCTCCGACAGCATCTCCTTGCTCGACCCATGTTCCGGTCTCGGGGAGTTCGACGTAGACTACATCTCCGAGCTGTTCGGCGGCGTACTCAGAAATTCCAACGAAGCCGTGCTTCTTGTCGGCGGACAGATCAATCCACTCGTGGTCTTTGGTGTATCTTCGAGCAAGGCCTTTCTCGTTAGTGTCGTCATTGTAGCGATCCAGGGCACGTACTCAGTTTGGTGGAGGAGAATGCTCGGATTGGCGTGCGGATGGCAGCGCAGGGCACAATCCCCCTAGCCAGAGGGGCTGCAGCGCGTAGGGACCGAGGAATTGAGGCCATTGTGATGATGCGGATGGTGATATCAGGGTCAAGCTTTGTCGGCATCATGCGGAGATGGGCCGAGTGGATCGGAGGGAAGCCGACTTAGTCAGCATCATGAAGTCTGCAATTACAGTCTACAGCAATTCAACACCAATTCTTCTGTGCCTTGGAATGTGATTGAGTCAAGGAAGACTTGGCCGTTAAACAAGACATGGAAACATTAGTCCAATCGGAGATATCAACGTGGGGTTCAACTTGGAACATTGTTTATTTGGTGTTTAGTGCCAGCTGTCCTGCATACTAAATGCTACCATATACATACCTACAATAACAGTTGCTATTTACATCAAGTAGGGATCATTACAAATATTGACGATTCTATTCAGCTGGAGTCAACTCAAACGCAGTTATTGCGCAATCTCAGCTAGCCATACACCAAATCCCAACCAATTACCTCCGCAAACGCGTTGACGCGCTGCGCTACGCTAAAACACCACCATCATCATCACAACATTTCACGCATTAGCAGGGCCTAGCAAAGTCTATCTCGAAATTAAGACAGATGAACTATTTTCAGAACATTTCATCTCAAATACTACATCCCCTGTTGTGCTGGTGAATGTCCCTCCACTTTAGCCTTGTACCACCGGTGCCTTGAAATTCCGTCCCGCTTCTGGCCTAAACAAGAGGCTCCCACCATCATCATCCTCTCCAAACGTCAGCGCAAACTGTCTGCTCCAACAAAACGCATCGCCCGGTTTCAGTTTGGAAGAAAAACAAGTGTCAACACGATTGATATCCACCGCCGAGGTCTCATTGCTGAACGGCCTGTCTCACGGTTTCACTCTGGTGGCTTTTCGACTCCGCCACCTCAGCTGCCTTGTCTTGACCTCTCCGCGCATCACGATATCATCACTTGTCTAGCTTGATGCTCTGACAAGCTGATCTCTTCTGTCACTCTCTCCGACCACGTTCTCTACCGATTTCTTTGTTTGCTCGCATCGTCCGACTCGATTGTATCACTCACCCTTTCGACTCCGTTGACCTCGATACCGTCACACCTTCACGCTGGACGACTATACGAATCCCTCGGCTCCGGCCGAACCTGCAGCCATGGAACACATCATGAGTTCACCTCCCCATGAAGTCCCACTGCCACCACCAGGCCAAGACGAGACCCTCGGAGGTATCGAAGAATCTCCCCACCCGAATGGCTTCCATCATCAGCAAAGCACATCCCTCGATCAAGGGCTAGCTCAAAGTCCACGACAAGAAGACCCTTCGACCAGATACACTCCCCCCGTTCAAACCGCACCGCCAATTTCCCGCCCAGCTAGTGGCTTGTCCAACCCCGCACACCAAGCCTACAACGACTATCGACAGAGTTCCGGTGAGCCGTCGTCCAACGGTCGAAACCATGTTGTCATCAAGGTCGGCATGGTTGGCGATGCGCAGATCGGCAAGACCTCGTTGATGGTCAAGTACGTGGAGGGGAGCTGGGATGAGGATTATATCCAAACGCTGGGTGTCAATTTCATGGAAAAGACAATCTCCATCCGCAACACGGAAATCACCTTTTCGATCTGGGATCTCGGTGGCCAACGCGAGTTTGTCAACATGCTGCCTCTTGTGTGCAACGACGCAGTCGCCATTCTCTTCATGTTTGATCTCACCCGCAAGAGTACATTGAATAGCATCAAAGAGTGGTATCGCCAGGGGCGCGGGTTCAACAAGACGGCCATTCCAATTCTCGTCGGCACCAAGTACGACCACTTTGTCAACTTTCCTCCCCAAGACCAAGAAGAAATCTCAAATCAGGTACGAGCGCAGCGAGGAAGAGCCCTCCGCTAGGAGCCCCCGGAGGGAACCCCAACCTTACTGACAGCAACAGGCGAGACGGTTTGCGAAAGCCATGAGAGCAGCATTAATCTTCTCGAGTACGAGTCACAGCATCAACGTGCAAAAGGTAGTGATCCCCTGACTTAAGAGTACTCTGCTGACTGGATAGATCTTCAAAATTGTGCTGTCCAAAGCGTTCGACCTGAAATGCACGATCCCCGAAATCGAAAACGTGGGCGAGCCGCTCCTTTTGTACCAGTCGGTGTAGTCGAGCGAATAACGAGTAAATGTTGAAACTGACAACATAACGACAAGCGACGGGAGTCGCTAGCAACCATTTCCTTTGTCATTGCATACAACACAACTGGATCGTCTCCTTTTCTTCAAACTTGAGATTACTAGGGCAAATTACGGAAGGGGTCAGGATTTACCTCTGGGATAGATAAACATGGGTATTGGCGCAGGACCGCATTAATGTGGCCAGCTTTACCGGTCGGTGGTCACGGCGGGCTATTGAAGTATTTGAGAGATACAATCGACTGTTAATCGTATTGGTGGATGCTAGATGTAGATGAATGATGTCTGAGGTAGTGGGATTTGTGAATGTGACCATGTGCGTTGAGTATTGTTTAGGTGTGAGATCGGTATAGCCAATGTATTCCTGCGGCTAGTTCTCTTCGTAGATCGTCTATTGATCGTTTGGGGGGTATTGGGACGTCGTGGAGGTACATGTGAGCCTGCTCGGGGTCTTTGAGTGAAGGATGGTAGTACAGACGTTGACTGGCGGGTGCTTTGTCCCTTGTGTATATTTCGGTGCCGTCACGGTACATGGAGATGATTTCGACGAGGATGCCTCGCTCGAGATTTGGCTTGGTCTCTATGAGCTCGGTTGCTTCTTCGTCGGGAACACGTCTGCGGCGGATGAAGTAGCACATGATGATGCAGAGGGCAAGGTTGAAGGAGATGATACTGAGGAGTGGTAGGAGTATCGTGTGTATCTCTAGTGATGGTTCCATGGTGCCGAGGGCTCATTTTATACGGGCTGTGATTCAGTGCGTTCCATATTAGAGTGAGAAACATACACCTCAAACTTTGGGGAATGGCTCATATTAAAAGTGTGTATGTGAGTAGCTTTATTGACTTGCTTGACCAAGGAACAAAGGAGTGTTCTATGATGTGACCTGATGGCCTGGAAATGCTGGTGGGGGAAGTACTTGAGCAGCAGACAGGGACATTAATGTTGTCCATGGCATCTGAGGTCTTGGTAGACTGTGGCCTGCTGGTGCTGTTCCGTTCACTTGTGTACTCTCCTATGATACCGCGGTCTTGGAGCATGTCTTCAGATACATTTGGATGTGGCTCTTTGAGTTTATGTGAAGGCTTTAACAATGATTCATCACGAAAGTTTGCAGACAGTTTTATATGATTTCACGATTCAAAGGTTTGGTGAACAAATCTATTTTTTATCTACATCCCAAAGCCAAACGGCCTGCGTTTACTACTCACCATCAGCGAGGAGCAGCCTCAACAGTCGACAGTTCATGGCCTTGCTCGATATCATTGACTCTTCTCTTCCGACAATATAGCACAATGCACCAGATGAGCATGATACATAGACCACCGCCAAAGCAGATGCCAAGAATGATGTAGGTGATTGTGTCCTCGGGAAGTTCTTCGCCCTCCTTGCGGCGGATGAGGGAGAGGGAAACTGAGAGTGAGTTGGCCATTGTGATGGTGTGCTGATGAATGATGAGGGTAAGTGATGGGAGATGTGAGTAGTTATATACTGTTGTGAATATGCTGTTCCATGACTGTCGTTCAGTGTTCATTAGTTCCTGGTGTGAACCGTTGCCGAACTATGTCCTGTTCACTGTCTCTGAGTCTGCACGCCCTGCTCAACATCTTTACCCTTAAGCCTAGCCCTTCGAAGCCGAATGGTCCTGGCGATGAAATACCAGGTAGGCGGTACGATAAAGAGAAGAATGATGCCGCCGCCAATACCCATGGTGAGGATCCGGTCGCTCTTGGACTCAGGGGCATTCTCTCGGCGGACGGGCCAGGAGAGGATTCCTGTCAAGGAAGCTGGGAGGTAAGAGCTGGTCATCTTGAGTGAGGATGTCTTAATGTGATGTGTGATGTGACGGTGTTGAGATGAAGGTGATCAGAGGCTTTTATGATACATCATGTGTGTGTGTGAATGATTCACTGCTTTGTGGTAACTGTGTTTGAACAGTGAATGTTCGTTTACAGCATCCTTTGACATTGTGAACAGGCATCAACACTACAGTACAAAGCAAAGCAGTGACGGCAAAGCAGTGATGGCAAAGAGTGACTGTTCGATTGAACAGAGAATAACAAACACTTGTAGCTATTAATACTCCTCCCGGTCCATCAACTAAAGACACAAACAACCTTCAACATGTACACCTTGAACTGCCTTGTTCTTATCGTACTCATTGTTCTGGCCTTGATGGTATCAGTCTGTAGAGCAATGAGGCAACAACGAGATCCTCCACGAGATGCAGAAAGACAAGAGTTGAGAGACTCCAACAAATATGCGTATTACCTCAGGTAGACAGGCACTCGAAAATGGTGGCGGTGGTTGGTTATATCTTTTGGTCATTCCCCATCGGATGCTTCGGGTACCTGTGGATCCCCTCCATCAGCATCTCCAGCCTCGACTGGCTATTTCCTTGCAGCCATTTCCAAATCAAGAGTGATTTCTCACGAATCTGCATCTTTCCGTTCCCCACTGACCAACGGGCCGCATCTACTGTTCCTGAAGATCTGGTGTGCAGGGATTGGCGTGCCTTTACGACTGCCGGAGAATTGGGCCTCATGGAGAATGATGAGCATGCTAGATCAAGTGTGGATAACCTCAGTTTGTAATGCACCGTCGAGACTTTATTCCTAGACTCTAGTTTGGTCTTGCTCTACCCCCAATAAATAACCCATGTTCTGTAATCCATCACTCCTAAGAAATGCCAACTCAAATGACACCACAACGCCGTTCATGAAAGGAAATCAGCGCGCTAGCGATAACAAAGTCCTGAAACAAATCCCTGCGAGCAAGTCGATTGCCATCGTCCTTGTCTCTCAATCCAGGGCAAAGTCGAATGCAGTTTACTTGTCGTCCTTGTCTCCCCATATGGGAGCATTGAGGGGCTTGCTGACACCAAACCCAACACCGACAGCAATGCCCACGACGAGAAAGATGATCAACCCCTTGACGATCCACCGATTGCGTTGGCTGAGCTTGGCCATGCAGGTGCAGCGGTTCTTTGCCTTTGCGGCCTTGGCCTGTTGCTTCCAGTGATCTTTTCCAGGCCAAACTTGGCAGTCGGTCTTTCTGGCGAGGGGGGTGCTCGATGTCTTGTGCATGCATGAATCTGATGTTCGTGTTGTGACCATGGCTTCGATGTCGGTGTCGAAAGGGTTGAGCTTGTCTGTTTGGGGTGTAGATGTTGTACTGATGCGAGGGGTTTCGGTTACGGTCGCATTTGTGGCAGCTTTCTCGGGGATTGTGAGGTTCGTCTCGCCGCTTGGGCGGGAGAGTTTTTCGTAGTTTGAAGGCATGATGAAGATCGAGTTGTCAATGTTGGATTGATTCAAGTTGAAGGATCGGATGAATAAAAGCTATCGCGGTTAGTGACGCGTGGCTATGGCTGGTGTGACAGTGACACCAACGGCTGGTACATACTTGAGTGAAACCGAGGTTGGATCTCTGCGCAGTTGGGTAATGTAGAATGTCGAATGAATGTAGATGCAAGAGACAACCTCAATCGGTAAGGAGTTCAGGCAGTTCTTCAGAACATGGATGTCGATCAAGTCCGTTCGGTGATGGGACGCTAGAATTGGTCGATGGGTCGAGTAATAAAGCCAAGAAAATAGAAGAGAATCAAAGAGGATCTCCCAAAGAGACGAGATTGCGATGATATAGAACAAGACGGTCGAAGCAAGGGAGAGTAAGCGATGGGGCAAAGAGAAGGAACCTTGTATATGAGTTCTTTCTCAACACACGCAACGCAATGCAACGCCACTGATGGAACAAACTCTCGCTCGACTGACTTCTACAAAAGACGTAGAAGAGGAGAACAGGAGCACAGCAGACAGAGACCTGACAGAGGGAACCCCTAACTAATCCAAAATGAACCAAGCCCCCTGCACATTTCAGCGCTTGGGCCCGAACCGGGTGCGCTAACAGCCGGCTTGCCGCCTTTGGGCCTGGTGGGAGCTCCCAGCTAAACGAGCTAGGTCCCTGCGGGGGTCCCCGGCTAGGCCATTGCTACGCTCTAGATTGCTCCAGGACCATCACCATTCAATCGAAACATGGCATCACCAATCAAGGTTTTGTCCGCCTGCATAACACGCGGCTGTTCACAAAACATCCACAAAAGACATCACAAAATGCACTGCCTACCTTGTGTACGTGGGCGTGGCAGAAGCCGAGTTCCCCCGCAGATAACAAGCACTCAAAAGGTCAGGTCAACTGGCTTCGTGGCCATGGCCTAGATCAGATCCCATGTGGCACGGCTGCATGTCTCTAGATCGATTCCCACGAATAACACCTCCATCCCTTCGAAAATGGCTCAAGTTTATCTAGTGATTTACCCGTCCTGATGCTAATTCTCGCCGGCGCCACCAACATGGGTTAATCGCCGGCTCTTGGCACTGACTCGCCAATGCACTGTAGCTTCATTCAACCTGTGCCATGAGCTCTCCGCAAAGCCAAGAAAGATTCTTCTTCTTGGCAGCCGAGATGCCGTGATCTGTGTCTAACTATCGTCCATGTCACGCTCCAACTGACCAAATTCTGGCATGACTTCACACATGACAAGATCACCTTCATCATAAGTCAGCCAGGAACAGGCACAAGGTTTGGCTTCAACCGCGGGAGTAAAGCCACAAAATTCCTGTCCTGAAAAAGAAGCGTCATGAGAAGGGTCTTAATAGAAGCGCCCTGAATAAGAAGATTTCCACCAAATGTGTATATCGCCACGATCGAAGCGATTTCATGGTTGTGCGTTGGTTGTGTTTCAATCACGGCACAGCATCCACTTGTGTTTTCCGTGTATTCTTATCGCACTCGGAATCGTGTCCGTGTCTAGCAAGGAACCCGCGTATAAGGATTCGGTAACTGGTCGCAATTCATCCCAATCTCCGCGTATAATAGATCCGATATCACAGCAGACAGTCTTCAGATTTACGTACCAGATGCGAAATATCCCAATGCAAGTTCCCCTCAATGCAAGTGAGGAGTTCTTCAGTTAAAGTCCAGAACCTGGTCTCTGCATTTGCTGGGGTCCCTGCATTAGCTTCCATTGCCAAGGAATGGATAAGAAGAATTCTAGACTTGAGTTCAGCGGGTGCCCAGTGGCGCTGTCATTGTGTTGCTGCCACTGATGCAGCCGCTTTTCCTTACCAAAAACGGACTTGGATTGGAATTTCTATTGTTCCTATTGCCACTTTTGAGGTTTGATGGTGATACAGTCGGTTCAGCCGATGACGGTGACACTTGGTGGCAGACGGCAGTTGATTGAACCACTGTATTCGGGTTTGCGCTTGATACGAATAAGTGGTGACAATCAAGTCTCTCCTGAGTGGGGGACTCAAATCCCTGTCAGGGTGTTTAATGCCCACAAATATTGGTCTAATTTGAGATCAGTGCCACAACGAGAGAATCATGCAAGTTGATGTCAATCGAGTGCATTTTGTCTCAAGGTAGTCGTAAGTGCCGGGATACTGACGGCTTCAATTAATTGTCGATTGAGGCCAGTCACTTCGGTGTGTCGACGTAGAACGAATCATCCCTTTGTGTTTGGTCCAGTCAAAGAACAAGTCCTGTAAATGTCGGCGCATAAACTCGCCTGATCAGCGCGATATGCGCATTCGCTGAAGTTTATGTTTGAAACATCAAATTGGAAGCAATGCATGCCGACATTGTGTCTGAACGCGCAATGCATCGGAAATTGGGGCGGGCGGAAAGTGTTGCCGTCCAAATCTGTGCCGTCTCGAAGACCGTGTCGTTCTTGTGTCAATGTTGTACCTACTATCCAACCAGTACTTTCGACCAGTAAGGTGAAGTCGCCTACGAGAAACATGTGCGAATAGGAGTTCCGACGTCCTCACTACGATGGCCAGCGCCGAATGGTGGATGAGTGATCTTTGTTCGGTGCATCAAATGTGAGTCCCCGAGTACTTTACGTGGCATGAGGCAGCTCGCGCGATAATATTTGGGAGTATCCGTCAGCGTCATGAATGATGGTAAAACTAGCACCTGAAGACATGGCTCGACTTGTGTTGTGTCTGTCGTACTAGAACCGCAACGAGCGCGTACTGGTTGTCGGCATCTGGCAACGCCTGGAGACAGTTGACGCGATCCCATCAGCGCGGACTGAAAAGCCAAGGTGGCAGCTCGACCTTGGCTTACTGACATCGTATCTCGGTACTCAATCGGCGTTCTTCAGTTATACCGGATGACTTGCAGCGGCAACCAGAACGTCGTAGAGTGTGGAAGACATCGTAGTTTGACCCGGACAGCGTGGACTCGGTGGGATATCCCATGAACGCTGGAGGAGCTGACAACCCAATACGCAGGTGGGAAGACTGAGCTTGGTATCGAGACGCGAAGCTATTCAGCTTGACCTGTACTTGACGCCAGCGTAACTGTATAAACAGTCAGAGTCCCACATGTTTCCGTCGTTTGGTGATTTACCGATAGTCGAACGCTCCAGAGATCGAAGACTGCACCTTTGCCTGATCTGGCCAGTCGGTGGTCTCGGAGTCGTCAAAATCAATGGCATGGGAGCCTTGCTGAGTATACAAGAATGCAGCGGCCTTATCTCATGTCTGAGCCACTGCACTTGTAGTGCAAGACAACCTTGATGCATTCGTTGACAATTGCCGCGTCGAAGGGAGTTTGTGCAGGCTGTTCGAATTAGGATCTGCCACCTTTATCTGACACTATCATCACGTTGGGTTCACGCAGCCCGCTCGGCTAGAAAGCCTCGAAATTGAGTGGCATGTGTCTTCAAAAGCGAGCTGATCCGACAGTCGAGACTGATGAAAAGATCAGAGTGACCAAGGACTCACCAGTATCAAGAGAGCAGGGGGGGTTCGAGGTAAATATCTCGAACTAGAGGCAGAGTCTTCAGCTTGATCGGTCGCCAGGTTTGTTTTGGCAAGTCATCAGTCTTCTCCATCCGCTTGCCACTGGACTTGCACATTTGGAACGGGCATTCGAGTATCAAGAACGAACGGGGAAGTGGTTGGAATCTGGATATTTGTGCCAATTGACAATATCCTGTTGAATGGACGCCTCATCTGGATCGTCCTGGGTATTATTAACAACGTTCGAACCTCAACTGCGCAGACTGGAAGGTCAGATCTGATATCTTGGGCTGAACTGAAGTGGTTGGCTTGGGCAAGCTAGCTGATGTCGACACAGATAAGCAGCGGCGCAAGTTGAACGTCTTCTCACTTACAAAGGTGGTAGAGGTGCAGATGATTCAGGGCCGGATGGGCAATGGGCTCGAACAATGACCAGCAAGGAGATCGATGGCCTTGGCGCGGAATATGAGAGGAGTTCAAAGGCGACTAAACGACGTGAGAAAGGGTCGTCGGCTATTGCTGAATGGGCAGGCAGACTCGTAGCCAATCCCAACCACCATATATCGCTGACTTGCCGTCCGTATCTCCTGCAGAATGAACAGGTTTCCGTGGTCTGGCTCAACGGTTGAGGTTCAATCGCAAGGTCGGGATTTGGGGAGGCGATGGGTGAGGAGAACCTCCTCCCATCAGGCCTCTAATCTAGTCACCTCAGAACCCTCCAGCTTTTGGGTTGAGGAACTCACAAAGACGAAAGATGACATCCTGGGGTGAGAGATAGCAGCATGGGGAAAATCATTCATCTGAGTAATGCTGAATGATCCTGTAATGGACTCCTTGCCGTCGTCGCAGCCCATGTGACTTGGAGGTGTTGGCATCGTCAGGATTGCAGACTCGAAGCAACAAACGTATGCCTTTTTTTCGACTTCTTCAGTGTAGTAGTCTCCATCTGTTTCGTAGTCCATGATGGCTCTGATACAGAGTGTTCGGACTCGGGGTCCCACCGTTCATAAACACGAGTCGCCTTCCACTTGCTGTTGAACCATGAAGGAAAGCTTGAGCAGCTTCGTAACGAGCTACTGTCCTGCACAGGCGCCTAACTGGGTGAGACACAGTCAGGGGCATTGCCTTGATCTGCGAACATTCTAAATGGAGTCAGAACCTGAGGCGGCTAGAGGTCGAGGAGCCGATTCTTGACGATCGCTCTTATCATGCGCATCAGCACTCTACAGGATTTGCAAATTTATGTGGACTGTACTCACTGGCTGCTAAAGGGACATTCTGGGAAGCGAATGTCGACCGCCACGGATAGCTTTGACTTGTAGTACCTCGAGCGAGCGTTGGAGCTGATGGAAATAGTTCCGTCGTGTGTACGTTGAACCTTAGTAATTGATTCAAAGGACTTGAAGGTTCGAGCGTCCATACCCGTGTCTTGCCGGCATCAGGTATCTGACATGGTCATGGAATTGCGTACTAGTATTCGAGCATGAGGCCGGTTTGAATCATTCGGCATTCTTCATCTTCCTTTCTAGGTCAACTGTAGGGTAAAGTAACCGAGATTCTGGTGCCTTGGTATTGCTTCATGTTGGTCGTCACCATCTATAGACATATCAGCATTCTCCAAAAGCAGTTGCAGGACGCAGAAGCGATCACGTAGTTTGGAACCGATGGCAATTTCCTGCCTCCCTCTTGGTGCCTCACTGGCGGTCCAAGATGTTGATCGATGGATGAGCTTGTGGACAACGGCCCACTTCAATGGTCAAGATGGTAATTGGCGTTTTGGGTGCTGCATTTCTATCAGTTGACATCACATGAAGGCATCATCGTGGCTCAGTTACACGGGTAATGTAAACTCGAAGCCGTTGCCAATCGGTAGTCCCCTTGAACGTACCATCGTTACCCCGTCGAGATTCCACCGGCAAAGCCTTAGAGGCGTCGGTCGCGGTTGGACGCTGGCCATAGGTCAGTATGCGTTAAGGTCTGAGTGGCAGAGCTGCGGAGGCTGCCTCTTCATCGACCACAATGGTATCTAGGCATCATCAATACTCTTAGGCAATTGATACCGAGGGCTGGGATGGGCTGAACCTTTTGCACAAATCGGCGAAGAGCATAGGTGATTCCTGGCTGGTTAGTGCTCGCCGGCTCTGATTCGCCTCTAGTCGCACTCCAGAGCCCAGGCATCAGAAGCTTCTTGAAAGTACATGAGAGTTCAGTCATCGTTTCGTGCTATAAAAGCATTCTAAGCACCAAGTTGGTATCGGCACCTGCGTGATGTCGCCCTCAGCGCCGTGGGTTTGATGGTTCCGAAGAATTAATATGTGTTTTACATAACTGTCAAATGTCAATTTCCATAAGAGAAGCCATATCCGATGGTAGCACCTTGGGATCGCCAGTGCGTTCAGGTTATCGATAGCCTCTTCATCAATTGAAGTTGAGAGATCATAATGGGAGTTTGAGCGGGCCGTGAGGCGTATAGGAGTTGTCTAGACTGACTAGTGGTGAGTGTTGTAGTTCTGTTACCCAGTCATGTCGAGACACCAATGGATTCTGAGAGAGGATACGAGTGTCATCTTTTTCGTATGTCCAATGAGCACCCATGATCATAGGGATCTTTCGAGCGACATCTGAGGCTGTGAGAAGCTTGTCGTCCGGATCAAGCAACTGTATCTCATTGTCAGATTTCCTCCAGAATAACGTGGTCCTGGGTAGGGGTCTGATCCTCTCGTGTGTGGCAGGGTTGCTTATAGTAGATCTTCACAGACGACAATCGAGGGCCGCCTGTTGATCGCAAGTGTTGAATTCACTTTGGCTCAGAGACGAATTGAAGTTGAACGTGGTTAGGTGAGGTGTCTACATTCCTTCAGTAAGTCACCCAGCGGCACCAAACTTGTTGCAGACCTGCTAGCAGGCTCACATGCGTAACCAACATGCTTGGAAAGGGAATGCGTGCTGTTACTCGGACTGCAAAAGTTAAGCTATAGCCAGGCGCTTGCTGCAGCGAATCATTCTACGAACTGCTGATCCATGGCAGTCCCCTTTGTTATGACTGCAAGGCCGGCCGCGGTCACGGTTGAACGCCAAAGAGGTGTGTCTATCTCATCAGTACCATCTCAGGTGACACATTGGGCAGTACCTCTGAGCAGAGTTGCTACTTGTCAACAATTGGCTGAATTGATCTTCCGTTGGCAAATGCCGTACCATTTGTGTCGCCGGTCAGCCAGTCGATCTAGTCAGATAATAGAGCCCACCGAGAAAGCTGAAAGGTGGAAGCAGGGTGAGGAAGGCGACTCTGCAGCAAAGTCTAGATAGTATCAGCGGCAGCTCAAGGTCAACTATATCGGAGGTCCAAACGAAGGCAGGCTTAGTCCTCTGAAGAGGCACGCTGGTCCCGCTGCAAATCGCAACCGTGACAACGTTTGCAAAGTTCGCTGTCGGGCTTCTGATCCTCTCCATGGGCAGTTGTGCCACCTCAGACATTCAAAACTTCAAGAATCAGCAAGGCAAGAAAGCATTCTCCGCTGCTCGGGGTGCCAAGTTCTGTCTGCTGATATGAACTCTCAACCATAGTCCTCAACTGCAAACAGCACCGGCGTGTAATATTGACTGGAGGATATATGATACCATTTCTGGGTTGCAAGGCAACCTTTGACTGTCAGTATGCTAGTCGATGGTGGCAGAACGGACTAGCCACGGCCGATAGAAGAATCTTGAGGTGTTTCGAAGGCAACTTGATGCTCTAATCAGTCAAGATTCTAGCTATACCAGGTCAAAGAAGCGTTCTCGGTCCACTTGCCTCAGCCACTTCACGAGCAGTCACCTTCGGAGAGGCCAGTCGTGTAGCCATGGTAGGAATCGAAAGGATATGTCTGAGTCTCATTAGCAAACACCTGTCAACATAAATTGACGCAGTACCTCGATTCTTGTGCCGTCCACAAAACAGTGTATTATGGTGAATACAGCGCTCGGTCTCGCCTCATCTGCTCGAACGTCTGTCTGCATCCTGGCACTCAAGTCAGTCCGTGATCTTGTCCTGGAGAGGGCTGTCTTACAAGTAAGCCTCGGATCGTGTTTGTAAGTGTAACTCAACTTCGTCGCTTAGACAGTGGTGGTTTGCTTATTTCTAGGTATGGATCAGGATTATCATCTTGGTTGTCTTTCATGGCAGCATGTCCAGTGCAGCCAAGTCAGTATACGGAGATCTGATCTCAGAAACTTTGCTAGCAACTGGGATCGCTCCGACTGCCAACTCGAAATCCGCTTGAAAATGAGGGTTACATTGAAGAATGGTGATATCTGGTGGCAGGCAGATGGGGATTTGGGTGTCAGGAGTTAGACGATGAATGACGATGGTGATGGTGCCAGTATTGAGGACATGGCTTTTGAATAGCAGCAATATTCTCGCTTGAATGAAGAGCCATTGATGAACGATGATGGAAGATTGATGATAAAAGACGATGGCGGGAGGGAATTGCGATTGTGTTGGCAAAATGATGAATTAATTTGGATGATAGTGGAAATAGATGGTGAAAAACGAGGCGGTTCAAACTGAGCTCCTGCCTTCAATTGCTCTCGTGACCTTGCGTGTCTTGGGAAGGCATCACCACATTTCCAGGAAGCAACGCGACAGTGCTTCACCTTCTGTTTGCATGCATATTCACTCAACCTTCTCTTCTCATCACCACCCACTCAAACTCTTCATCTTCATCACTGTTTATCACTGCATTATCATCATTCTTTTCCTTACCCTTCGCCGCCTGTCGTTCACTATACACAATGGAGAAGCCGTTCGCTGGACAATGGCTGTACGATGATGAAGATCTCGCCCCAAACAACATCCTATGGGAAACATTTCTCTGCCCTTGTATTGTTTACGGTCGGTCTAGTAAGAGCTACAAAGATGCTCTCGAAAGGGCGTTTGAATATGATTCACCCCCGGATGGCCATGTCCGATTCACGGTCAGCAAGAAAGGAATCGCCGACACAAAAGAGGAATACTAGTCGACGCCTCTGCATAACCCGGCCCTTTCTCTCCCCTGCTTGGGATTCGCTGCCTGCCTGCCTTGTAAGTGTCTCTTTGCAAGTCAAACACTCTAACATGTCTAGTCTATGGTATCATGATCTCCGATCTGCGTACAAAAGTTCGCGATCTCTACAACATCGAAGGAACCCGCAATGAAGACAGTGTATGGGGCTGCTGCTATCCATATGATTCCCTCGTTCAAATCGAACACGAACTCATCAATCATGGTCATCATCGGAGACGCAGTTCCTGTGGGTATGAGACCGAACCCTCAATGACCACATCCTTGAGCACTTCTAGATCGCACAGCAAGGCCACCACTTGTGATACGGAACCCGATCAAAACCTCCCCTGTATCCCCGAAGGTTCATCCGAGTGCTCGTCTCCAACCTCATCTGCAAGCAGCCGAGGCAAGCCCCGGGAGAGATCAATCGCTCAAGATCCAGTTGCACCAACCGACGCAACACTCGACCACAGTCACGACCTCTCCAAAGATCCAAGAGGACCATATCGAACCAATGCACCTCACCGGTTGAAGGATGACACTTCTGCTCCTGTGTATCCTCCCTCCATTCATCAACTTCGAACCGATACAAAGGCGCCTGCCAGTCCACCTGCAGTTCATCGACACGATTTGTTTCAGGACGCTAGCGAGACGAATGAGACCCAACCCAATCACGACATTGGATTCGATCGAGTTGAAACATACCGAGCCAGTCCTGATCATCAGCTTCGGCAAGACGAAAAGACGCCGGGAGCATTTCCTTCAGCTCATCATTTGCACCATGATACGGTGGTCCGAACCAAAGCACCACAACAGCACAAGCTAGAAGATGATGAGCAAGGTCCGAGCAGGTCGGAGACTCGTGGGCCACACCATCTTCATGAGGACAAGTGAGGAAGGCGAGGAAGGCGGCGAGAAGAGGTCAGACAATTCAGTGTATTATTATGATTCAACCTCAGACACGACAGTAGTATTATCACTTCATAGGGGCTTACAATAGATATATCTCTGCAACCTTATGCGACCATTGTCTGTTGTTAGTGAAGCATTGGTGCGCTATACTTTACGGTCACATATGGTCTCTGAGTTGGCAGGCTATGCATGCGACCAGGTCAAATTGGTGGCAAACGCCGAGCGAATGTTACCGTCCCGCCTCCCAGCCTCCGACTTGCAGCTGGATGCATTGGCGTTGCACACAGGTATCATCGAGAGGGGGTTCGACACGGACACGACGCGAGAGATCGCGGGTGGTCTGGCCTTTAATAGTAACAAGCCAGGATAAAGTTACACTTTACAGGGCCCCGTTTCAGTGGAGGCAGTAGCTGGTTGGCGATCGGTCAGATCAGCTGAAAGACGACAACCAATTGGAATTCGGGTCTGCCAATGTTGTGATGAGACCATGGTCGCATATTGGCGGCCATGCAAGCTGGCTGGGCACAACAGCATTGAGTTTGGGCAGTGAGATGAGTTCGGGCGAGACGATTCGGGATTGAGACGGCTTGCACAGACTAGACAGATCAAGGAACACGAACTCGCGTTACATTAAATGTCTTCATCCTGCATACTGAATCTCCCTTGCATTGGCGCTCAGCGCGACGATTGGGCATGGCATGGAGCAAACTGGGATGACGCTTGTGGAGTTTTGGACGTCCCACAAGGCCAGGCATGTTGCATTGAGCGAATCATTTTGGAAAAGTGCTTAGCGGTGACCAACCTGCATTGATTGAGGGGAAAACACCTCAGGCAGAGATGGCCTTATCTTGAAATTCGCTCTGGACATGGACGGCTATTCCATGCACTGCTGGTAATTGACACGGTCGCGAATCTGCATTCTGTTTCATACCTGTCGGTCCACTGCCCTCTGTAGGCATTCTAGTGACCTGCTTCTAGTGGCCGCCCCGTCACGTCCGCGCTCACGTCCAAGGCACGACGCCCTAAGGGAACCCACTTCCGCGCTGAAGCTCCCTTATTACCGATCTTCTCCACGCGCCCTCCGCAGCAGAACCCACCTTTGGCACCTCTTTTCTACCCGCTCTCTCCCACTTTCACTCATCATCGTCTTCACTCATTTACACGTTCGACTCACGCGATAACAATAAACAATAACTTTTCTCGCTGCTGGGTCCATCATGGCTACTGTCACTCGTCAACCATTTGCTCCCCTTGATGGGACTCGTCTCCAGACCTTGACAAGTCTCAAGAATAGGCAAAATGGTATGTGGAGATGCGGAGTGTTTGGGCTTCACTGACATGATTAGCTCTGCCAACTGGTGGCAAGCGAAAAGCTGAACTGATTGATACCGATGATTCTGAAAATGTCGATCCTACTTCTTTTGCCAAGCGATCAAAAGGTTCCAAGGACAAGGACATCCTAAAGGACAGCATCCTCAAAGACAGCATCCTCAAGCCGTCTGCTTTTATCCTCAAGCCTACACCTGTATCTGCATCTGCCATTCCTAGTCGCCTCACGAGCCCTACCAAGACCCGACGCACTCTTCAACCTAAATCACCCGCCAAACTCAGTTCTGGCATCTCAAAGTCTTCTCCCATTTATGCTCCTGCTGGTCGATCTCCTACCCGAAGCAAGCGATCTGGTATCGCTTCTAGCCGACGACGCACTGCTGGCCCCTACACTCGTGTTGATCCTCCTTCGTTCAGTCTTGGATCTGCCGCTCCCTTTTCTCTCGATGCTGCTCTCAAGGGTACTATTCCTGGCTATGGTGCCAAGAAGGAACCCATCACTGCTCTGCATGAGCCAGACATGAAGGCTAGCTGGTTCTTTGACATTCACGAGGACACACCCGAACAGGAGATGACCAACCTTCTTCAACATAGCACATGTGTACTAGACATTTCATCCGACGAGGAGAGTCAACGGAAGCTCAACAGAGACCGTGCTGAAGGTCGCGATAAGGAAAATGTTCCTCCTCCTGATGACATTTCTCAAACTCGTCGCGCACCAAAAGCCGATGACATGATTGTTGAGAAAGAGCGTGTCGCATTGGGAGAAATGAACACTGCCGACTTTTACGCTGAAGGATGTGATGAAACATCAGTCATTTTTGTACCTGAAGATGAGCCAGAGGTGAATGCGTCTGCGCCTGCGACTGCGACAGTGGTCGAAAAGCCTATCGATCCGTCAACAGAAGACATCGACAGCTTAATGGCCAAGCCCACAGAAGGGTCAAGCAAGGCTGCAGTTTTGGAACCAATCGAAGGAACAGGAGAAAGTTTCGAGTTATGGGAAAGCGGTAGCGCACATGATGAAGCTGTATAGGCATGAGGCATGAACAAGTATGAACTGTTACGGTAATGGATACGGATGGAATGAATGATGGAATGGATGGATATGGATCGGATGGTGGAGTTTGGCCGGCGTTACTTTTCTTCTTAGGCTACCAAGAGCTGGGGCTATAGTTTTGATTACATATTGTCTGAGTATTAATTATTACTGACTGACTGTTTGAACTGTTTCACTGAGTCTAAATTATGATCTGATTCTGCCGCACTGTGTCCCACGTGAACCACTAACCAAAACAGTGTGAATATTTCGTCAGCAATCCACTTCCCCTCATCAACCATCATGGCTTCAATCAACGACCTGGCTACAGCCGCGATTGCGAGCTCTGATACTGCAGATGACTCAACTCGGGGCGCATTCATCATTTTGGAGGGTTTGGACAGAAGTGGAAAGACTACACAGGTGAAGCTGTTGGAGCAGAGATTTGTCGAGGAGGGTAAAAAGATCAAGGTTATGAGATTCCCTGGTATGTCACTGAAGAAGTGGTGAATTATGCTGATGTTTGTAGACAGGACTACACCTATTGGGCAGATGATTGATGCGTATCTCAAGAGTGATGTCGAGATGGATGACCATGTTATTCATCTATTGTTCAGCGCAAACAGATGGGAAGCTGTGTGAGTATACCGGTCTGTGGCAATTCACTTCTGACCTTTCAGCAAACAAATCCAATCTCTACTCGCCTCTGGTACTACAATTGTCTGCGATCGGTATTATCACTCAGGCATAGTCTACTCAGCCGCCAAGCAAAACCCCTCTCTGACCCTCCCTTGGGCACGAGCACCAGAACGCGGTCTCCCCCGACCAGATCTGGTGCTGTTCCTCGATTTGACCGAAGAGCAAGCTCAAGCTCGAGGTGGTTGGGGTGGAGAGGTCTATGAACGATCTGGTATGCAGAAACGCGTACGGGAATTATTCTGGGGTCTCAGCATGGGCGGAAAAGACGTTGCGGCGCAGGGACTTGGGTTGGATGGGGGTGAGGACTGGACACAGGAGGAGGAGGACCTTGTGGTGGTTGATGCGGGCGGGAGTGTGGAGGAGGTTGCTGAGGAGGTTTGGAAGAAGGTTAGGGGTAGGGTTGAACAGGTTGAGAGAGGAGAGGTTGGAAGGACTGTGAGAGTTGTTAGGTGAGATGCCAGAGTGTTGCAATGAGCAAAAATGAATCCCCGAGACCTGGATCGAACAAGTGACCTTTCGGTGACGGTACAGTTACAGCCGAACGCTCTTCCAGCTGAGCTACTCGGGGATGGCTCTGACGATCAGAGGAGTAGCCACGGCGATCGGCGAGCAAAGTTGGGTAGATGTGGACAAGATCTGTGTTCTGAATGGGGCAGTATGGACTGTGACAATGAGACGTGCGGGCGGGATTGGGTGTACCGTGTATGAGACTGGATGCAGTGGTTGAGGTTCCCTGTGCAAGGTTGGTGTTGAGGTGTCGCATTGTGACACAGATGACGCGGGGTTGTTTCATCCCGTCTTGTGTGATTGTTCTTACACACGAGCTTTGCGATAATATGAGTAATTCTTCTGCAATTCTCAAATTCAACTCTCACTCTACCAGCTTAGGGTAAACCCAATGATTAATTGTGTTCGAGAAGTAGTCTGCGTATAGGTACAATTTACACCTCCACTCCCAACCAAGTCCAATGGCTATTCCTCCGGTTTCGGAGATCTCCCCGAATAGCTCAGCTGGAAGAGCGTTCGGCTGTAATTGTTAAGCATCTCACCGAAAGGTCACTTGTTCGATCCAGGTTTCGGGGAACTCATTTTTTGCGTCTTTCGATGGCTGCAAACATTCTTTTTGCTGCTCAATTAGCTACATGTGTAATTCAGTAACTTTCTAGTAACATTAAGGTGAACCTTCTTACGTTGGTGGTAGCTGCGTGCTTCAATTGGTGACACCAAAAAGTGAGATGTCATGGTATGCTCAACACCAGATGCCACGACCAGCAAAAGAATCCCCGAAACCTGGATCGAACAAGTGACCTTTCGGTGTCATATATCAGTTACAGCCGAACGCTCTTCCAGCTGAGCTATTCGGGGATTGGTGATCGGCGTTCGCTATCCCTCCATACACGCCGAGTGGGAGGTTTGGAGGGAACGAGCATTATTCATAGAACATAGAGCACCTTTCATAGATCAACTTTTACAAGACACTCCTTACAGGCAATCAACTTTTATTAATTAAAGACTACAGTCTTGTGACCATTGAGGAACAATCTCCTCTCAGCATACCACCGCACAGCAGCAGCAAGAACTTGGCTCTCAACATTAGATCCCTCCTCAGACAACTCCTTAGGATTCATGCTGTGATCCACACGAGCAACCCGCTGCTCGATAATAGGACCCTCGTCCAGATCAGCAGTGACAAAGTGAGCAGTCGCTCCGATAATCTTGACACCGCGCTCGTACGCCTGGTGGTAGGGCTTGGCACCCTTGAACGACGGCAGGAAACTGTGGTGGATGTTGATGATGCGGCCGGACATGGCTTCGCACAGCGTCGGGGACAGAACCTGCATGTAGCGGGCAAGCACAATGAGCTCGATGCCGTGCTTCTTGCAGAGGTCGAGGATCTGGCCCTCTTGTTGCGCCTTGGTGTCTTTTGTGACGGGCAGGTGGTGGAACTCGATCCCGTAGCTCTCGGCGAGGGCGGCGTAGTCGGGGTGGTTCGACACGATGACGGGGACTTCCATGCGCAGCTGGCCGGTCTTCATGCGGAAGAGCAGGTCGTTGAGACAGTGGCCGATCTTGGAGACCATGATGAGGACACGGGTCTTGCGGGCGACAGGACGAATATCGTAGTCCATGTTGTACTCGGCAGCGAGCTTGTCGAAAGCCTCGACGAGGTGCTCGGTGGACTCTGTCTCGGTAGGGCCAAAGTGAACACGCATGAAGAAGCGCTCGGAGACGGGATCGGAGAACTGCTGGAGGTCGAGAATGTTGTGCTTGTTGGCGGCAAAGATGCCAGTCACGGCATAGACGATGCCGGACTTGTCAGGGCATGACAGGGTGAAGATGTGATCATTAGCCATGTTGAAGGCTATGGACGGCGTTGAATTGGGGGAGAATTTGGTGTAAGTGAGAAGAATTGCGGCGTATCTTGTTAGCCTCCGTATGTCGACCGAGTATGACTCCGAGAACCCCACTGCGGGCTAACCCTCCACATCGGAGATGCGTCGGGATGTGGCCATGAAGTGAGAAGCATGAGTTGATATTAAGTAAATTGAGGGAAATATGCTGTATTAAGATCTATTAAATAGGGTAGCACGTAGTAATGCCGCGTGGATCTGTATATTGTAGAGAAGTGCCGTCTGATCGTCATGGTGCGGTATAGCCGTTTAATATCCGTCTCCGCTGTGGCTGCAGGGTAACAAAAGTCCTCTACTGAGCCAAGCATACGTCAGATCAACGGTACTATATGTAGATAATCAGAAAGATAAAGGTGTATTTAATATATGGAAACATAAAGCAAAGCTAATGCATGCAACTCGCCGTCACGTGGCTTTGATCGGAAGTCCATCCGTTCCCCACCATCAACAACTAACACAACTACCATCACGCAATGCATCATGTCCGGTGGCTCCCGGAGCCGAGACGGCTGTTTCAACTGTCGAAGACGAAAGCGAAGATGTGACGAGGAGAAACCAACATGTCGAAGGTGTCAAAGAACAGGAGATGACTGCATCTTTCCGAGTCCAGCTTCAGCTTCGAATCCGTTAAAGTTTATCGTCGCAGCTTCTGATCATTATCTGGTCCCGAGTGATAACCAGAGCCATAGCTTTCTGAATCTCTCACCTCAAGAACTCGTTGCTGTGAATTCGAGCGGAGGAAGGATTGTTTGGAGGCAGGAATCTGTTCCCCGCAGTTTATCACCGTTTGCTTTTGAGTCGGGATGTTCGGTTGAGAAAGCTCTCGTGCAGTACTGTAAGTATTCTCACCACCGTTCATCCCCGCTAACAGATTAGATGTCGAAATAATCTCCAGGAGCAGAGTCTACGTGGACACAAACCGGAATGGCTTCCGTACATCAGTCATCCCCCGAATGTTCCAAGGTCCCCTGTTCTCTGCAGTCCTAGCCATGAGCGCAGCAGAATGGGCACAAAACATTGTCCCAGACGGAAGAGACTACCGCGCTTTGTCAATGCAGTACAAAGTCCGGACTCTCCATGAACTGCAGCATGCTCTTCCAGACTCCCAAGGCAGTGAGGGTAATCTTCTCACCTGTGTTCTTTTGGCATCTCTCGAGATCGCACATGGATCGTGTCCCACATGGCTCCGTCATCTTCAAGGCGCACTCGCTCTGCTTGAGAGTTTTGGGAGCAGTGTCGACCCCAATGTGGCCGAGTTTGTACTCCAGTATTTCCGGTTTCGATATATTCTGATGGAGACTACTCAACCTACACACCAGGACTCGTTACACCAAGCAATGGCTGGGCTGGCCAGAGCTGAGGCTACACTCCCGCATTCTCGGAATCTGGTTGATGAACAGATTGGTTGCTCAATGGATCTTGTCGACATCATCAACGAAATATCGTCACTGTCTACCCACGACATATCCAAGGATCAACTGTACACAACGGGTCAAGAAATTGAACAGCGACTCGAAGACCTCTCTTTTCAGGGCACAGACGACTATCTCTTGCGGAGCGCCGAGTCTTTTAGAATTGCTGCCCAGATCTACCTCCGCCTCGTGTGCTACAACACAGCCATCACCCACCCATCAATTCTGGCACTCCACGAATCTCTTCTTTCTTGTCTCTCCGATATCATCGTTGAAGGACAGACTCGAAGATCATTCCCAATGTGGCCACTGTTCTTGGCAGGTTGTGCGTGCTCATCAGACGAACAACGAAAGATTGTGTTGGATCACTTCATGTTGATGGATAGTAAATGGCCAATCAGCAACATATCTGCTGTTTGGAACGCTCTCAAGCTGATCTGGCATACAAGAGATCTTCAAGTGCCGAGTACGAACCAAGACTGGAGGGAGATCATCCACAAATTTGGATGGAAGCTCTCGTTATCATGACCGATTCTATTTACCTGGGTATACTCTATACTCTAATGCGACCGCACGCTAAACTTCCAACTCCCTTGACTTGCCATGGGATCCCTCGGTCCATCCCAGACTGGACACCATGATTCTTTGGCTCCTTCGTCTGCTCGTGCTCTTGATTCCTCCACCATCCGCATGATGAATTTGCTGTCCTGGACCTCTTGTTCGTCCCGATTTTGAGACAGCCATCCCTCTCTTCGTCCGTCGCCAGAATTAAGTCGATGATCGAGTGGTCGGATATCATGAGATCCCGCACTGGCTGTTCGTCCCGTTCGTAATCGTACAGGCTGACCTGTCAACATGGCCATTTCGACGTCCAAGTCAATCATTCCATCTGAAGGCCGATTCGGTCGAGAGGGCATGTGTTCTGTAGACGAACTAATCCATCGGAAGCGCTTCTTGAACAGGGATGTGCGTGTTCGATCGCGTGGCCAATTTGGGTTTCGTGCTCGTCTACGTTTACGGACATGATGCTCGATCAGGAGGTTCAGAGAGGGGAGACAGGCGCAGACAAAGCCGATTGTAATCTCGAGAGCCCTGCAATCGTTAGACAAGCGTTGCCGGGCTGAAAAACATACGTTAGAATGCCAATCGGTGTATAGTCAACAGTGATGTCATCCGAGTTCAAAAAGTCAACCGCTTTAGCAACTCGGAAGAGTGTCAAGGCTGTAGCGATTCCACCGGCCCCCAAAAGTAACACAATCTTGATCCTTTTGCCTATCGACATTCGGAGTTTCCAGGTCAACGGTATCGGAATCAACAGAATGACCAAATCCGTGACAATTGATAGCGACAGATCTGAAAAGAAGATCTTTCGTTGGTTGAGACATCGTGCGTTTCTGACATCCGGGTCCCAATATGTCCGAATGGGATAACAGTTGACAATCCGAAGGATTTGAATCGGAATGTATGCCACTAGTAGAGCCCATATCAAGATTCTGATTCCTTTTGCGACTCGTGGTTCAACGGCAAAAACCCGTGCCATCAGAAGCAGAATGGTCGCTTTGGTGAAAAAGGCAGCTGGGATATAGACAACCGTACTCGCATAGAACCACTGACTTGTTAGATCGATCGGTTACACTTGGGCTACTCACCTTTAACCAGTTGTAATATTCTGGTTTACGAATCTCCCAGGCATGATAACCTGCTCCATACCGGGCCACTACTTTGTTAGTGATGCAACGAAAGGACTGACGTACTCAGACAGGGAGTACAGGGAATAGACGTACTCATAAAGCAAGTGACGCAGTACATGACGGCGGTAATCTAAAGGTTAGCAATAGCCAGTCATCAAGAGTCGGTCATACAAATGCTGCTATACACGTCCCTAAACTGTTAGCTTTGTCTAACATGAGATATCGACATACAATCTTCCAAGCCAAAGTTCCGGCTAATCGTTCCCTTGACATAGATTCGTACTATAAAAAAGAGCGTAATAAAGAATACACATATCGTCGTCAAGGCAATATTCAACGTCCAGTAGACGTCTTCAGGACTGTTATAATCGGGAACAACCCCAGGAGGGGCATTTCGATTCGAATCGGGACCTGTTGCATTCCACATATCGTGGAAAAGGTCGAACTCATTGTAAATGGAGATGTAGAATGACGGGAGGCGATGAATCCTTGATATGAGAGTCAAGCTTTAACTAGTGGATCATCGGGGAGCCAACCGTCGACGATCAACGCCACTAACGGCTGGTGCTGAACTCTGTTTCTGTTACAGGGCTTCCTTTGGTTGAGGTCGCTGCAATGACTCAAGGCGACGAGTTAGGTCGTGGATCCTGTGGCGTAATTGGGCAAAACATGTTCTTGAATGACATATTCGAACGGCTATAGGCGATTTGGAGGAGTATTGATCTTGGCAAGGCTGTACGACCCCGAGTTCCTTCGGATATTTAAGTCAAAGCGCTACCCTCCATGAGTACAGCTTGAGGCTGCATACAACATTGTCCCAAATTCATCGACATCTTCCAACCATCGATCTACCCTCCGTCGTTGGCGATTTATTTCTTCGTCACTCATTCCATCTGGAAATGGCCACAATTCATCCAGTCGAAAGGGTTCACTTCCCCATTCGGCCAGATGAGAGTTGTAGCTTTGTTCCCATCCATTCCGATCTGCTTGCCAGAGATACTTGCTCGATGGCGAATAGAGTCCCCTCAGCTCAGTCCCCAGATACGTGGTGAGACCATCATGAGCCGACAACACATTGTCAAGAAAGTACATGGTGTACAGCGTTCGTCTCTTGGCCTCTGCCATGATCCATGATTCCCATTTCGGTAGGGCGCCTCGTTGTTCTGCCACACATACAAGCCCTTCGCGAGAAGTGGTGCATGCAATTTCCTGCAGGTTGATCATTGCCTGACGAAGAAATGGCATTGAAGGCCCTAGGTGAAAGAACAGAACCATGGAATAGATGAGGTATGCTTGAAACACTCCAAGAAGATTGACACCTTCATATGTTCCTCGCTCTTCGTAGAGTCTAGTCATTTCTCGCTGTAGGATATCTGCGGCGATACTCACGTTGCCAGGTAGAGGGTCGCATATTCGGACCAGAGTAAAACAGGTCGAGAGTGGCACCAAGGATTGCTGCATAGGATGGATGAATGGTGGCAGACGACCTCGGATCACTGTTGAGGCATACGATTTGAGCATTCGATAGACAAAATTGATGACACTTTGACTGTAGTTCTTGGGCGACTGTCCAGGCAGAGGAACATACGAGTTGAGCCATCGGTTCTTGATGTCGTCGCTGTTGATCGGACACACAAGGTCCAGTGTATCAAAGTGAAGGGCAGTGTCTGTTTGTGAGGACTGTTCAAAGTCCAGAGTGTCATGGTTTTCCCAGGTCTCCGCGTCCGGCTGCGAGTCTACGGCCGGCTCTCGAGATCTCCCAGGATAACTGCATGTTAGACTCCGCAAGGCACATCGCCCACAGGTTTCTTTGCGGTCACATTTTGCTTTGGCGGTTATACAATGTTGACAAGCTTTGACTCGAGGGGTGGAATATCTTGATCTTGAAGGTGCCATGATTGAGTAATAAATTGCATCCAAGGAGTCTTAAATAGTCGGTAATGTGTTGTTCCGACCCGTACATCACATTCGTCTGAATATCAGACGCCAAATGACATGCTGAAAGCAGCTCATATTCGTTGCTACAAAGCCAACCAAACGCCAGAAATCCAACTCGCTCATCACCAACTGGTCGTCATTCAAGGAAATGAGCTCTTCGTGATATTGGAGCTCGCACGTATCACCCTCGTTTTCGTTTCCAATTAACCCATTTTCACATCTCCATTAACCTCGGTTCGAGGAAGCATTGGCTTCTCGTCTTCTTGGGCTCTTCTTTTGCCCATACGGTCGAGCCATTGCTCAGCGCTGACAATTGTTCCATCTACGACACCACTTACTTGGACAACCATGTCCAGACCTTCTTTGGCCAAGACCAAAACTTTGTGTGCACCTTCAGTCAGAGCAGTCTCGCTGTCTTGCTGCCCGGCATTCCTGTCGGTCATGGTGGCGACACGGAATCGTTGGGGTAGACTAGTGAGATGACGTCGCACAAGGATTCGTGCGTTTTCGGGCAATGCGCCCCCTGCGTATTTCGACACAGTATTGATGGCTTCTCGCAGGGTTCTGAGGACATCGCCCTTGAGGTTTGAGATGCGAGCAGCAAGTTGAGAGCGAGATTCAGGATCAGCTTGCTCGCCAGCTTGTCCGTCAGGCACCTTTTCGTACTCATCAAGGGTTGTTTTCAAGGCTGAAATGACACGAGCAATGTGATCATTGGCCCAGCGAAGCCACTGTAGACAGTATTTGAGACTGCGCAGACTCTCCTGGCTCATGGCGACACTGAGACCAGAAGTAGACGTGATCAGACGTGACTGCCAGGCGCTGTTTGGCCGAGATGGTCGCGGTGAATTGGCATCAGTCTCGGTATATGCGGGTGATCTCAACTCATCGTAAGCAGGAAGCGTGTCAACCGTGCTAGTAGTTGACATGCGACGAGACATGGTCTTTGAAGATGGTGAAGGCGCTGTATCCATCTGTTCATCGCTCATTTGTTGCATTCCTTCAGATTCAAATCGCTTGTTGCTGACTGCCTCATCCTCATCCGTTTTGCGTCGCTTCTTGCTGTTGCCGGTTTCCAAATCCGACGTTGAGCTGTTTTGTCGCCTTCCAGCACCCAAAAACCATCTGACACCTCCTTCGACACCAGTCACTCGTCCGACTGAACCAACAGTATTCGCAATAGGAGTCAGGTATCCTTCGACATATTCGGCGCCAGATCGAAAACGCGGTGAGAAGTTCTTGGCACCACCATACGCGGAAGTGGCGCCCTCAATTGTACTGGCCAACAATGGATGAGTCGTCGTAAGCAGAGACAGAAGCGGTTCAGGCTGCGGCGATTGTTGTTGATTCGATTGAAGCCCAGAAGTCGGTGGACTGACTGGAAGAGAGGAGTTTCTATGCGGTGGTGAAGATATAAAGTCTACAACGTTAGAAATGATCGCTGTTGGAATTGGCAACATACCTGCTCTCAAATCTCCAAGCGCTTCAGCTGCCAGTCGCACATCTGGATCATCAAGGCTGACGCTACCAGCCCTCGCATCGAGAACATCAGGAGAAGCAGCGCTGACGACACTGTTGCTGCTCCCGTCAAGATCCATTCGTGTCGGGCTATCAATACTATGCGCCAGAACTGGTGGATAAGGCATAGGGTGTAGAGGAAGCCAAGTCTTGGTCGGTTCCAGGGCCATTTCGCTCGTAAGTGAACTCAGAGGTGATAACTTTGTCTCGCTATCGGCTTCGAATCTAGCCAGAGGAGGCAAAGAAGTTGGTATATCGGTAGGAACATCAGGAAACTTTGTCGCATTGGGTGAAGCGATATTGGAATAAGCTGGAGGAGAAAACGCCATCAACGATTGAGGTCGAGCAGGTGGTGGTCCGAGGACATGACGAGACTCGGACTCCCGATCAGGAAGCATGTGATTGCGCTCCATGGTCGGCGATAACACGGATATGTCAACTGAGCATCGAGTGAAATCGGCCAGTGGCCGCAAAGGATATCAGAAAGACAAAAGAAACGGTAAATAATAATGATGATGATGAAGAAGCGGAGATGTTGGGGAGATTGGGAGTGAGAGCGATCGTGGGGGGACAAGAGAAACCTGTTAACGTCAGGCGCTCGCGGGACCTTCTTTCCTGCTGCAGGGACCGGCTGAACAAACAAGCCCAGCGCAAGACGATAGCCCACTAAAAACCGGGCCGGCTACAGTGGCTTCAGGTGACTTGTTTTAGAGGCGTAGTGGGGAAGATCGCTAAGAGAGCTGCACCTAATATCAGAGCATCATCACAAGATATACCGAGTTTGGGGCGTTTCGCTTGACGATGCGATAAATTTGTTGGGCCTAGGTTTTTGCAGCATCACAAGATCAATTCGACTCAACGTCCAACGTCGAGACTAGAGTCGCTAAGAAGTGTACCTGAAGCCTCTGGGCCTCTAGCACGTGTCAAAACTGGGGATGATGATGCACCGACATCACATGCAAACAAGATACTCATCGTCACGATTGTTAAGCGGGTCGCCCGAGTCATGAGCAGTCCACTAACAAGATCAACTCAAGCACATGCCACAGAGGAAGGATTACATCCTTTTCCTGATGCGTTTGAATGTTATTTTTCCATCCAATGGAATTGTCTGACAACGTCAGATGCGATTGCTCATTGATTGCTCATCTTGAGCGATGCTAATATGTTCCTTTTCAAGTAAGGTTGCATTCACACTCTTTATCCAAACCAGTCGGCATTCGGTTACTTTATCGGACCTGTATCTGGTCCCCGATAACTGATCAACATGTGAATTTGACATGTGCGATAGATGGTAGCAATAGCGCGACGATACGGTATCATTGCCGGACGACACTTGATAGTCCAACGGGTGAGTTTGAGATTCATCTTGGACCCTGAATCGGTTGAACGGAAATCTCTGCACGGACTGAGTTTACTCTCAAACACTCAAATTACTCCGTCGTTGTCGTTTTGTGTAAATTGTGAGCTGGAGATGGGACCGACACTCAAACAACAGGACAGCCTCGCGTTCGACTTCGTGATAAACGCGAGATGGATGGACTGGTCACAAGCTCATTGGACATGCATTTGCAAATTTAACTTTGCCACGATCTTTACGAGTCCAATTGTGACAACCTCAAGATCCCTGATTGCAGATCTCGTCAAAGCAGAGACCCTGAAGTCAAGCCCCCAACAAAAAGTTGAGGCTGCGGTCACCTGCCACATTTACCCCAGATCGAATTTCATGTCTCTCAGTCACAAATTTGTCTAGTCACGAATTTGTATGTCCGGCTCCTCTGACACCGCCAAAGCAACTAATAATACTCGGGCAGTTCTTAATGGATCCAGGTTCCCTCTCCGCACCACGAAATCGCAGCTCACATCAACGGCTCCACGGCTGAAATGACAGAATGCCATTCGGTTGCAGGCTAGGTAATGGTCTGCACTGTCTAGAGGGTGCGTTGAGGAGAAGAGAAAACAAGCAGAAACAAAAAAAAAACCAAAGCTTTTAATCAAGATTTCTGATCCATCTCTCACGTGACCAAGAGCTCAAGCTACCCCACCATATCCGACATTCTACCGTGTCGTCACAGCTGGAATGACCAGGCATCCAAAAGATGCCAGCAAAACAGCTTGACCACGAAACCATTGCGCCTCGGACCATGATGATTGCCTGCGCTTCTCTATAGTCCTTAATTACTATTCAGCCTCTCCTTATTGACTGTTGTCTTTGTTACTGCGCATGACCTCCTCGTCTTGATCTTGACCGTCGCATCTATCGCGACCTCCTTTCCGCTCCGCCAAGACATCCAACATGGCATCCGCACTCTTCTTTCTAGATCTCAAGGGCAAGGTGTGTTGGACGCTACTGAGCGTGACCTCGCTGACAGTGTAGACCCTTCTTGCCCGTAACTATCGTGGTGACATTCCCATGTCAGCAGTTGAAAAGTTCCCCGTACTCCTTTCAGAAGCTGAGGAAGATTCCTCTGCTGTTCCGCCGTGCTTCTCCCACGAAGGCATCAACGTAGGTAGTCTCTATGCTTGTTGGCTCTGCTAACTGAATAGTACCTCTACATCCGCCATAACAACCTCTACCTCCTCGCCCTTACGAAACGAAACACGAATGCCGCCGAAATCCTCCTATTCCTTCACAAGATCGTCGAGGTCTTTACCGAGTACTTTAAAGCGTTAGAAGAAGAATCCATCCGAGACAACTTTGTCATCATATACGAACTTCTTGACGAAATGATGGACTTTGGTTATCCTCAAACAACAGAATCCAAGATCCTTCAGGAGTACATCACCCAGGAATCTCACAAGCTCGAGATCCAGGCACGGCCACCAATTGCCGTCACAAACGCTGTGTCGTGGCGATCAGAGGGTATCCGGTACCGCAAGAACGAAGTATTCCTCGATGTTGTCGAGTCTCTCAACCTTTTGGTGTCTGCGAACGGCAACGTCCTTCGATCAGAAATTCTTGGCGCTATCAAGATGAAGTGTTACCTCAGTGGCATGCCCGAGTTGCGCCTAGGATTGAATGACAAGGTCATGTTTGAGACAACCGGTCGAGCCACCCGCGGTAAAGCTATCGAAATGGAGGACGTCAAGTTCCACCAATGTGTACGACTATCACGATTCGAAAACGACCGAACCATCTCCTTTATCCCCCCTGACGGCGAATTCGAGCTCATGTCCTACCGTCTCAACACTCAAGTCAAGCCCCTGATCTGGGTTGAATGTGTAGTCGAGTCCCATTCAGGCTCCCGAATCGAATACATGCTCAAGGCTCGAGCTCAGTTCAAGCGCCGCAGTACCGCCAACAATGTCGAAATCGTGGTTCCCGTTCCAGATGACGCCGATAGTCCTCGTTTCCGAACAAACATTGGGTCTGTTCATTACGCCCCTGAGCAGAGTGCTATTGTCTGGAAGATTAAACAATTTGGTGGTGGCAAGGAGTTCCTGATGCGTGCTGAGCTGGGCCTGCCAAGCGTGAGAGGAGATGACGAGCAAGGTGGCGGCATGATGGGTGGTTTCGGTGGTAGCATGGGAGGAGTCGGAGGTGTGGGTAAGGGTGCCAAGCGACCTATCCAGGTCAAGTTTGAGATCCCTTACTTTACCACAAGTGGTATTCAGGTTCGGTATCTAAAGATTACCGAGCCAAAGGTACGAAACTCGTCAAACATCCGACCAAGGCTAACAATCGTAGTTGCAATATCCTTCGCTGCCTTGGGTTCGATACATTACCCAATCTGGCGATATCGCTGTACGACTTCCCGACGCGGTCTGAGTCCTACGTAATCGAGCGAAACTAGCTCATGGATGGGATAACGAACATGGGGCAGACTGCAGAGCAGGCTTCATACAGGAATGAATAATAGACTAAATCAATTCAAGCTTAAGCTGTCACATTGGTCAATCTCGAACAATAGCCCTCTCCCATTCAAAACTGCGGAGATCTTCTCGAGTTGAGTATGGGTTGTCTGGGTCGAAAAACACCTTGACAATAAATCCTTTTGGATCTTCAGAAGCTGTTGGGGGATCTGTGGTTGTTAGCTATATCAGCAATCGATTGGACGACATACGTCCTCTGGGAGCATCAGGACTCGTCCAAGCTCCGTGTCTCCATAATCGATTGTGTCCAAGAAATACACTGTCTATCGAATGGTTGCTCATCTCGCTGCCTGGTGGTGCATTCAATGCCATGAGCCCCAGGACGATAGGCAGCTCTCCTCCAAGGCCAGTCGAGTGTTGTGCATCACGTCGGGGTGCTTTGTAGGTCAGAGGAAGTAGACCGGGAATCCACGCAGGATTTCTGCCAGCAACGTGTAGCAAAGGACCAGGCCCAGGACCCATGTTGCTGGTGATGGTGCTCACTTGAGAGAGCCCGGGAATTGATGGTGGATGGAATACACGTAGGAGTTCCCAGTTCGATCTGGTGACCAGAGGATCATGCTCAGTGACCATAATTGGGAGCAGTGGATTGCAAGCAGCAACCCCAAACATTTTATACTCCTCGGCCGGGTATACTCGTCCATATTGATCCGTGATGCAGTTTCCGCGGGCGTCCACTCTCAGTAGTTGCCCTTCGGATGCTGGTAGCGTGGAAGCGTCTCGAAACCATCGCCAGTCTGGTGCTTCAGACACTTCGCCGTTCCAGTACCGCATGACTTTGCTTGGGACCTCGCCGCGGTAGAAGTTTGGTGAGCTGGGTGGAATAAGGTGGAGATAATCGTCACGTCCCGGCTCTCGGATGACAAGTTTGTTGGCGATGAACAGGAAGCCTGGGGTGGGTTGGCTTGAAGAGCTCCCTTTTCGGCTCGAGCTGTGCTTTGATGTTTTCTGACAGTGTTAGTTGAGCCTGAAGCTGGCTTTAAGCATACCTGTTTCAACATGATCACTAGTTGACTTGCATCTGTCGATCATGAGCAGTTGACTTGCATCTGTCGATCACACTCGAGCAATTACCATTTTATAACTCACTCATCCGCAGAGCCTCATCTCGGATTTGCCATTTGGGCTTTCTCCGTCACTACCGTTGAGGAAATCGACTTCCGGTGTTTGAAGCAACAGAGTGAGAATGACGACACCATACATGTCAGCTTCAGCAGTCTGCCAGACATCTTGACATATCCGTAAAGCCCATTCAAGACTTTTGAGTTAAGGATTGGTGCCACGCTTCATGGTACTTCTGAATGCTGTGCAGGGAATATGAAGACACCCTAGTTCATGCAACATCAACGCGGCCCGACCCCTCTTACGCTTCTTCTGCTCGACACCGGTGACCCATACTCCACGGATCGATGGAGACTTCAACCGCCCTCCCACCGGGTAAGTTGTCTGATTGATTTGTCAAGAAAGCGGGCCAATGGGTGAGATAAGATCTTGATGTCGATCAGTTGTTGGCGCTAACCCATGATTATCTGGTGACTTGCGACTTGGCAACGTTGGATTATGCGATAGGAGCTGAACTGCATCTGAGGCCAGAGGACGTCGGTGTCTCCGCAAGATGTGTCTTGGTCGTGTGGGAACCTTGACAGGTGACTCGAAGCAACCAATGCTCAAGCCTCTTCTGATGGTGTTGAGTTCGGGTTCATTCAAGTCCGAGTAGACTGCTCGCTTGCAACTCTTTGGGGGGTGGCGTACACCGTAAGATGGTGAATGTAACCGAGGCAAATCGCGATCGAATACTCACTGCGAGGCCATCAAGTTGGTGGACTCGTGTTTCAACATTATCATACATCTTCGGTGATGTTTGTGTGACGCGAGCGGAATCGCGTATAGCGAGACATTTCTTGTATGAGAGCTGCAGACTTCTGCTCGTCTCAGTCAGACCGTAATCTCAACGGCTGGAGGCCTGATTGATCTACTCCGATTGTTGTCAGTATCTCGCTGGTGTTTTAGCTTGAGCTTCTTCAATGTGGTTGCTGATCAGAAGGAAGAGTTGGAAACAAATGTGCGATATGGATCATTTAAATAGTAGATAATTGTGATTTTGATTGGAATTGTTGCCTTGCGGATGGTTCGCAATCGCCTTCTGCACCTCTTGCATGAGACGAGAGGAAACAAGATCTATCACATAACCCCGCTGGATCAACGCTTTGCACGCTTGGCTGGTCCAGATTCGTCGTCCATTGTCATCTCAACGTCGCCAGAAGTTGCGGTAATGGCTTCTTGAAGTAGTTTCTTCTCTCCAAGTCTGACAGCAATAGCCATGCGAGTTCGTTGGTTGAGGTCTTGTTTGAGTAGAGCTTCGTCTTCGGAAATGCTTGTCGGGTATCTTGCTACGAGAGCCTCCAACGTCTTGGCCAGCACAGCTTGGTGGATCTCGTCTCTCTTTCGCTTGTCGGGGATAGCATCGGGTTGTGCTTTCTTTATACCTTTGAGGAATGTCTTGAGTTGTTCTTGGAGATCTTCGGGCATGCTTTCGAATCGAGCAGACTCAGCAAAGGTGCCGTCCGAGTTGACCTCGCCTGTTTCTCGCTCCAAAACGAATGTGTCTTCAAATTCTTCGTCCTCTTCAAGAGCGCCACGCTATTCAGGTTAGCTTGGTCAACTTCAAGCGGCTCGACCTACAATCTGCTCCAAGACTTGACTTGGGATGCCAAAGTTGGCGGACAGAGCTGACTCGACAATGTCCCAAGGAATCTCGACAACATCATAACGGGAATGCTTCTCGGTAACGTATCCGTATCTTCTTAGGAGCTCCGAGTTCGGGTGAGGACCATAGTAGTTGAGAATCTCTTCACCCGCCTTGATGGGCCTCAAGCTGGTCACGGTGAGACTGTCCTCTTCGTGGTTGACGTGAGCCTATTCTGTTAGCTTTGCCAATCACTCAAGAAATGACCTACGTTGAATTCGGCGTCGGCATTCAGAATATCCGCCATTGGTACCATTCCCATCATTGACTTTCCATCTCGATCCTCGACCCAACCATCAGCCTCCTCTTCCTCTTCCTCGTCGTTCTCAAGATCAAAAGCATATGCCATAATGGTGCTACCCATTCGGTGGGCAATCTCAATAAGCTCTGCATCAGTCTTGTTCCCGGCGTTGAAAATCTCCGAGTTGCTTCTAATAATGGGAAGCAGTGTCTTTTGGAACATATTTTCAGCCTCAGCTTTGCCGATCTTGTGTCGCATATGACTGGCCTGAAGCTGGTCAAGCTCATTGTCGGACCAAAACATGGGCGTATCAAATGACGAAGGAAGAACATCGAAATAAGGCTTCCACTTGGAGTTTTCACCTTGAAGATACTCGTAAATCATGATGAGGATAAGCGAACTCCAAGAATCCAATCCCGGTGCGTCATCGTCAGGCTTGTCGAGATCAAAAGCATCCGGAATCCTTTTTGGTAGCTCCGAGGTTTCAACATTGATGATTCCTCTTCTCGGAATGGTAAACAGAGTTGTTTCCGCAGGGATATCCTCGAGAGCGACTGTTTTGTTAGCTTGACTTTGAAGGCATGCAGGCACCTACTTATACCACGACCAGCATTGCGACCACGAAGATCAACAATTTTGATGGCGTCGGAGAATGTAGCATCTGGCAGAGACTTGAACCAGTGTAAAAAGCTTTCGCTTGTACCGTCAAAATTTGTAGAACCCATTGTTTGTTGTTGAAGAAGAAAAGTTGAGGCTTCCAGGTTGACTTGGGAAGGTATGAAAACTTTTCAAACCTCCTACCCTGTATATTCGGCACATCAATCAACACCTCAATCGACACCACTCAATTGACATTCATGCAGTTTTATTAATTGTACACTATTTAATGCGATTGAAATTAGACATGATCATTCTTCATCTCCATTCTGCTTCACCGCAGGTGTTCCATCTTTGCCCTCCTTTGCCTTCTTAATCTCGCGCTTCTTCGGTCGCAGCCATTCTTCCATGCCTTCAGGCCAATACACTCTTGCTTGAGGACCTCCCATGCCAAAATCTTCAGCGCTAACAATCTTTTCAGGAACTTCAATGTCATCCTCCGCTTCTCCGTTGACGCCGTTTGCTTTCTTGCCCTTCTTTGCCTTCTTCTTGACGGCTTGTCGTGATTCATCTGGTCGTTCATATGGTACAATATTGTTAAAAGTGTCCCAACCTGGCAGTTTAAAAGTTCGCATTAGTTCAAAAACAGCTTGCTCTTTATCCTTTGCTTCTATCATTAGATCCATATCGGGGGCACATGGTGGGAGAGTCTTGACTCTGGCGGAATGCTTGCGACGATCTCTTGGTGTGACTGCACTGGATGTCTGCTCGCTGTAGTGCATTTTCTGGGTGATTCCCTTCTTGGTCCAGGTAGCTTTGATACGATCGTAGAGGCCTATAATGTCTTGGGAACCTTCTCTTATCGATGGATCAAAGATGATGTTGTGATGGTGGTAGTCGAGCACGAGAGGAATGTTGAGTTCCTCGCAGACAGGCAACAGATCGTGAACACTCCATGCGACATCGTCATTCTCCAACACCAATCTTCGCTTGACACTGTCTGAGAGTTTTGCGTAGTTCTCTTTGAATCGGTCAACGGTTGCTTGCTTGTCGCCGTAGACGCCACCCATGTGCAGGATCATGACAGCATCGCGGTCAAGTTGTTTGGGAAGTTTGAGTAGAGTAAGCATCTCATCGTGGTACTCTAGATCGCGTATGGCAGCGGCAACAACTTCCTTGCGCGGAGAACCAATCTGTGTGAATTGTCCAGGATGTGTTGTTACACGATGATTCAGCTCTCCAGCAACTCTGCCAGCTTCAGCCAGCACATCTGACGCAAAGGGCGCTAGCTTGTAACCATGTTCTGGATGACTTGCAAATGGAAACATCTCGCTACTCAGTCTCATAAATCTGATGCCATACTTGACATTCCATCGAATCATTTTGACAATATCTCTTGCATTCGCCAAGCCCAAATCTTGTACGTATTTGAGTCCTCGTTCGTGGTCTGCGGGTTTGTTCTTATCCGGTCGATTCTTGGTAGGGTGTTCTGGCTCATCAGGGTTTGTTAAAGGGTGTCGGTGTTCAACAATGGAGGCCATGCGACAGGTCCTCGAGGAAAAGACAGCAGGAGTCGCATTGCGCAGGTATGTATTTAGGCATGCCTGGAGAGTCAGTAATGTCTGCACATCACAACGAGAAACTCACATATCCTAACCTTCCTTTCCATGGTAGAGGAAGAGTTTCACTGTTGACAGGGGGAGGCCGGTTGGCACCTCGGTCCATGGCATCGTCTTCAGCTTTGGCATCAGCGACGTCGCCAGCAGCAAGTTTGGCGTCGTACTCATCCAGTGGTACAGAGTTGGCAACCTTTGGCTTTCCATCCAAGTTTCCCCTGGTAACAATAGTATCCTGGTTCGGCGCATACATCTTCGGTCGGATACCAGGTTCGTCGGCGACCTCCTTCGTTACATGAAGATCTGAGGACTCAACAGCAAGACGCTGTCTTCTGACGGCAGTCTGCAGCTTTTGCTCCATCTCGCTCAGCTCGCGCATGGCTTCTTCGACACCTTCGCCTGTATCCCAGACAGCCTTTGTTTTCTTTGGGCTGGCAGCTTTCATGGAATCTGTCTCTGACTTTGGCCGTTCGGCAGCATCCTTTATTCTTCGACTGCTTCTCCTGGGGGTATCAGACACCTCAGGTATCGGAGGTGGCGGATGAGCCTCAGTTCTCTTCCGTTTTGAGGTCATGGTTGTAGTCGTGCTATAAGCTCTAGGAACCGAAAGTCGCAGGGAGAGTCTTCCAGCAGATGTCAAGAAACGAAGTGACATATGTCAAGTGGTATAAACGAGGAAGAATTGAGGGTCATGAGGCGATAGCAGATATAAGCGACAGCCAAGTACCTGATAAATTCGGCCACGAACATTCTCCAACATTTAAAGTAATGGTAGTCGGAGGAAGTGGCCCGAAGAGCCAATGACGCAGGGTGCGTCATGCATGGTCTGGGAACGATGTTGCCTCCGGTAGGGCTAGGTCATTATTTCCGGAGCAAACTGTCGCTGGTAACACGATGGGCACAAAGCCCCCTGAATCACCAGTTGAATTGCTGGCTGAGGTCTCTAAACGATCAACGACCAAAATTCTCGATCCAGGCTTTGTTGATGGCGATGAAGTCATCTAGACTTGGGTGGGCGGGAGGATCGCCGATCCGTCAGGTGGCGGTACGTACTTTGTCAACTTTGCTCCGCTGTGACGCTCAAACCACCCAACAACGGGAGGCTGCATCAACCGTAGGAGATACTCCGAAAGAAATGATGAGCGCGGCCAATGAACGCGGTCGGAAGGCCCGGGGAAGTATTAGGTGTTCCACGAATAACTGACACATTTAGAAGGGGAATCGAGATGCTGAAAGTGATTGTGGCTGGAGCTGGACTAATTAGGAACCATCCCTTGCTGGCTGCTTGTAAGCATCATCAAGCTGTTGACGTTGAGACATGGCTAGGCATCGAAGCCAAGCATTTAAACTAGAGATTAGTGATCAATTAAGATGGTGATCACCAAAACGGTGTCACGCTCAGAGCTGTTTCGCGACGTGGCATCCCTTTGTAGTACGGGACCCTGCATACAGGACAATCATATCGTTCGATCAAGAACCAGGAGGAAAGACATTTTGAATGAAAAGAATGCCCGCATGCGTTTATCGTCATGATGTCGTCTTCAGCTTCATCGGTTTGTACACTTGGATCGGCCATCGTTTGTGCACTTGTGCCTGATTTATCGGTCGTCTGCACACTGGGACCGGGTTTATCATTCGTCTCACGAGACGTCACCGTTGAAACCTTTTCGAGAATCGGACGTGGGTCGGCGTTGACGGTATGTACTGGTTCTGGAACAAGAGGACCTATGCAGATCGGACTAAGAATGTCAGATCCAGGAGCGGCCCGTAACAGCTCCGGCCGGGAGCATGAAAGCGGAGACTGAGCTTCCGATACCTTGGCCGGAAGTGGATGCACTCACCATTCACCGAACCCGGAGAGTGGAGTCTGAGCTTCAATGTCGGCGGTGGGATCGGGATTCACTTGTGGAATGACCGTTGAGGTTGTAACGGTGCTGAGCTTTCGGCGCGCATTGTCCAGTTGATTAGGTTGGGGATTGAAAACCTTCTCCGACGCTCTCCGCACGCTCATCCTGAAGCATGCTCTTTTCCAGTTAGCATTGGCCAATCTGACAGCGGAAGACGTACAGAGGGCCCATGATGATGATGAAGAGAAAAAGCACGAGCAGAATGATCCCGACTGGCTCCATTGCAGCGATAAACGAAAATGCGGTGTTTTGTGAGGGTTCAGTAGTCAAATAGACAAGCGCGAGAATTGCCTGATGATGGTCGCGACATGTGACTTTAGTTATAGCAATCGAGACTGATTAACATGCTTGCAGTGGCGGCTACAAGCCCAAGACCGGTTCTAGAACATCTGAATGATTGTTTGGTGCCGGGACGGAATATCGCAACGGCATGGCTGCACCAGCAGTTCCGGCCATTGATTGATGAGTATTTCGAGCCCGTGACAATGATTCAGCTTTAGAGCAGATGACGAGATGTTTATTGTCTTGGCGGAGCTTGGCAATCATTGCGAAGTTGATGTTGGTATCAGAAGGCTGAGGCTGCAAGGCCGCTAAGGTATCTTGGCTTTATCAGTGAGCGGGCGAGTCGACTTCAGCGAATTTGGAGGGCAGCCCGGGCAGGGCAGGGTACCATCGGTAGGAGCTGTAGTCTTCTACCGCAAGAGGAATAGAACAGACGAATAAGATGTTAGCATCTCTTTTCTCTTCTCCTACGTAAGTGCTATGAATACGAATAATAAGTACATTTTAATCCTGGTTCTTAAACGTCCAAGACTACGTAATTGCCGAATCTTATCTCACATATCGCGGAGACGGGAATCTGGGGATATTTTAGACCCTTGAACGTAGGAGTTGAAGACCGGCTCCCCGATGGAGAGACCCGCTTTTCCGATACCCTCGTTTCTCTGAGAATCTGATCTAAAAATGGCTTCAAGCTTAACCAGTACCGAGATGATAAACACGAAACGTTTGTGCGACTCTCTGAGCACTTGTGCGTCTCAAAAAATACCAGGAATAGCTGTTTTCAGCGTGGAATTATGTCATTGCCGTGTGCTCTATCTAGAGAACCAGGTTGGAGGACCCGGCAACGCCAAGAAGCAAGGACCGCCACTAGCGACTTTAAGCTCTCGAGATAAACTTGGCGCATCACCCCTTGTATATCCAATGATTCCCAGCGCAGATACAGATCCTGCTTGAACAAGGTTGCTTGAGTTCTATGGATTCCAACTTTGAGTTGATTTTAAACTCTGTAGGCTTCAAAGTACTCAGACTAGACATTGATCGCTCAAGTCACCAACGGGTGGCAATATCTTCAACAGAACCTCCAAACCGCCTCAACAATGCGGCTTAGGACGTCTCCGACGGATCGTCTTGGCATATTACTCTGAATGCCAATCATCTCCACATATAAAAATTCTCCTCCAAATAGAACTGTTTAACCTGAGCGCTCTTGGCGCAACCTTTGTTTCGCATGCATCTCCTGTGATGGTCACTCTTGGCACATCCACCATGATCCATCTCACGGTCCATCGGTGTCCTACTTGGAAGGTATCTTGATGTCTCCCCTGTGACGGTACACCTTAAAAGGGCTCCTCCCTCTCCTCTTTCTGAACTCCTCAACTCATTCCTCTTCATCAACTGTCAAAATGGGTCAGAACGAAGAAGAGAAGCCTCACATCTCGGGCCAAGCCAACTCTCCCATGTCGGCACCTGCTCATGCTCTTACCTTTGAGCAGGTCGCCCAGGAGCTGAACGGCAATCTCGATGATGGTCTTACTGAATCCGAGGCCAGACAGCGTCTCGAGATATATGGCCGAAACGAATTCGGTGAACAAGAAGGCGTTCAACCTCTCAAAATCTTTATCGGGCAGATCGCCAATGCCTTGACTCTAGTAAGTTACCTCACACAGGCTTCCTCAAGTATACTTGAAGAAGCTCAGAGACAACGGTAGAGTCGCTCATTTGCCCTTTGGGGTACAGGTTCTCATCCTTGCCATGGCTGCCTCTTTCGGAATCCAGTCTTGGATTGAAGGTGGTGTAGTAGCCGCCGTCATTGTCCTCAACATTGTCGTTGGTTTCCTCCAAGAGTTTCAAGCCGCCAAGACTATGGACTCTCTGCGTTCTCTCAGCTCTCCTACCGCCCACGCTGTCCGTAACGGTAACAACCAAGTCGTCGTGACTGCTGAGATTGTCCCTGGTGACATGGTTGAACTCAAGACTGGTGACACCATTCCTGCGGATATCCGTCTTGTAGAGGCTGTCAACTTTGAAACCAACGAAGCACTCCTCACTGGCGAGTCTCTGCCTGTTCGCAAAGAGATCAACAAGACCTTTCCACATGATACCGGCCCTGGCGACCGACTCAACGTTGCCTACAGCTCGTCTACTGTGACAAAGGGACGAGCCCGCGGCATTGTGTTCGCTACCGGTACATACACTGAGATTGGTCAGATTGCTGTTGCTCTCCGTGGCAAGTCTTCCAAGCGCCGACAGCCGAAGAGAGATGCCGAGGGCAACACCAACTTTGGCCGCTGGATGCAAGCTTGGACCTTGACCGGTTCTGATGCTGTTGGACGCTTCCTCGGTGTCAATGTCGGTACTCCTCTTCAGCGCAAGCTCTCCAAGCTGGCACTTATTCTTCTCGGAACGGCTATTGTGTGTGCTATTATTGTTCTGGCAGCCAATGATTTCAGGTCGCAGAGGGAAGTCATCATTTATGCCGTGGCAACTGGTCTCTCTATGATCCCAGCTTCTCTGATCGTTGTTCTCACCATTACTATGGCTGCTGGTACCAAGCGTATGGTCCAGAGAAATGTCATTGTCCGTAACCTCAAGAGTTTGGAAGCTCTGGGTGCTGTGACCAGTAAGTACCACTCAGTGTCATACAGACTTAGCTAACCTTTTAGACATTTGCTCTGACAAGACCGGAACCCTTACCCAAGGTACCATGATTGTCAAGAAGGCTTGGATTCCCGGACGCGGCACATACTCTGTTGGTGCTTCCAATGAGCCATTCAACCCTACCCTCGGAGATATCACCCTGACTGAAGACCAACCCAAGAACATTGACTTCCAGAATGAAAAGTCTGAAGGTACATCAATCGACCCCGCTTCCCAGCCTGCTCAAGACCCCAGTCTTGTCGAGTACCTCAATGTTGCTTCACTTGCCAACCTTGCCACTGTCCACGAGATTGAAGGCGAGTGGCATGCTCGTGGAGATCCAACAGAGATTGCTATGCAAGTATTTGCTTCTCGATTCAACTGGAACCGCATGCGATTGTCGTCTGGCGATAACCCGCGCTGGCACGAAGTTGCCGAATTCCCTTTCGATTCAGATGTCAAGAAGATGTCGGTCATTTTCCACGACAGCGAATCTCAGAAGCAATGGGTCTTTACCAAGGGTGCTGTTGAACGTGTCTTGACTTCTTGCCCTGTTTATGCCGCTGGTAACGAAATCCTCGAGTTCACCGATGATATCAAGGAAGATGTTTTGAGAAACATGGAGTCTCTGGCTCGCCTCGGTCTTCGTGTTCTTGCTCTCGCCAGTCGAACAGATATTCCCCATGTTGAGGACAATGAGGCTGAGCTTGACCGGGGACTCTTCGAGAAGGACCTTGTCTTCCGTGGTCTCATCGGCCTGTATGATCCTCCTCGCCCCGAATCTGCCCCATCCGTCCGAAAATGCCACGAAGCGGGCGTGAGCGTCCACATGCTTACTGGTGACCACCCTGAAACAGCTCGTGCTATCGCTCTCGAAGTTGGTATTCTCCCTGCCAAGATGTCTGAGATCCCCAAGGATGTTTCCAAGGTAATGGTCATGGCTGCTTCAGAGTTTGACAAGCTGTCCGATGATGAGATCGATCAGCTTCCCCTTTTGCCTCTTGTCGTCGCTCGTTGTGCCCCCCAGACCAAGGTCCGTATGATTGAAGCTCTCCATCGACGCAAGGCTTTCGTCGCCATGACCGGTGATGGTGTCAATGACTCGCCGAGTTTGAAGCGATCAGACGTGGGTATTGCCATGGGACAGGCTGGATCTGATGTTGCCAAGGAAGCGTCCGACATTGTCTTGACTGATGACAACTTTGCTTCTATTCTGAATGCTGTTGAAGAAGGCCGAAGAATGTTTGACAACATTCAGAAGTTTATTCTGCACGTTTTGGCTGAGAATATTGCCCAAGCCTGTACACTCCTGATCGGTCTTGCTTTCAAGGATAAGGATAATCTGTCGGTTTTCCCTCTCGCACCAGTTGAGATTCTCTGGATTATCATGATCACATCTGGTATGCCTGATATGGGTCTCGGCTTTGAGATTGCCGCTCCAGATATCATGCAGCGTCCTCCTCAAAACGTATGTGTCCCTTCTTCGGGTTCCCTTCTCATGATTCCCACTAACCCGTCTGCCTGTAGTTGAAGCAAGGTGTCTTTACCCCTGAACTGATGCTCGACATGGTCGTCTACGGTCTCTGGATGTCAGCCCTTTGCCTCGCCTCATTCGTCCTCGTGCTGTACGGCTTCGGCAATGGTGCTGCTGACATTGGGGAGAACTGCAACAACACGTACAGCGAAGACTGCAAGGTCATTTTCCGTGCTCGTTCAACAACATTTGCATGCCTGACCTGGTTCGCCCTGTTCCTTGCTTGGGAGATGATCAACATGAGAAGGTCTTTCTTCCGAATGCAACCCAAGAGCAAGAAGTATTTCACCCAGTGGATGTATGACGTCTGGAGGAACCCCTTCCTGTTCTGGGCCATTATTGCTGGCTTTGTCACCATGTTCCCTATTATCTATATTCCTGGACTCAACACTGTCGTCTTCAAGCATGCTCCCATCTCTTGGGAATGGGGTATTGTTTTTGTCGAGGCTGTGCTCTTCTTCCTCGGTATTGAATCTTGGAAATGGGCTAAGCGTATCTATTTCCGTCGCCAGGCTCGTAAGTCTACGGGCGGTGTTTCTGATCTGGAGACTCGTGTCTTTGGCAAGTATTACAGCATGGGTGGAAGCCGTGATGAGGAGAGTGGCCACAATGAGAAGAGCTCCGATTAGCTGGATGATAGGTGTTGCTGATCTAGAGATGGTCGGTAAGTATGTTGTCATTAGGTAGGTCACTGCAAGCGTGTGATCGTTAGTTAGTTAAATTGATACTAGTTAGCGAACTTCTTTATAATCCAGTCTTGTTAGGTGAAGTCTTGACGAAGTAGTTCCTACAAGCCCACGAGCTACCAGTGGTGAGTGAAGCAATTGCCCAAACTGCTAGGCCTGGCTGGGTCACTCACAAGTGTTTGGAAGTACGAGGGAGAACACCTCGATCCATGGGAGATGCTCACAAACCAAGTATTGATTGCATGATCTTGCCAGTGCCAGCAGCCGTCACTGATAAATAGGTTCCACTCTGATTCACGGCGCTTGCTTCACGATGCTTCTTTGCCCTCCTGAATCATCCTCTCTTCTTCCTCTCACTCCTTTCGCTTCATCCTCATTTGATCTTTGTGCAGTACTACAAAGGCATTATCTATTGCCATTTCGGCACCTGCACCTGATTGTACTTATTTATCATCTTCTTTATCAGGTATGTTCACCTACCGCTCCAACATTCACCGACACTGACATTAACAGAAGTACGCGATCATTTATTCCTGTAAAACTGAGCAAGATGAGCTACTTGTCTGGAAGCAACACGAAGGCATCAAACGGGCTGGAAATCGTCTCCCAAGATGAGGCTTTTCGTCGACTCGGTCCAGAAGGACGCCGCATAATGGTCACTGCGGCTCAACACAGCATCGATACGTATAAAGAATACGCATCCAGAAACCTTGCTGAGACAGCTTACGACCACATTCCGCTGAGACGTAAGGAGTAATGGCGGGGAACTTGACGGTTCATCTGCTAACAAAAGTTCAGGCAATGTCAATGCCGACAAGATTTCCACCACCAAATCTTCGCAAGATGTGGACAATGTTCGAAAAATCGGGCGGCTGATGGAGCGAGTTGAGGTGTTGGAGGCCGAGAATCGTGCTTTGAAGAAAAAGAACGCCGAGTTCGAGGATAAAAATCGGTCTTTGAAGAGAAAGAACACCGAGTTCGAAGATAAGCAGGCAAAGATGGCGAAGCTGCTTGCAGATGATTGAGAACAACTCACAACTCACCTGTTTAGTTGGCGTGCTTTGGACTGCATTATCTGGACCTGCTGGCAATTGCATGCCGCTGATTTATGCTGGCATGCGCGGTTTACAAGATCTAGACCAAGCAGGATCAATATCGTTTCATCTCATCGTAGAGATGGCCAATCAACCAAGTTTGAGTGGTTTTTCGAATGACGAACGAGGTTGCATCGCATCCAACCATTCCCCTCTAACCATTCGGCTGTGTGACGACCCCTTCATCGTGAAAATGACGTAGAGGCCGGCAATTTCATATACGATCAACAAGATCAGATAATCTGGAATTCTCGTATATACAGTACCAACTCATGTTTACAATATCTAACTGTGATAGCAATATGACTGTGATAACAAATATAAATCGCAGAACTCGTTTCATGCATTCACGTGCGTAATCTCACGATATTCCAGATGTTTCTTGCATCAAAGAGGGTGTACTAGAAATCGGACGACAAGGGTATTCCCAGTCACAACCGTTATGTACGACCAAAAACCCCCGACTGAAAAGGTTAGAATAACGGGATTAACAGCGACTCCCTTATTGTCTTCACAAAAGTCATCGTCCATTCAGCATCACACGCCATTAACCAAGGCTTGGTACGTACCCAGCCCCTCCAAATCCTGGGGTCTCAGGCCACTGCGTCATTGGATCTTATAGGGCCCCCCCGCCTCTTTTCACTGATGATCTGCTCACGAGCACAGGGTTTCATCTTTCAACCTGATCTCGCGACTACATCACAGGCAAACACCACGTTCAGAACGCACAATATCTCAGATACAACGCCTTGGGCTTGAGCTCTGGCTTTAACCCTTTCAACTCAAGCTTCCGACTATACCAAAATGGCTTCTGCTGTTGATTCTCCCCCGGCGCACTCGCCTCCTGCCCATCCTCCTCAACGACCTCGAGGTGAGTTGCCTGAGACTATTTGTGACCTCTCTAACAGTTCCAGGCATCCTCAAGAACTCGTATCAGAAATCTCCTCCCACCTCGCCGAACCACGATCAACCTGCCAGCGATAAGGAGCTCACCATCGCCAACACTCAGATCAACGCTGGTCACCGACGTTCTTCCTCTGGAGCTCGTCCCTCTGGATCCCGCCGACAATCAGGCGCCAATAGTTCCATCGGAGACGTTCTCGAACCCTCGCAGCGACTCAAGTGGGACGAGGCAAACCTCTACCTCACGGAGCAGGAGCGCTCCTCTACCATGAAGATCACGGAACCAAAGACTCCCTATGCCAAACACTACGACCCCGCCGAAGACCCGTCGGACGAAGACGAGGATCCTCTGGCGGACGCTGGTGCTCGTCTTAAGAATTCACGTCCAAGCCGTGAAGATGACATTCCGGGCCTTTCGCTGGGCGAGCCGGAAGAGGAGATCCCGGAAGCGGGCGCGCCGTCACCCCGCAGCGAAAAGAGCGTCCACGTCGACGACGAGAGCAGCATCGGGCACAACGCGGAGGAGGAGCTGGCGGGCATGTCTCCAGAGGAGCGTGAGAAGCACAGAAAGTTTGAACAGCTCCGAAAGAGACACTACGAAATGAAAAATGTGGCCCAGCTCCTGGGCCACCCCGAGACGCTCCCGGATGAGGATGAGGATGACGAGGGTGAGGTGCCGCCTCTGCCACAGGTACCGCGCGTGCCCAACGGCACTGCGTAGGGTGCTGGGGAGACATGATGAGGGCTGTGAACTGGCTAGGGCATTAGGATGGAGTTTTGAGGATATCATTATTGGGCGTTGGCAGAGGAGGAGTGTGTTATCTGATTACTCGCTCGCTTTCAAGATTCTGATGGAGACCAAGGGCACATAGTCTTATTGGTAGAGGACATGTTTCATTTCCTAATATTTACGGTTATCACTCGTATTGTCGTTCGTGGTGTTATGAGATTTGTCGATGTTCACAGTAATCCCTTTCTTGCCAATTCAATCTTTCGAGCTGTTTCACCAGGCCGAAATCCACCACGAGAGACGCAGAGACGTTGTCCCTCAGCTAATTCGAACTTTTCTTGTTGAGCATCCCAGGCGCAGGGACAATGGTGAGGAAAGTGGACGCAAGCGAGGGTATCGGGGCAGAGGTATTTGTCGCAGACAGCTGAACATGTTAGCAATGTCAGAAAGTTGTAGGTATACTTACAGTTCTCGTAATTCTGCTTGTAGTGGTTCGCATCGCTTGGGTTGTTTTGCTGTTGCGCTTGATGATGTTCGTGGCCTCCTTGCTGGTTAAACATTTGATCAAAGAAGCCACCGAATTGGGCATTGACCAATGTCAAAAGAGACAGAACAGCAAAAAGGTACCGCATTTTGTTGATGATTCTACAGAGCAGTGTTGATGTTGCAGCTGAGTTTAGGGAAGCTGTCCACAACCTTATCGATAAGCGATGACTAAGCGCAAAAACTCCATCAATTGAGGATCAAGCGTTGCTAACCTCACTCAGCCCATATCGTCACAAATCGCCGGCATGAGGTTCCTCACGATGCAGCGGCCAATATTGGCTGCTGTGGCCAGTCTAGCGAGGCCGGCTTTCACACCTGTCGCTCCTCTGGGTGTCCAACTGGCCAATTCGCTCGTCCAAGGTCATCGATTTGCCTCGGTCAAGTCACAGGGAGCATACAAGAAGAAGCCCAAGAGGGGTATTCCAAAGAAGCTCGGTGCAAAGCGTACAGGAGGTAGGTTCCTCTTTGAATGAGCTGGACTGGGCTGACCTTTAGATCAATTCGTCATTCCTGGAAACATCCTCTACAAACAGCGCGGTACGCATTGGTGGCCTGGAGAGAATTGCATCATGGGTCGAGACCACACCATTCACGCAATGGCAACCGGATATGTCAAATACTACCGCGATCCCTCGCTACATCCCGACCGCAAATACATCGGTGTAGTCTTTGACAAGAACGACACACTACCATATCCCGCTCACGCCCAACGCAAGCGAAAACTAAACATGACCGCCTTCCCCATCAAAGAGGTCGCCGCGCAGCCCGAGATCTCGCCGTCCGGAATCCCCTTCCAGGTCAACCGTGTGGAAGCAGGCGAGCCAGACAGATTGCTCAAGCTGCGAAAGGACTACAGTTATCGAGAAGACAACTGGGCTATTGGAAAGCTGGCCAAGACGACGGGCCTCAAGACCAAGCGATTCAGGACACGAAAGCAGTGGTTCAGACATAGACGATGGAGGAGAGAGAGGGAACTTGAGGGACAGAGAAAGGCGGAGCAGAAGAGGGCTGAGAGCGGCGGGGAGATTAAGGCTGTCAAGGTGCTTAGCCAGAAGCAAGCCAAGAAGGCGAAAAAGGCATCAAAGAAGAAATAGTGGTCAGATGCGATGGAAAGGCTGTAGAATAGGTGGACAATTGTATGTATAGCTGTACATTATGAGACATGTCGAAATCAGAAGCTGCAGTGGAGTGAATTGAAAATAGATCATTTGTAATGCTCAAACGGTTCATATGCAGTGTTAGTGATATATTCGCTGGCGGAGGTCGTTTTGGGGAACTTTTGGGGGTATCTCTCACCTTAATTCTGCAGCGAGGTACATCCTGCCCCTAACCGCGCTATAACCTCATTCGCGTCGGCGCGTCCAATTCACTTTCATCATCAGCTCACTCACCTCATCGATTCATTTCATTTGTGCGACCCGACTTGAGGGCTTCTTATTCGTTCCTTAGTCTCTTTTTCAGTCCGTCTCTCACCCCCATGAGATTTTCAACCTGCAGCCAGTCCTTGATCCTATAATGTCCAGCAATGCAGACCCTACAATCGTAAAGAGCACAGGCTTTAAACCGTGGAATTCAGTCAAAGCCAACGTCAACATCCCGGAACCTTCACGTATTGTCAGCGACATTGTCGGAAGCGCAGCAGTCAAAGCTTCAGCGGCTGGTATCCTATCGAGCAACCCTCGAATTCAAGCAGCTCAGTCTGAATGGGAACGTAGACAGGGTATGTCTTTTCTACCTTAGACGCCGTTCATTTCTGACATGACCAGCACAATACTTCCAACAGTCACCTGCATCGTCTCAAGTGATGTCTCGAAAGAGAAACACGCCCCCAGACTTTTCACATTCAGACTTTTCATCCGTTCTCCCCAAAAGGACTCCCGCTGATTACGCCCGTATCCGCGAAGCTCGTCGCTTTACGGAAGCCGAGGTCGCGAGACAACTGGCAGATATCAACGGGGCGGCTATCAAGAAGAGCGCCATGCATCATTCATCTCAATCTGCCGTGGTCGCTCTCACTGGGGCCGAGTTGCTCAAAAAGTACACAGGCCAAGGGACACCATCGCCAACACCTGGACCAGCAAGATCACCGGATATTCTTGCACCTGAGCCTCGATTGGAGGCAATTATCATGGCTGAACCCGGCCGAGCCTACTCTGTATATCCAAGTAGGTAGTCCAAATCACTGCATCGAGCTGCTCTAACATACTCAGTCCCCGAAGGTGGTGCTACCTCTGCTCGTGGGGCACTCATTCCGGCAAACTACAAACTCCACGACGACCCTGTACTTCCATACATATGTCCTGTGCGAGATTGCCGCCGCGTGTTTGGCAAACTGATTGGTCTTGGTGGACATTTCGGTGCTGGCCATTGCTCAACGACATTCAATGACAACGGAGATGGCACATTGACCAAGGTCGGTAACTATCAGAAGGATGGTCCTGGAGGTACACCTGGAATCGTTGTTTCCAGAAACCCACTTCCTCCTGACGCACCACCTCCAGTCGACCCAGGGTTGTCGGTATTCGCCTCATTTCAGCAAAACCGAGTGTCTCGGGCTGCCGAACAGGAGAGGAAGACGACACGCTCACAGGATTCTCCCTACCGGCCAGCTGTGCAAGAATCGGAGGTTAAGCAATATCTCCACCAACACCTCAGTCCAGCCCAAAAGTCTCATCAACGAGAGGACATCAATTTCATGCTAACGTTGCCTCGCATACGTGAGCTGCCTGAGGGTTGGAAGCATACCCACCGGGGAAGCAATCTGGACATCACTCATTATTCCTGTGCAGTGGCATACCTCGTAGGCACATGTGTGGTTGGCAGCGAGCAGTGCACAGCTAATACCACCCGACCATCCGCAAGACTATCGCAGCCCTGCGTACGCCTCCCGATCGGCATGTCTGCGACAGCGAAGCAGGCATTTTCTGCTCTAGAATCTTGCGTGGGGTGTAGATACTGGTGTCATCTGCAGCGACGCTCAAACGGCTGTGACTGGTGTCCTGAGCCAAAACTTGGACGAGGGTCTGCTTCATCTCGATCTTCTTCCTCGGAACTGAATCCTCCGATGGATCTCGACGATTCTGAAGGTGTTGACACCATGACCGAAGTCCAGCCAAAGCGGAAAAAAAGACGCTCCTCTGGGAATGACGTTGCCATCAGAGACCAAACAGTCGCCACGGGCAGACCTGAGATGGGCGTTGAATTGGAAATGGAGGATTGGGAGGTCGCTCCGGGAAGGATAAAGGATGAATCTTCAGACAGTGAGTCTCCCGTTGTCTGTGAGGCCCAGCTAACATATCAGACGTCGCCTATTCCAACTCGTACCTCACCAGTGGTCAACCAGTCGCCGTTTCAGAGGACGTCAGCTTCAACGTTATAGTCCTCAAACCCGGCAGCGCTAACCATTGGGCTGTTGAAGACGACAAATTGCGGACATGCTCCGTCGCCTCAGGAAAGATTCGGGTCACCATGAACGAAAAGACGTTCAATCTTGGCCCCAACGGCATGTTTGTTGTTAGACCCGGCCAGACGTGCAAGATCGAGAATCGACTCTACATAGATTCTGTGGTGCACTGCACTACTATTGGGGATTTTTCACTGCAGTAAAGGCGCTTGCTCGGATACACATCTTCATCGGAGTTGAGGGCGCATTCGGCATCGCATATTGGTATGTTATCTATTGATGGTGTTTTAAAAGCATTGGTGGGACTGGGATGGGTTGAAACGGGTTAGCAGGCAGTCATGGGGACGGTTCAGGTGGTGCAGTCATTTGACTAATCTTGTCTCAGACACCCATGTTATGGGATCTACGGAGTCAGCCTACAGAGATAATATTAGCATATCAGCAATTGATATGGGAATCGGATATTATTTTGAAATGGACTTTTGTCACGAGCGGGCCAAGCCAGGCTGACGTTTTGTGCGGATGACTCGGAGTGACTGGTAGTGATATGTATATCGTTGATACTTTGGACAAACCCATCTGATTCATGACTTTCGTCAACGTTCTCATGTCTCAAGCCTCTCGTCCAAAACTCCCCAGGCAAAGACGCCGGGAAATTTACAGGACTCACACTGTTGATATGGATGCAGGGGACTCACCTGAGCCGGAGCTCAGCAATGACAAGGACTCGGTTCATGTTAACCCAGGAAGTCCACCAGATCAACTTCCGCCACTGAATGATTACACGACAAAGAGAGAACCTGAAGGAAAGATTAGCGAAGAATCGGCGGAAACAGAGGTGTCAAAGGCCAGATTTATTATTGATCCGGAAGGAGAATTCACTCACGACCAAACAACTGTCGACATTGTGACTGTTCCATGCCCTGGAGCAGATCCCCTTCGTACATGGAGTCGCGATGGTCTTATGAGTCGATACTACGGAGCATTGTCCATGCGCGATGCCGAAGGTGCAGGATCTGATGCTGACCGACCAGCTCCGTCATGGGTTCGCCAAGGACTTCGTCGTGAGGCGGATCGAGCTCGGATTCTGTTGTATGAGCATCCATCGACGACTGAGGATACGAGGCTGAGCACCCTGGCTGATGCATTGCTGGAGGAGTTGGAAAATTTGAGAAAACGAGAGAAGCAGACAAGACCGGTTGTGTTTGTGGGCCATAGTGTGGGCGGTATTATTGTCAAGATGGCGTTGACAAAGGCAAGCAGAGATCCGTCGTTTGAGGATGTCTACAGGCAATGCTATGGAGCTGCATTCTTTGGTACGTGATCCATCTCAGATTGACCACGCTAACAGGATAGGCACTCCTCATCAAGGATCGAGTTACTTTGCCATGCCAAGTCTTGCAGCTGGTATTCAGAATCTGCTTCAACTGTCAGCTCCTATGCCGACATCAATAACCGACGATCTTCGTGTTGGAAACACTCTGCTCCTCCAACTCGACGACGACTTCAAATCGATAGCACACGACTTTCGCATCTGGACGCTGTATGAGACCATCGACTCTCGCCTTTCAGGCAGCTCGGGAGATGTATACTTTACTGCTCCACTAACCTCAATCAAGTCTGCTATACTCGGCATGCGGCAAGAGACCATTCTCCCACTTCAGAGTGATCATGCAAATATTGCTTCTTTCGGGCGGCATAATGTGCACACGATGCGTCTGTTTCTGAAGCAGTTGTCGGCTCTCATCGGACGCGCAGACGAGTACTCTCGTGAGGACGGAAATTGGTCCCTGAATCTTGAGCAAAAGGTCAATGTCGAGGTTCACGGATTTTTTGAAGATCCTCCAGGCCCATTGGATGTGGCGACGATTCGAGCTTGGTCTACACGACTACCGCTTCGAGATTTCTTGCGAAAGGGACCAGAGGAGTGTTTAGCTGAGAGGCTGAATGAGGTCGAGACAGTTGATGAAGGGAGGTTCCTGAGGAATCGAGGGAAAACAACGATGCTGCCGGCTGAGAAAATTGCTGACGAAGCACACAACAATCCCCTTGGGATCTCGCAAGGATCTGTCGAGTCTCCTCCTGCATCCCCTATCATACGGCCTGTTGATGCAGAAAAGACAAGATCAGAGTCAGCACCTACAGGAGCAAGATCCCCTGCCACACCTTTATCACCGGCGGCTATTTCACCACCCACGCACTATTCAACACCAATGCGACGTCCATCGCCGCTTATCCGTGCCAATTTTGAGCAGGATTTGGCTGTCGATCGTCTATCACCTCCTCCTCGAGGAAGAATGGGGCGATCTCTGAGTAGGTCTGTCAGCATGGGAACTCAAGCCTCGCAATACGAGTACAAAGATTTTCCTCCATTCTCACAGCGAAGTCGAAGCACAATCGAGGGCTTCAGCGACGATGACGATATCGATGCATCTCCGAAGCTTCCCGAAGCGATCGTTGCTATCCGAAAGGCCGCGAATAATGGCGAGAGGAGAGCCAGTGAGACGGTAATCGTGGATGAAGTACCTGTTGCGTTTTCGAAACCTCAGATTGAAACTCGCAAGTTTATGTGGGTTCATTTGCCATACAACAATCCTAGCTGGGTGACGGTAAGCAGTCCGAAGATGATTCACTGATGAGATGCCTGACCTGGGTAGAAAATATTCGAGACTCTGCAGACAACAAACAATCGCAACTATGCCCCCCTGTTTAACAATGACTTCTGGGCGACAAGGCATTCCCGAGGGCGACACTCTCAACACTATGCGTATTTTGCGAAACCAGGCTGTTACTTTTCAGCTCCTCGGCACAGTAAGTTGAGTCCTGCCTTGAAATCAAGCTGACCATGTAGTGTCACCTCGAGGTCGATCTTCGAAGCAGTCATCGATATCGCCCAAACCAGAGGGTGGAATCTATACTTGTCTCTTCCTCCCATATCTTCATTTTGACTCGTACAAACGACTCATTCGCCGACGAGAACTCATCCTTCAGCGTCTCGGCCATGGACGAGCCAGACCGGTTCCCGAAACTGTGGCAAAGTCTGATTCTCTTGAATCGCAGGTGATCTGGGAGTTTTTGGGCCACGATCCACCGGTCAACTGTCGTCGAACACTAGATCAATACGGATATCCATCGTTGAGGGACACTCGGTCGCGAGATGATGATCAGATGCTGTATAAATTGACAAAGGAACGGACATTTGCTCCCGGTTTGGGCCCAGGACTTCATGGACAAATGTCGAACAGCAGTTCTGGAAGTAGCGGAAGTGGTAGTCGACGATCCAAGACAAGTAGCCAGGATGGGGAAGACGAGGAGGGTTGCGAGGACTCTATACTCAACGGCAATGTTCTCATGGTGGATCAGCTGTGGCTTTGGGCCATAGACTCTCGTAAGTCATATATCTCTGTACGGAGCTCAGCTGACCTTTAGATACCCTGCTCTCCTTCTTCCCGAAGCGAGAGGGTGATGCTATTGAAGGGCCTCTGTATCAGCAGGCAGATCTTCGCGACAGCATCTTTAACGAAGTCAACGTCGATCTCACCCGGCAATGCGAAAATGCTCTGGACCTGGCAGCATTAGCAGTCCTCCATGCTGTTACTGTCCTCCTTGACAGATCCTCGCACCCAGACCTAGAAGTGTTTCGAATCTTTGAAGAAGCCATCAGCGTTCTAGTATGTCACACTCACCGCAATATCACGCTGCCACCACTCTATGAAAGTTGCTAACCTTTAGACCGAAAAACTCACCTCCTCGCTCAAAACATTTCGCGCCGAGGGATTCCGTGACAAAGCGTCAGCCTACGAGCCAGTTGAGAACAAAGCTCGTTCCATCAGAGCGCGCCATAAGGCCGAGGGCCGTCGAGCAGAAGAGGATAACCGGGACAACACATCTGCCCTCCTCGAGCTTCGAGATATCGAAGATGAACTTTTGATTCTGGTTCATCTGTTTGAACGTCAGTCTAAAGTCGTCAGCTCTATGCTCTCCACTTACACTCGCCCGGAACTGCGTGACCGCACCGCAAACGGAAGACTGTTCCTCAGTGAAGCGATTAAAAAGGTCTCGGAGTATACACACCAAGCTCAAGAGATGATTCAGAGAGTTCGGAGCACGAGAAACGACTACGACAAACTCCTTCAGATGGTCCAGCGACAGGCGCAAGTTGACGAGGTACGGCTGAGTAGGCTTCATGCCGACCTTGCAAGTGCACAAAGTCGCAGTGTCATGATCTTTACCACATTCACAGTCATCTTTCTGCCACTGACCTTCTTTACTGGTCTCTTCGGCATGAACACTCAAGAATGGGGTGGCGAGAATAATCTGTCGCTCAAGACCATCGGCACAATCTCGTTGCCCGCAAGTTTCGCCCTAGTGGTCTTTTCTCTCGTGGCAGCTTTTAGCACAAATGCCCGACTTCTGATCAAATGGCTTGTTCATGTGTACCGACACATGATGTCCTGGGTGTGGAGAACACTGTGTAAGCCTGCTGTTGCAAAGGTGGCTGATATGCTGCCACAACGAAATGAGCGGCAGAGGGAGGAGAGAGACTCAAGAAGTGGGAAGAGGGTTTTGAGAGAGGAGATGAGTGACTTTTGGGAAAGACATAGATTAGAAAGGGACGGAGGATACACGGTTCCAGAGAAGAATAAGAGGACGGTAGTGAGTGGTAAGAGTAGTTGGAGGAAGATGAAGTAGTACCCTGTTGCAGTACTGAATGCAACTTTCGCTCGTTTCTCCTAAAGAATCTAGAACTGATCTCTAATTAGCTGCTGAATATGCTCGTTAGAATTGCTGGGATGCTTAACATCCATGGATCCGACAGGGATGCCCCAGTCTCCCTAGAGCTGCACATCATCCGGGAGCTAATCAGCCGTCAAGACAGGGGTAACTTACAGATCCTGGTCAGCGCATCATTGCCTCATGATTGACGAATCGTGGATTTTGATTCATCCAAAGAAAAAGCAAAGCAAACACCTACCCGGACTTTCCCGCGAATTCTGTTTCAGAATGAGAGTTGACTACGGGGATGATGAGCTGGCAGCCTGTAGAAGGGTATATAATGCCGCAGTTCTCAGTCGAGCTGGAGGGTTTCTCAGTCTCCCTCCGACTTGTGCCTGTTAAAGATCAGCTTGAAGAATACTTCTTTCCACTTACATCTGTGTCAACATGACCGACTCCCCTCGCTATGCAATGGGCACACAGTCCTCTCAAAGACGAACCAGTCCCATTCGTAAGGGACAACCAGAACGTCCCGGTACTCCAACCCGTCGTCCAACGACGCCTACCATCGGTCGCCGTCCCACGACTCCAACTCTGGGCCGCCGGGGCTCCAACGCTTCTCTTCGTCGTCAGGGATCGAATGCAACTCTCAATCGTCCTGTCACTCCCACAGCAACGGAGATACCAGATGGCGACCCTGTGAAGCTCGGCCGGGTGACCACTCCAAGAACCGGCCCAGCGCCAGGAAGCCCAGAAACTCCAGCACGTATCTTACCTGCTATCCCCGAGAGTCCTCTTGTTATGCTTTTGCCTCGTTCACGACAAGTCTCTCGTACTGGTATCACGCCTCGCTCTCGACAGGTCTCGGCCACCGATGCGGCTCCTCCTTCACGTCAGGTCTCGCAGACTCTGCCGGCTCCAGAAGTTGATGTCACTCCCGATGTCGCCAGGGCTCCAGAGCTTGGAGTTGCTCCGACCGTCGCCGATGCTCCCCTTGTCACAACGACACCGAGTGTAGGTCGTGTACCCAAAGTTCGATCGACTCCCAAGGTCGCACTTGTTCCAAATGTTCGATCTTTGATAGACAGCGCTATCATCCCGTCAACTGCAAAACCTCCTCGAATTTCAAGGACCCCGGCGGTGGCATCTCCTCCCGTTGTCGCCTCTGCCCCTTTTACCGTGACGATTTCTACGGCCCGGGTTGTTCCTGGCGTTGCTCCTGAACCCTATGCTGCTCCCATCCCACTATCGGCGCCTCTGCCAGTTATTGCACTAGCACCTGCCATCGCTAGAGCTCTGGCTATTGCTCTCGCGCCACTTGTTTCTGATACTCCCAAGGTTGCACGACTACCTTTGACTCAAGAGGCTCCCAAGTCGACACTAGCTTCAAGATCAGCAAGAGCTCCGAAGGCTTTACCGCCGCCTCCCACTAGACTCCTCCTTGGTCAGGCATAAAGTGGATTTTGAGAACTGGAGTTCTGTAGGGCATGCCAGCTAATCGTTTCGGAAAGCTGCTACGTTAGTTGGCTTCTCTTGTGAAGATCACCTTGCTCCTGCTTGTGGGTGTTTCAGGAGTGGCCTCATGCATTACCTGACAAATATATAGATCAAACAACAGGAATTGCACTGCATGCTGAATGCAAGTATTGGACTTTGAAGATGGAAAGATGGAATTCTCCTCGAGGTGGCCACAGTTTAGGAATGTATACCGTTGTAGCTTTGGCAAGTAATCAACACCCCGGACTTTCCTTCCTTTGATGGATTTGGTGAGCACGTACAATCCGCCATTTTCTAGCCACAAGGTTCAAAATAGGACCATCAAATCTATTAGAGACGCCGTCAGTGATGTTCTAAGGGATAAGATTGATCTGTCAATTGTTGCGCTGGTACGTCTCATCACTAGGGTACATCCATGATATACACATTCTTCAATCTCGCTCTATGCTCAGACATTTCAATCACGGACAATCTCCATCGAGCTCTGTTTGATGCCACCATAGTACAGAGAGAATTCCATCTCTGCCCCATCCCATATGAATTCGATCTGTAGTGGCGCCTTAAGGACAGGTTTCATGTCGGGGCTTGATCCAACATCAAGGGTCTTCCAGCTGAGTTTACAAACTTCTCGAATGCGTGTCTCTTCGTTCTGCAGCTGTCCACAGTAGACCCGAATGCTGAAAATGTCGGGGCTGGCGGGATCCTTTGCTGGCAGCTACATTAGCTTAGTTGCATGTCCTGAGCTACACATTGAAAGTCAGACAATCAAGCCAATAAGAAACGCCATCTGAAGTATTGCGAAGGGTAAGGCCGTCACCCGGGAGGCACGGGCTATGTGAATAGAGAGTTGTCGTTTCTTTGTCCGAGTTGCCGCCAATAAAGAAACGAGCTCCATCACCCTCTTCTAGTACAATTACAAAAATAAAATTAAAGGTACAAGATTCATTGACAGGCTTGATGCTAGCTTCTCTAATGTAGATGGGGATAGTCTCTGTTTGCCTCTCGTCCATGTAGCGGATGCCCACAGAGCTGAAACTATCCCAGCAGAGGCGTTGTTTGTCCAGCCACGCACGGCCGCTTGTCATACCTAAGCTCACTCCTTTATCTGGCAGTCTGCGTCAATTGGTTCTGCACTCTTGTGGTCCTGTGTTGCGGGGATGACATAGGTGGCCCGGCTTTGGTAATCTGGGGGGGTAAGGAAATAAGAGACTGGATTCCGGTGTAAGCCATGTTATATCCCCCCTCCCCCGAAGGCAATCAACTTTAGACAAGGATGTGTACATAACGCGAAAGGCTGCTCGCACTTTTGAAATGGGTAGACTTGGAAACAATCCTCCTTTCCTTCAAATTTCTCACACAGCGGCGGTCGCTTCGTTCTTGCTTCTCACAATATGGCTGGGCTTCGCAGATCCAAGCGACTGGAGTCTGGCAATCAGCCTGACCAAGACAAAGTCATCAAGATCGCAAGAGTGTCAAAAGATCAGGAAAATGCGGTTACAGGGAAGAGAAGAAGACTGGGGAGAGCGCCATGGAAGGACCTTCGGGCCCAGGGGTCGACACAGCGAGTGGCCACTTTACAGCCAACCATATTCATTTCTGAGCTGACGTCTTTGAAGGCATCGCTGGAGAATGCACCGCCAAAGGATGTATCGCCAAAGGATACATCGCCGAACCGTGCTTCGGAACAACAGCCGGACGAAGAATTTCTGCCAGCAGTGTCGAAGGAACTATAGGCCAGAGTTCGATTACCTACCGATAAGATTAAGAACCCATTCAAGGATAAGGAAGAGGGTTTTGCAGACTTCAGACGGGCTATCCAGACGTCCATTGGGTTGGATGATCAACAAGTTTACCTTTACCGTAAGTGGAAGGAACTTGGTAACCAGATTCAGGCTGTCTCAGGGGCAGCTGGTTTCAGCGACCGCTCCTGGGATAGTCTTGATGAGCCCGCTCAGCAGAGGTTCATTGGATATTCGCCTCATGCCCAACAGCTCTTTGAGGACGCTTTCTCACGTGAGCATATATCCAGCTGTTGGATCTGGGAGGTCGTTGATGAGAACTTTTTCGCTGGAAAGAGTCAGGACATTGAGTAGAATTCGCCCTATTGGGAAGCTCAAGCCACGATCGAGCGCATCTTACGGGGTAAGAAAGATTAAGAAATCCATTAATCTGTGGGACTGACCTCGGCCGTAGAGAAGAATTTCGACTACGACGAAAAGACCCGGATTCAAGTATCCCAACTGGCGATACACCACAATCGATCTCTATTACTCCCTCAAAGGAGTGAGGAGCTCTGACCTTAGGATTGAGCCGGGATGCGTGGTCAAGATCTTGAAGAAAGCGCTTGACCAATACCTCCCTGATAACCCTGGCCCCTGGCTCAAACAGATGCTCTCACAACTCGCAGAAACGGTTGTCAAGTTCGAGCTCTGGTTCGACTGTGGTTGTGAGACTCTTCGGCTTGTCTTTGATCACCCCGAGAATAAGGAGCCATCTGGATTTCCATTTTCACCCAGAGCCAAGGGATCCAACGCTAGAAAAGTGATGGAAAGAGTTGACGGCTTCGATGCCATGTACGAGGGTCAGCTTGTCAACCTGGTTGTGTCGCCTATACTGATGGTCTATGGGACTCCCGATGGATATGATTACGAAGTTCGGTCTGTTTTATTTCCTATGCAAGTGTGTTTGGATACCTTGGCGGTTGTGAGCAGGACGAAGTGGTTAAGACGGAGGAGAATGGGGAGGGGGACGGAGAAGAGGAGGCGAAGATCATCAAGGATAAAGAGGGTGGCACAAAGTATGAGGATGAGAAGAAGAACGAGGGCGAGGACTAAGTACATGTGAGATCCCGCAATGGGAATCTGATTTGGGTGGGAATTTTCGATCAGACCCTGTATTTCTCCAAGTATCTGATAGTATGTAGAAAGCAATTTGTTTGAGATTGCTGGCTTATTCTTTTTTATTTCAATCGTATTTTTGATAAGAGACAAAGTAACGGGTAACCTAGCGACGGTGATCCTCGGAGAAAAAAGTGAAGCTCCAGATCATCCATCTCGTCGTAAACTTGGTGTTGACGAGAGTGGGGCGACGGCTGTTTTCTCCACGTGACCGGGAGAAAATGTTGGCGCAAGCTTCACATTTAGCTCATCTCGATGGTGAACATCAGATACAATTCGAGTCCGGCCTGTTCCCATTCATCACCATGGCGCTCCAACCCTGCCGCTCTGGCCTCTGGCGGAGCAGCAATGCCGCCCGAACCCTCATGCCTTGCGTGCGCACCTACGCTACCGACTCAACACCCGAATCATTCAAGACCAAGACCCCGTCTTCCTCTGGTGTCGTGCCACGATGGAGCCAGACGCCTGCTGCTATGAAGGCGCCTCTGCAACTCGACTGGGCAAAGAATCCCCAGAACAAGGTCTGGACTGTCAACAACGATCCCAAGAAGTTGGACGAGGTGTACGAGCGCCTGCTGGGTCCTGGAGGCAGCAAACTTCTGCCCGAGGAGCTCAAGTGGCTGGCTGTCACGCACAAGAGCTTTGATCAAGGGCGGAGAGGATTCAACGACCGATTGGCACTTCTAGGTGGGTGGAACGAGGGCTGAATGGTGGTCTATGCTGACTCTACCAGGACGGATGGCTCTTGTCATGGAGACGACAAAGACAATTGTCGCCCAAGGTCCAATGGGAACACCGAATTTTGACGACGGATTTGATCGTCAACCATTCGTGCATCCAAATTTACAATCGGTAGACAATCTCTCCATCAAAGGACCCAAGGATGTTGTCGGCAAGGAGAGACTATCTGGCTTGGCAGCTGAAGTGGGATTGATCGATGTTGTGCGGTGGAAACCCAAACAGGTACATACATCTCCTGTCCACAGAAACTCGACTAACGTGCAGTAGGTACAAAAACTCCGAGCTTCAGGTGCCGATGTCGTGCTCAACGGTGCCATCATGGCCATCATTGGTGCCATCACATTACAGCATGGAGCAGTAGTGGCATCACAGGTCATCAGAGAGAGGATATTGTCAAGACTACAGGATTGAGCATGGTGAGTGGGTTAATCTGTATCATATGTGTACCATAGAAGGTCTGGACCTGTACATGACAGTTTTGCAACTGTAAAGATTCTGAGTCTATTGATCAGTCATGAAGCATGTCTATAAGAATTAGGGCTATAAAAGTAAAAGGGTATCAATCATGCAACAAAGGCGTCTCCTCATCTGCTGTTTGGTCACTCTCATTGTCTTGCTCATTATCGTGATGAATGAGCTTCTCTCGGTACATCCACCCAACACACGTTCCAGCGCCAGGCCCTACAACAATGGAAGTGACCATTGTTGTCAAAGGAACACGCCACCCAACCTCCACCAACATCCAGTACAGAACGGTCCAGAAGATGAACTGAGCGTTGACTTCAATAAAGACAATGATCGACCTTGTCATTTCTTTGCGGTCGTCGGGTTGAGCCAAGCTCCAGATGAAAGAAACATGCGCTAGAACCGAGCAGATCAAGGGCAGTATGTAAACAAACAGCAGAGACCACCGATTCGATGCGAGATGGACGAGTGATGGGTCAACCCTCCTCAGTGCAGAGATAGTGTGACGAATGATCTGGCGAATGATCTCGACATAGATCGGGAAGAAGAGCCAGATGCCGATCGTCTCGGGAGTTGTATGGAACAGCATCAGAAACGACGGAAGAAAATAACCAAGCGCCACACTGATAGGAATAGCCACGAGCTCATTATCAGGAAGGTGACGGCTCGTAAATATCTGGTGGGCGTCACCGCCCTCATCTCTCTGTGCATTCAAAACACTTCTCGCGCGATGCAGAAACGCAGGGATGATAACAAGCTCCCAGACGACAGCACCACCCACAAGATCAAACACCAACCATGGGCCAGTAGGATACGCGATGAGAACGTTCGGCGCATTGCAGATACGCGCTGATTCAACGGTGCTCACTGTCAAGAGGCCACCGATAAAGGCTAGAACAACGCCCATGACCGCGCGGCTGCGCAGTGAGTGAAGCGCGGCGCGGAAGAAGCTGATGAGATAGCATAGAGGCGTCCCGAGACCCGGAATGCGACTGACGCCAGGGAGACGAGCGCGAGAGTGACATTGGGACCAGAGAAGCGCAAAGTTGACGTCTGAGTGGAGGAAGAGAGCGACAATGGTTGCTGCGGCCAGGAGGATTGGCGGGATGATTAGAGAGCGATATGAGAAGTGGTGAATAGGTGCTTTCTGAGGCATGTTGGAATTTTTTGAACTAAAGATGATGAGAAGAAGACTGCGACTGAAGTCTTATTATGAGTTGGGTGATTATTGTGGTCATGTGGAAGAGGCTCTCGTGATTAAATTACAAGACCAATTTTGGTGTTGAGATTCACACCATTACACCCGCGTTAGGCTGAATGGGGAAGCAACACTTGGTGATTATGAGATGTACCACTCACTCACTTATTATATGAGAGCAAGTTTAAGTCGTTCATCCAAATACTATCGCCTAGTATTAATGAATGTGATGCCTTAAATGACTGAGGATAAGCAAAGCATTCGTGAGAAATAAGCGACCTTTCCCGTTCATTTTCTGGCGCGATTATGAGACGTCATCCTAGTTCTCGTCACTGTATCACTAAAACAGTAATAGAGCGAACATGCTCACTTTGACAGAATCTGATGCAGCTGTCGCTTAAAGTCTCTTTAAACCCATCGAATCTAAGCGATCTTAATCAAGATGTGCCTCTTTGGCAATGTACATGAAGTGCTACCCTAAGGTAGGTCTGAAGATCCCTGGATCTCTGTATCTTGCCAAGCTACTAGGACAGTGGCACATAAGCAAAATGTCTCAGTCAGTCAGACAACTTACGTCTCTGCAGTTTGTACACCCAGTACTCAGGACCATCCAGTCACTTGAGCCACGCAGTTAACGATAGATCGTTGTTCATTCTAGAAAGAGTTTATGTACGTGAATTTGATGCTTCTCGTTGCTCGACGCCTCATCAGCTAGCTGTGATACTGTCACCTCGGTGACGAATAAGGTTCTGACGAGCAATAATGGTATCAAGCTGCGAGTGAAACTGTATTATAGTACAAATGGCTCCGTCAGAGAAATCGCCAAGGTAGAAGGGCCTTAGGAAGCAATAGAACATCGGGCCTTGATATAGGATAATAAACTCAGCAGAAGGGATCCTAAACTTGGTAAAGTTATCCTAAGCATTGACCAATTTACCTAAATCTTATGCATCTTTTAGGATTAAGGTCCTGAGTTTTCCTCTCGTAGAAGGGTATGAGATGGGCTGGGTTTTGTCTGACAGTGTTTCGCGTTTCATCTTGAGCGATGAGGGATCATGAGCGTGACTGAACTCATGAACTCAAGATCCTTACACGCAATAGACGAGTTTCTTCAAGCTGGTGCAACTGACCGAGTCCTGTACACAAGTACACCAAGCATCTTGAGGTCACAACTCACATAGATCAGTGGGTCCTGGCACTACAACAGACCAGCCTGCCAATGGATAAGCCGCTGAAACGTACCCCACGTCAAATACATCATACATCATGCTCGGCCCATCGTGGACCGTTTCACGCCCGGATTTCAACGTCCGAGGAGGGGAAACCCTCTGCATTTGGAGCCAAGCGTCTCGGCAAGACTTGATCAGGCAGGTCCGTAGCCACAAACTCATCTGACTGGATGCACAACATGTCGCTACTCAACTTCTCCCGAAGCTCCCGCTGATGAGATAGTCTATGATTCGATGACACCCTGCATCGCTTGATGCTGCGGCCCCTCCCCCAGGTTTTAGCGGCGTCAGTGGACCGAGCCCCTCTTCCGGGGCGGCTAATAGAACCCCGGAAGAACAGGGTCTACCCAAGGTAAGCTGCGGGAGCTGGAGGAACGGGGGGTACCCGACAACCAAACACATGACACAGAGACAATAAACGCAGCGCAACCCCTCGATTGTTTTGTCTCTTGTTTTTATTCCCTCTCTTTTGGAATTCTCACGTTTGACTGCTTTGTCGCTTTTGGATACACAGGCCTCGACAGTTCGGCACTTGAGGTGACGGAGCTAAGCGATCCACTCGTTCCGGTTTCGCAATCGCTCTCATGATTCTGTAATCATGGCATCCCAAATGCTTCGCCCGCTGGCCTCGTCCGCGGTTCCAGCGTCAGCTTCCGAGCTGTGCGCCTCGTCTTTCTTTATACAGAAGCAATTGAAAGGGTATCGAGTTCAAGGTACGCTTTTTCGACTGTTGAAGCTCATAGCTAATAAGCTTCAGATGTCCTCTCTCGTCGCAAGCAATGGCACAGCACCTTGAGAGCTCCTCGACAGCATGCTCTTGTCGCAGACGTCTCCAAGCCTCTCGCATTGTTCCGCCATGATTCTGCACCTCCTCGCAAATATTCCACCGTGGTTCTTCCCAAGACAACTCCCTACGATCATCTTGTCGTTGGTGTTCCAACCGAGATCTTTCCCGGAGAGCGCCGTGTAGCTCTCACACCTGCAAATGTTGCACTCCTCAAGAAAAAAGGCTTCAAGCAGGTTCTCGTTGAACGTGGTGCTGGTGCATCTGCTGATTTCCTCGATGCCGCCTACGAAAAAGCCGGCGCAACTCTTGTCAATGGTCCTAAGGAAGTCTGGTCCAACTCAGACATTGTTCTCAAGGTTCGCGGTCCCGGTCTTGGAGAGGTTGATTCCATGAAAGAAGGCCAGACCATCATTTCATTCCTCCAGCCTGCTCAGAACAAAGAACTCGTCGAAAAGATTGCCGCTAGGAAAGCTACCAGCTTCGCCATGGACATGATTCCCCGTATCTCCCGAGCTCAGGTCTTTGACGCCCTCAGCAGCATGGCCAACATTGCCGGCTATAAAGCTGTTCTCGAGGCGTCCAATGTCTTTGGTAGATTCCTCACTGGTCAAGTCACTGCTGCTGGAAAGATCCCTCCCTGCAAGGTTTTGGTTATTGGTGCTGGCGTTGCTGGCCTGAGTGCTATTGCTACTGCCCGTCGTATGGGTGCCATTGTCCGTGGTTTCGATACTCGATCTGCTGCTCGCGAACAGGTTCAATCTCTTGGAGCTGAGTTCATCGAAGTTGAACTTGAAGAGGATGGATCTGGAGCTGGTGGATATGCCAAGGAAATGAGCAAAGAATTTATCGAAGCTGAAATGAAGCTGTTCAAAGACCAAGCCAAAGAAGTCGACATCATCATCACCACTGCATTGATCCCTGGAAAGCCTGCCCCGAAACTGCTCAAGAACGATATCCTCGATGTTATGAAACCCGGAAGTGTCATTGTCGACCTGGCTGCTGAAGCTGGAGGTAATTGTGAAGCTACCAAGAAGGGTGAACTGGCCGTCTACAACGATGTCAAGATTATTGGTATGTGCAACCCCTGAAATACGACATCTACTGACATTTCAGGATACACTGATCTTCCCTCTCGTCTGCCAACTCAGTCATCGACCCTCTACTCCAACAACATTACCAAGTTTCTGCTCTCCATGACTCCTGAACCCAGCGCTTTCGGTATTGATCTATCAGATGAAGTCGTCCGAGGTGCAATCGTCACCCAAGAAGGAGATATCCTGCCACCCGCTCCTCGCGCAGCACCTCCTCCTCCACCCGTAAAGGTCGAGGCAACCGAAGTGACCCCTGAACCTGTAGCTCTAACTCCCTGGCAAAAGAAGACCCGTGAAGTTGCTGGTGTCACCGCTGGTATGGGCAGTATCTTGGCTCTTGGAAAATGGACCAGCCCTCTTCTCATGTCGAACGCTTTCACCTTTGCTCTGGCTAGTCTTATTGGATATCGTGCTGTCTGGGGTGTTGCTCCCGCTCTTCATTCTCCTCTGATGAGTGTCACCAACGCTATTTCCGGTATGGTCGGTATTGGTGGTTTGTTCATCCTTGGTGGTGGATTCCTGCCCGAGACTATTCCTCAAGCTTTTGGCGCTCTCAGTGTTTTGCTGGCTTTTGTCAATGTTGGCGGTGGTTTCGTGATCACCAAGCGCATGCTGGATATGTTCAAGAGTGAGCTGTTCGATCTTTAACTCGGCTCAGCTAACAGGAATAGGACCTACCGACCCCCCTGAGTACCCCTGGCTCTATGCAATTCCTGCCGTTGTCTGCGGTGGTGGTTTCGTGGCTGCTGCCTCCACTGGTGCTGCTGGTCTCGTCCAAGCCGGTTATCTCGTCAGTTCCGTTCTCTGCATTGGTTCCGTGTCCAGTCTTGCTTCCCAAGCCACTGCTCGCATGGGCAATGCTCTCGGTATCCTCGGTGTTGGTACAGGTGTATTGGCTAGTCTGCTCGCTGCTGGCTTCACCCCTGAGGTCCTCACTCAGTTTGGTGGTCTTGCTGCACTTGGTACAATCGCTGGTATGCTCATTGGAAAGCGAATCACTCCTACTGATCTACCTCAAACTGTCGCCGCTCTTCACTCCGTGGTCGGTCTTGCTGCCGTCTTGACCAGTATCGGTAGTGTCATGGCTGATGTCATGGACCCTTCCACTCTCCATCTCGTCACAGCCTACCTTGGTGTCGTTATCGGTGGCATCACGTTTACCGGATCCATAGTCGCGTTCCTCAAGCTCGCCGGCAGGATGACGTCTAAGCCAAAGATTCTGCCTGGACGACATATCATCAACTCAGGCTTACTCGCAAGCAACGCAGCCACCATGGGTGCTTTCATTACAATGGCCCCAGGGAACCCCTTGGTTGCAGCTGGAGCGCTTGCTGGAAGCACTGTTTTGAGCTTCATCAAGGGATACACCACCACATCTGCCATTGGAGGTGCTGACATGCCCGTCGTCATCACTGTTTTGAACGCATACAGTGGTTTTGCTCTTGTTGCCGAGGGTTTCATGCTTGAGAATCCCCTTCTCACCACTGTTGGAGCCTTGATCGGTGTATCTGGTTCAATTCTGTCGTACATCATGTGCGTGGCCATGAACAGATCACTGACAAACGTGCTATTCGGAGGTTTGGGCACGCCAACTGCAGTACAAGAGTTTAAACCTCAGGGAGAAGTCACTCAGACCTCTGTAGATGACCTTGCCGATGCACTTCTCAACTCTGAAAAGGTCATTCTCATTGTTGGCTACGGTATGGCCGTTGCCAAGGCTCAATACGCCATCTCAGACATTGTCAAGACTCTTCGATCCAAGGGTATCACTGTCCGCTTCGCCATTCACCCAGTCGCAGGTCGTATGCCTGGTCAGTGCAACGTTCTTCTCGCTGAAGCCAGCGTGCCATACGATATCGTCCTGGAAATGGATGAGATCAACGATGACTTTCCCGAGACTGACCTGGCTGTTGTCATTGGCGCCAACGATACCGTCAACCCTATTGCTCTGGAAAAGGGCAGCTCTATCGAGGGTATGCCTGTGCTGCATGCCTGGAAAGCCAAGCAGGTTGTCGTCATGAAGAGAGGCATGGCCAGTGGCTATGGTAAGTTGTCCGTCCCTTGTTCGAATGCAGCTAACAAGAGCAGCTGATGTTCCAAACCCCATGTTTTACATGCCCAACGCAAAGATGCTGTTTGGAGATGCTAGAGTGACATGTGAAGGTTAGTAGCCCGTCCAGTTTCCAAATCCCGCTGACCATTTAGCCATCAAATCTGCAATTGAAGCAAAGTCGTAGATCGTGAGATTTCTTATGTAGTCCGTATAAGAGAAGGATCTGAAGACCATAGAGTGCACGTTTTCTAGATCTTATATCATTTTTAGCTGTAGAACTGGCAGCTTCTGAATTCAATGCTTGGGTTTCTCAATGAACCTCTAGGCGAATTTATATACATTTGACCACTCCTCATGCCCGAGGCGCCGCCACAGGCTCCCATACCGAGATCTTGGACTTGGAACTAAAACGGTCAGAATTTTGCCTCCTAAGAAATGCGAAACATACGTGTTGTAAGTCTTGAAAGCGCCGCGGGTCTGGGTAAAGTTGGGGATGGGGCGTGAGGGCTCAAAGGCTCGGACACCAGTTTGTAGTAGGGGGTCCTCGGTAGGAGGCTTGTCGACGCTGTAGCTGATCCAGGCGTGCCATCCGGGCTCAATGTGAGCGGCGTCGTAGTCGTGCTTGGCGTACTCGACCCAGCGTGTTCGGAGGGGGAGTTCCTCGTTGTTCTCGAAGAACTTGTTGCCGGCGCGATCGGTGCCAATCAGACGACCAGCCTTAGTGTCACCTGCGGATGTCAGTGGATGATTCGACGGACAATCTAGGAAGCGTACCGATGTACTATTCGTGCGAACAGGCGTCATTAGCCAGAGTCGAGGATCGTTCGGTCAGGTACATACCAGCATCTGGACAAAGTAGTCCTAGTCAAGTTAGCATTGGCTCATTGGCGGTTGACAGCAGACTTGCCTTGATTCCAACCTTGCGCAGGTTGGACAATGTTCGTGAGATTGTCGACATGATGGCGGTTGAGCGACAATTGATCTCAGCGGAATGATTGTTGATGGCTTGTCGATGATGTGAGGTTTGAAGATTACCGCGGATCAACCTCGGCAGATTGAGTTCGTGACGGCATGGTACGTACCTCGAAGCTCAACCAGAAATTCTACCGATTTACGGATACAAGCACTTTTAATAGCAGCTTTAATTGAGGTTAGCGATTCGAGATGCTTACTCGGAGCTGTGCACGATGCACTACAAGGCTGCGTGCCGCAAGTTTCAAGCCCAGAGTTCCCAGCGCAAGAGTCCAGACCAGACAGTATGCGATGCCAGCTGGAAACACTCAGGGTTCTGTGAATAACGCTGGAGCTTTGGCCCCTTTCGTGACTGAGTTGGATCGATTGGCACCGAGTTTCGATGTTCGAGGGGAGCAGATTCAGATAATTCGTACTCCAGCCGAGTTTTACGAAACACTCAAGGTTGGACTACCATTGATACGAAAATGGCAGGGCTGATTGTTTAGGATCGCATACGAAAAGCACAGCGACGGATCTTCTTGTCGACGCTGTACATTGGAAAGTCGGAAAAGGAGCTCATTGAGACGCTGCAGGAGGCGTTGAGGAAGAATCCGGACGTCAAATTAAGTATTCTTACAGATGCGCTGCGAGGGACAAGAGAGGCACCTAATCCATCGAGTGCATCGTTACTTGCGCCCCTGGTCGAGGAGTTTGGAGCAGACCGTGTAGAAATTCGAATGTATCACACGCCGAATCTCACTGGATTGAGGAAACAGTATATCCCCAAGAGGATAAATGAGGGCTGGGGACTTCAGCACATGAAGCTTTATGGTGTTGATGATGAGATCATCATGTCTGGGTATGTCGAAAGACTCGGGGTTGGAGATATACTGACTTTTCAGGGCAAATCTGTCGACTGATTACTTTACCAACCGTCAAGATCGATATCATCTCTTTGCTTCAAAGGCGGTGACTGATCACTTTTGGAAGATCCATTCAGGGGTTACATCCTTTAGCTTCTTGGTTCAACCTTCAACAGAACCAGCGGGTTTCACACTCTCATGGCCAGAGAACAACTCTGCTCCTTCACCACTGGAGAAGCCCCAGTCTTTTATCAAGAGCACTACATCGACGCTCCAGACTCTGTTACATCCGACAGCCAAGCCTGAGAATGAGATTTCTGATACACGAGTTTACATGCTTGGGCAAATGTCCCAGGTCATGAAACCAGATACTTCAACTGAGCTCCCCGTCATTACACATATCCTCAAGACTCTCGCTTTGCCCGCATATCGTGAGTCCTCATGGACCTTTACAGCGGGCTACTTCAACCCCGCTCCCTCTCTGACAAAACTCCTCCTCAACACTGCCTCTACTTCCAACACCGTCATCGCAGCTTCTCCTGAGGCAAACGGTTTCTACAAGTCGAAAGGCGTCTCGGGTCTCCTCCCTGATGCATACACTCTCCTCGCTCGCCGTTTCGTTCATCGCGTACACCACCAAGGCCGTGATGACGACATCACATTGAAGGAATGGCGTTATGGTGTCGTTGGTCAGCCTGGTGGATGGACATATCACGCCAAGGGTCTCTGGGTGACAATTCCAGGTGACAAGAACCCCGCTATGAGTATTATCGGAAGTTCCAACTATACTAAACGAAGCTACTCTCACGATCTCGAAGCGGGTGCTTTGATCGTAACCCGCGATGAAGGACTCAAGGGGAGACTTGGAGAGGAGCAGCTATGGCTGCAGGAACATGCTACCAAGGCAACGCGAGATGACTTTGCCCGCACTGAACGAAGAGTTGGGCTCAAAGTCAGAGTTGCCATGTGGATTGTTTCGCTTGTCGGCGGAGCATTGTAGACTCCCATGTATAATAGTGTACTCATAGATGGCAATCTAACGATACCCGAACGATAATAACTTGACGAGATTAGCTTTCACAAGAATGTCCACTGATGAATGCATGCGATTGTATACAAAATAATACAGGTAGTTTACACGCTCATGCCCTAATCACTGGTGTCCCTAGCTTGGGCCCCTTGACCAGGCCTTGCACAACAACTCTGCTCACCAAGTCGCTCTGGTGCTTCCTGATCATCTCCTTGAGCACGCTTCGTTCCAGAACCACCTTGCCTGTCTCCAAAAGGTCCTTGACATCGACATCTTGCAGGTCCAGTGCTCGACCCTCCCATGGAAGCTGTTCCATGGCGCCGAATAGAGCCTCACGTCGGTTTCCAGTGACGAAAAGAGTTCGACCGCTAGCACGGCCCAGGCCAAGGTTTCCCAGCACTCCAGTCATGTATCGCTTGAGATACGCCTCCTTCAATCCGTCCTTGAGATACTTTCCAGCAACGAGCTCGTAATCAGTCGGCAGCACAAGATCCATACCGTCCTCACACACAATCAGATCGCCTTTTCGGTAACGGTAGCTCAGAGCTGTGCGCCATGCCTTGTCGTACACCTTTCGGGTAAGGCTGGTGCCAAAGTCGCGGGGATGAGGACCGAATGTCTTTCCACCGCCGCGGTTCACGGGGCTCTGCTTGGTTCCCATACGAGCTCGACCAGTTCCCTTTTGCGGACGCATCTTTCGGTGGGAGCCGTGGACATCGTAGCGGGTTTTGGAGGAGGCGGTTCCTTGGCGGGTGTTGTCACCTTCGTAGACGACGGCGAGGTGGAGGAGATCGCGGCGGAGAGGGAGGTAGAGGTGGTTGACGTCCCATCGTTCGAGAGAAGTCGGTTCCAACGAGGGAAAGGCGTGGACTGTGACGGGAACGGTTGTGACTGCGGTGGTCAGTAAGGTCATTGACGGCTGACGGGAATCGTACTGGGCTTCCATGATTCGAGAATGCCTTGTGTGGTGTTTGGAGATTTAGCCTCTGCAGTGTTCTTTGGAGAGACTTCTGTAGCCATTGACCTTGTAAAGGCCTTGTTGAGTGTCGCCGGCTTCATCTGTTAGCATTGAAGCGATTTGCAGTCTCTTCACATACCTTGGCAGACACCCGCAGAGCACCCATGGCCTCAGCCAGGCACCCAATTCCCTTGCCAGCCATGATATCAATTCCCTAACCGCCGTCGATAGGGAGATTTGCTGTGATCGGGGACAGTAGTTCGCTTGGTGTTGAGGCTTCAAAACTGTGATGCGATACTGCAAAAAAGTGGATCGGCAACATCCTCCGTTCCCCGAGTTTTTAGTGGGGCCAAGCTGCAAACCATCCCCAGAGCATTTTTCAATATCTCGAGATATCACCAGCGTCACTTTCAACGTCCTACGTCTACGGCCCTACGCTCCGCTGCTCATTATGTCGCGCTGCCAGGCCGTTATGCGGCCAATCGCTCGGCAGCTGCGGCCCAGCGTCGCCCGACCGTTCACCTCTGCCACAATTCGACGATCAGCCGAGACACAGACTGCCACGCCCAGCGCAGCAGACCTCGATCCCAATACGGTGCTCCCCGAGTTTGAGCAGCAGCTCATGAAGGCTGGAAAGATGCCAATTGGATCACGACGACGAAGAATGGCTATCCGGAGCACGGGCGACCTGCCGTTTGAGCATCTCCCGTACCAGGCTTTTCAAGAGGCTCGCAAGATTCTGGCGGTGGATCGTGAACAGAAGCTGGCGGAGATAACCAAAGAGCTAGAGAAGATATCTCGGTTAGAAGCTACGAGTCCGGACGATATCAAGGGGGGGCAGAAGATGAAGGATATTAAGATCAAGAGTCTGCACAAATATGTCGAGAGGCTCAAGATCCTTGCAGATGCTAATGACCCTGTTGTCAAGAAGCGTTTTGAAGATGGAACAGGTAGGCACCCCAATTGACGGTCTGGGTCTAACTAACGCACCCAGGCGATATGAACAAGCCTATCTACCGTCACTACGCCGAGGCCAAGTGGCGCTCTTACGACCACCGTCTCATCACCCAACGTATCAAGCAGTTCAACATCGTCCCCGACGTTCTCCCCAAGCTCGAACCCACCGCCGATGTCCAGCTATACTTCCGCAAGCTCAAGATTCCTCCCGGCCAGATCGTCGACAGTGTCGTCAGCGAGAACGCACCCCGTCTTCGAGTTCAAGTGTTTGACAAGGGCGAGCGACTCGTCTCTGTAGTCGTCCTCGACTCTGATGTTCCCAACCCTGACTCCGATACCTTCAACAAGCGCTGCCACTTCCTCGCCGCCAACATCCCCATCAGCCCTACAGACACATCGCTACCTCTGAGCAGGATAAAGGGCGAGGATCAGCTTGCTCTACCGTGGCTCCCCGCATTCTCCCAAAAGGGTGCCCCATACCACCGTCTCGGTATCTACCTCCTCGAGCAGCAACCCGGCAAGAAGATCGACGTTGCCAAGCTCAAGGAACTATACAGCCAGCGTGATGGATTCTCGCTCAAGTCCTTCCGCGACAAGTTCAGCACGACGCCCTTTGGGTTCAACATGTTCCGTAGTGTCTGGGATGAAAACACCGCGGCTGTCATGGCGCGACACAACATCCCCGGCTCAGATATCGAGTTCAGACCTACGCGCGTGTACAGCCTCAAGCCTCCCGTCAAGCCCCGTGGATGGGAAGCCAAGCGACAAGGACCCAAGTACCGTCACCTTTGGAAGTACACCAAGAACATCAGAGGTATCTCCAACTCGAGGGGATGGATCAAGAGGAGGTAGAGAGATGGATGAGCGTGTATCATACTGTACATTTAGAAAATGGAGAGTACCAAGAGAAATAAATTACGTGCAACTCAATTTTGTTCAGTCACCAGTGACACGCCAATGCCTCTACATTATCGTTATTCCCGATTGGCTTCAGCCGCATTATTTCTTACCTGCAGCCGGTGTCTTGCTTCAACGTATCACCACCAATCATGAGCCTCAACTATAGTCAGACGTTTGTCCGGTGGCAATACTCGCCACGATCTCAACGACAGTCACATATGCTCTTAATTGGTATGAAATGCGGAGTCAGGATGATCAACTTCTACATATGTTCAAGTTTAGGGTCATCAAGGGGCCCGGCTGTGGCAAAGCTTGATATTGCCACCAAACTTTACCTTTGATAACCCCTAAACCCCAACTTGTGCTTTAACATGATCTCGTGTCCTTGATGAGTCCGGATCTTTCCATGTCGGCAAAAGTTCCTGGCACTTACGATGGTCAGTCATCATTTCGATTGCAAGTCTCCTCGTCACAGGCTGTTCCCTGCGGACCATTTGCTCAGAACGGGTTTGTCATCAACGGCTATCGTTTCCTTCTTCAGGTTTGAATATTTTCTTTTGTGCTACCCTCCCTGTCCCCCTCGTCATGGTATTCATTATAACCCACCCTGAAAGCACTCAGGGCAGCCTGTCATAGTGACAGGAAGTCTCTCCTCTATTCCTTCCCATAGGCTACCAAATTAACGGCCAAGGGCCAAGAATCAAACCGGTTGCCACGAGAACTTGATGCTCGTCGGCCCAGATAGCAATCGTACATCCCATCTGCACAAATCAGATCATGATCGTGAAAGCATCAAGTCATAAAATATTGCCTTGCCTGTACCCCTTTTGCCAAACTCCTTTCAGTACATGCGCCATATCGCCTTTCCTGTTATGGGAACGGCCAATCGTGGTACTGTTGCCGCACCATAGCCAGGTTTTGTAAGGGTATCTTCCCGCTGAAGCATCTCGCTCGGTTTTTTTCTTTTCGTGTTCGTGTTTGTCGCAGCTCTGAGGACTTTCATCTAGCTTTGACCCAAGATTCGGCATGTCGATATCACCCGTTGTCGAGTCGAAGGAATTTCAAAGTCACAATAGCAAGGCTGTTGTGTTCATGTGGAGTTGGGGTCAAAATAGCTTGACTTCTAAACTCAAACCACCATCTCCGTCGGTGTAGCGTCCGCCCCATCGATTTTCACTCAGTTTCTTGCATCAATAAAGTCGTCTGGTGCGTGGTCGTAGATGATTTCTGATTCTACCGACTGCGGTATAGAGGTGGCAACTAGCTGATGGTCAGTCATGAACTCATGAGTCGTATGCTTGAACAAGGTTCGGCATACCACTTGAGCTACGACGATGCGTATTGCGAAATTTTCCAGGTACATTTTGCGGCGATACTGGAGGAGCCTGTCCGGTCTGCGCAGACTGTGCTGCAATACGCTGAACGTATTTCTTTGCCTCGTTGTCAAGCCATTGGTTGATGTTGGCATCATTGCAAGAAGCATGATCCATGAGTTGATTCTTGATGGTGGTCAACTCGCCCATGAGGTCGGTGTACTGGACGTGTAGGGCATTGTGCTCAATCTCCAAATCTCTTGTGGTTTCCTCCAATTCTCTCATCCACACCTTCTTCTTTTGACGACATTTGGACGCTGCGATCCTGTTCCGTTTGAGGAACTTGCTGCGTTTTTGCGTCTCATCCAGTCCATCATCATCGTCCTCATCTTCCTCCTTCAGTGATGGCTCCTTGGGTGCTCGTTTTTGACGCGGTTTGGCGACAGGTTCCACTGATGACTGTTGATCTTGAGTCTTTTTAGCTCTGCTACTGCGCCGAGGGTTGGTGTCGGTGTTGGCTGAATCTATTGAAGGGATAGACGATTTGCTCGATTGCCGTGTTGGGCCGCCAGACGTGGGTTCACTGAATGGGGTTTCTGGCGTTGAATGCATTTCGTTGGGTACTTTTGGACTGTTGTTCAAAGCTGATGGTGCCATTGCTGGCATGGAGGGAGGGAAGAAGTTGACGGGGCTGTTCATCGGGTTCCACATGTTGGAGCCCATGAGAAGCTGGTCGTTCATGGGATTGCTAACGATCGGGGACGCCTGAGCTCCCGTTGTGCAGTTGAGTAATGGATCAATATTGGCATCATCGCTCGTCAGGGGAAAGTTGTTTTGGAAGCTCTGGGCTTGGTCGCCAAAGTCCTGGCTTGGTCCGTCCATCTTGACTCTGCAAGACCGTTGAGACTGTGCTGAAGCGTGGGACCTGGGGTTACAGCGGCACGACTAGGCTGGTGTGGCTGAGCTGATTGCCACTGGCTGTCAGAGAAAGCGCCAAACTGGTGAGCCGCTCGAGACAAAGTCGAGGTCAGGAAGCTCGCTCGATGGGAATTGAGCGTGCAGCTCTAGAGATCGGGAGATCTGGAGCGGGCACAGGGAGGGGGTGCTTGGCCGGATTGGTTGAGATGGGGGTGTAGATGTTCCAGAACATCAAAGACCAACGGCGGCCAGGAAAGGAAACGGATCAAGGGAAGATGAAAGAAGGACTTGTATCAGGAACGCAATGTCGAAGGGAATGGGTAATAAGAAATGGCCGTGTTGGAGTAGAAGTGTAGCTCTGCTGTTGGCAGGGCGGATGGGAAAATCAGACAGGCGCTCAACGGAGAAACCAATCCGGTGGTGCAATGTAAGTACCTGAGTACTCCAGTACCTTACAGCCGAGTTGACCTCACCGAGGAATGGTGGTTTACCACCGATCGATAATACAATAAGTCGATTTCGAGGCTCAATTCCCAAGTTGAAGCTCAATGGCACGGCCGGGTACAACGTTTCGGTAAGTAGCAGGGGAGGGGAGGGAGATGTTCCAACTAAATCTGGACGCTGGGGCGAATTGCCTCGTCTGTTCCTGTTCTCTGCGTACGGGGTCGTTGATCCAATAGTGTGTTTCGGCTTCGCCTATGCAGCTATAAGATCTAGACGCTGGGGCGAATTGACCATTTGGGTAAAGTCAGGGAGGAAGGCAAACATCTGTCAGGAACAAACTCGAGATGCCGAGGTTGACAAACTTGCCAGAAAAATCGATGATTGTAAGATGGGAGAGTCAGAAGATGTAGCTGTAACAGAAGTCCAGCAGTCGCACCAAAGCTAGATGAAGGGATTCGGATATTATATTACGCCAACAACGGATGCGGCCACTATCAACAATTTCTTGCGTCACCTGTTCCCCGGGGTAGTGTGTATCGGTGGACCTGGTTGCGGTTTATGGTAATGTAGCTGGTTCTGTATATGTATCCAACAACTAGGGTTGGGAGTATATATAAAAGATTGGTGGGTGAAGATAGGAAACGAGGTGCGCAATGTTGACAACGTTATGTCCGGACCAAGTCCGTTGGTTTCAATTCGCAATACAAAGCAGCCAGTGTGAGCAAGGGTATCGTTTCTTGCTGGACAATGGACCGAAGCTGCGAGATACCAGAGCTGTTGAGGTTATAAGTGATCCTAAATGTCTTGCTGACCCCACAATCTTCTGCTTTGTACGAAACATAACCATAGGGGAGCAGTATCAGCTGTGCTGAGGTGAGGAAAAAGTCCCCTCAGTCAAAGACAACGTCATCCCGTTCGGAACCTTGAGCCAAAGATGGTAGGATATGCCTAGCATAAGCGGTAGAGGTGCTTGGACTCTAAATCCACCAGTGCTCCAATCACAAACTGCGAAGCAAATGGTACTTCGATATTCAAGTGGCCCCTTGGCGGAGATACTATCTTCAATATGGGGATGTGTGGGTGTGGCCAATCATGGTGTAACGGACCTGGAGTCCGTGATTTTCAACCACCAATCAATGTTGATGAACCTTGTCCGTCAAGGCCGCACCCGGCGAGACAGTGCAAGACGGACTGTACACACCGACCTCAGCAGCGAAGCGAAGCGAACGAGATTATTGCAGCATCCACCTATCATGTCAACCAGCAACTCAAGCTTCGATGTCATGGTCATTATCAAGTCAAGAGCTTGATCCTTTGACAGCTCGAGAACCCGTTGGGCTAATATCTGAAGATCATGACGAACCTCGTTCATGTCTTTTGGTTATGACTTGATTCTTGCAATGATTCCTGTAATAAAGTATCACTCCCGATGCACACAGGGTCCTTCCAGTGATGGTTAGTCAAGCCGGCAATCCTTCACATACAAGACTCATGGTTGTGACAAGAGATATCTTGAACTGATCGACAAACGTGATCAGGATTTTGGCACCCACACAGAGTAAGGATCGACCTCAGATGCGTGGCCTTTGCTGCAAGCTGATAAATTTCAACACACGGGGAATGCCGTATAACTCAATGTCTGCAGGGGTCATGAACTCCTGGATATGTGATGAAGTTCTTTGTCTTGGTCTCTGACTTTATCAGCCTTCGCATCACCGCGTGTCTGCCGTGGCATTGAGCCGAACACCAAGACACAGTTTGGTAGGACTAATAAACTGTGCGTCTTTCACTGCTTTTACTTCCCAATTCCCCCTCTCTGGTCAACGGCGACTCAGCGCATTAATCCGGAGCTTTTACTCCGACATGGGCTAGGCTTTGACAGATTCAAGGAGCGGGGTTGACTTGAGCGAATAAGGTTATGCGCTGCAGGCCTGTCAAGGGTAATGTGTTCAGTATCGTAGGGGCTTTCTTGGCTTGGCTAGCGGGTTTATCGTGGGAATGAGACTTGTTGAACCTGGTTGAGCGGAGGAACCGGGCAAGGGTCCGAATAGGCGACCACAGCCAGTGGCTCGAATTAATTTTGAAAACGAAGAGATTGGCTGTTTAATTCTCGAGTAGAATTGACAGCTTGCCAAACGATAAGCAGGATCCATCCATGGATTTAAATGAGGGAAGATAAAAGCATACATAAAGATGCCTGCGAGGCTGCGATGGCAGGAATACTAATTATCACGTGACGATTCTCTCACGTGACTGCGCGTCATGCTCGACGCGCTTCCCCTCCGCATTTATCGCCAACAGCTTTACATGCGTTTCATCGTCTAACCTCTCACCAACATCGCTTCCTTGCCTGTCAACCAAGCATCTGAGACACAAACCCTGTCTGCTCGCGTATCTTTCTCATCTCCTTATCTCTCTAGCTTGATCGCAAACAAAAACCAAACACTATGGCTGAGCAACTTTCAACCCCGCGCATCACTGCTGCCTATCTTGACAATTTTGTTGGCAAAGTAGTCATGCTCGTGGGAAAGGTTACGCAGCTCCGAGGTGAACAGGCTACTCTTGACTCAGAGGGCACAGTCACCGTCTTGTTGAACAGGGTGAGTTGACATCAAATCTGGTGTCAGTGTCACGACATCAGAATGCACTGCAACACTGAGCTAACCTTTCAGGATGCACATCTCACAAATGGTAACGCTGTGCAAGTCATTGGAAAAGTCAATCCGGACCTGTCGATCAAGGTTTTGACATCCCGGGATTTGGGGACTGGTGTGGGTAAGTCAACAAGCTCGTCTTTCTGTCGTCATTATGGCGTACCGACGTTACAACATCACGCAAAATGCAAATTCGTTCCCCATTGTGCTCGGCAGTTGAAAATCATGATTCAGTTCACTATGCCGTTTTCAGATGACAGCTAATATGTGTAGATTTTGGTTTGTACAGCTCGGTTGTGCAGGCGACACACAAGCATCCATCCATCTTTGCAGGCAATTGACGGGGTCAGACAGATCATGGCCCTTACCAGTCCTCGCAGGCATACACCCCACGTGTGGCCATGGTCTGGACCTCGCCTACCAAGGCTGGCGCCGTCACTTCTCCCCCTCGACAACGACAAGCTTATTCCGCCGGCCAAGATGGAAAATCAATCACAACCCCTGATTCAGCCTCGACTGGAACTATCAGATCTTCGAGACCCCTACACAGTGCTGCACAGAGACTGCAGCATCATACGCATTCGATATATGGCCAGACGAGACCTACCACCGCAATGTCTTTCACAACATCCAGTTCCGATATGATTCTTGGCCGTGACATTCAGTCAAGATCCTCTACTCCGCTCTACCCATCTGGGCCTTCTCACATCTCACAGACTCCAAATCCTTCTCTAGGCTCACTCCTGCCATCGCCACCAGAAGACACAGTCTCTCGCACTTGTTCCGTGGAGATGTCTCGGCGTTCTTCCGTCAGTACGCAACCCAACCAACGATATTCAACCTCGCAGACCTATGATCAAGAGAGCACCCAAGAATCCTACATACCATCAGCTCAGCCTTATACGCCCCCCGCTTATTCTCCGCCGTCAATGTCTTCCGCGAGTCTGCTCCCGTCTCCGCCGATGACACAAGAAGATCAATACCTCTCACATGGACCTCTCAAGTCCCCCGCATTTTCAACATCCTCCCGCCGCTACTCGGGGGCAGACAGCCGTCCCGCTGGCGTGACCAACAGAAACCCTAAACCAGAGGACCCTGAAGAATCTGCCCTATTCGATTCCGTTCTTGAGGGAATTGGGCGTATTCATGTGTCGATGAACCGAGATGACGCAGGTAGATGGCGAATCAAGCGAGCATCTGACGAGAGACCATAGCATGCTTCCCTCAGTCATCCGCAGCCATACACTCGCAAAGGTATACAAGCATTCGTTCGCATCATCATCCATCAGACAGTTTCCCTGCACCAGGGACAAGTCATAAATTTGGAGCTAAAAGCGGGATCGACATTGCCCAATCAGGTGTCCAATGATCTCGGCACATGAATTGAAATCCCGTATCTAGCACAGTGTCTGTAAAAATGCATACAAGAGAAATCGAGATTCCAAAATCCCATTAACCTGATCTGCAGTGGCACAGAATTTAGCTCGCTCAAGTGATCGGTTTATCGGGGCCAAGAGCCTCCTGTGAAACAGGTTTTCATCGCAGGTGTACCTCACACAGCATGATATTCACAATCGAAATTTTACCTAATGGAGTTGTTTGGACAAGTCCGTGATATTCTGATACACAGACACCCTTGCCACAAAATCTAACTGATACATTCAAAAAGGTACAGTCAAGTTTGCCACCAGGGTCTTTCAGATGGAGACCCTTGCACAGCCTGTCATGTGAGACGGACCACCAATGTTCCTGGACGCACGTCTATTTGCCACACCGTCAATCTTGTTCTAGAATTCAGTTATTCGTCTCTCTTTGCCCCTGGGCCTCATCAAGCTGTAGCAACTCTTGTGCCGCCATCCAGACCTCGACTGTACTCGGGCTGATATCCCGCTTTGGTCTTTCTGGATTCTGGATTTCGTCGAGTCCAAAGGATGGTTTGTCTGGGGGACCATCGGTCAAGCCATGGAGACAACGGCGTATCCGGGCTTTGACGACACCGGCATCTTCTGTTCTCCCTGAACTGTCACTCTCGTAACCCATGGTACTCTCCAAGAAGGTGTTTTCTTTCTGTCCATTCGCACCCCCATCCAAATACTTGGCTGTGTCTGTGTCGGCATTTCTCGTGTTGACTCCTACAGCCTCTCGTATCGCTTTGAGTCGTGCTGTGAATCGTTCAAACACTTTGATTCTTCGTTCTGCGCTCTCTGCCCTTTCCCTCCACGTTTGTGCCTCCCTTTTGGCTTCTCGTAGTTGCTGACTCAATGTTCCAACATCTGCATCTCCTTGCACCTCAAGCTGCCTTCTCAAATGAACTGCTTCTTCTGTCTTGAGGTCTAGTTGTCGTTGGAGACTTCGAATCTGTGCATGAAGTGTAGTTGTACTGCCGGGACGTTGAAAAGGGGTTGAAATATTTTGAGGAACTGACGGATCCGCCCCGTACTGCGTATTCGATGCTGATGATGCTGGTCTGATAAGGTTAAGGTGTTGAGCGATAGGAGGCTGTTCAGGATAAGGCATCATGGTTCCCAGACTTCGTGGATTCTCTAATGATGCCTCTTTACCCCTGCCTGGGACTGGCTTCCTCCTAGGGATCGTCTGTCGCTGAGCTAACATTTCCGGTTGTTCCTGGGAGCTTGGCTTTTGTCCCTTGTCAGCTTGTTGAAGCTCAACTGCCCTCATTGCTGCCTCCTCCCTGATCGAGGCTCGCAAGTTTTGGTCAAGAGCCTCATCTCTAACAGTGTTTGTTGCTGACGGTCGAGAACGCCGGTCCTGGCTTGAAATTGAAACATTCCGTTTGTGTCCCAAGGTTGAAATGGATCTTGTGGACCGGATACTCTTTGTGGGTGACTCTTGTGAAAATTGTAATATGAGATCTTGAGTTTTGCTCGCACTCCTGGGTTTTGTTGGAGATGTCTCGGTTGGATGATCGGTTTCAAACTTGGCAGCCATGGCTCTGACGCCTCCTGGATTGTCTGTTGGCGTCAAATTTGGACGTGTTAACGCCGTCGATTTTCTTTTTGGAACAGAGAACCAGGGAGAGGATGCAGTACGCTGTTTCTCAGTCTTTGGTGTTTCGGCAGGCAAAGACATAACTCGAGAGTGTCGTCGTTCCGGGGTTTCAGTGCCAATGCCCTTGGCTTGCTTTTGTGTCTCATCGTATTCAAGACTCTGTGATCCATTAGGCAACTCCTCCTGTGCACCAGAAGAGACTTTCTATGTCCCAACCTGGCTTTTTGGGGAGGCCAGCCCCATGGAACTGCTGCCTCCTGCAATACTCGCTGGCACCTGCATTGGAGAATAAAATTGTCTTGGTGTTGTCGAGGCAGAGTTGGCTTCCTGTAAAGTCTGTGTTCGTGTTTTGTCTCCGCGAATAGTGTAGTCGCTCTCCTCTTCTAGCCTTTCGATTGGGAAGTGCAAAACCTTGGGAGTGTTGGCAAAAGTCAACATCTCCGAGTTCTGATCAACGTTTGTAGAGGCTGAACTCTTGCGTTGGTCCATCGAATCCAACTCTCTGAGTTCCTCGAAATGCGCTTTTAGTGCAGCTTCAAGAGCCTCCTTCTCGGATGAAAATTCCAGACTGGTTGAACCTGGCCTATCCATGGAGGTATCTGATGACCTGGCAGGTTTTGTCCATTCAACTGCAAGCGACTGTCGACGTGGCTTTAGGGCTTTTGCCTTTCCAGGATATTTCTTTCTTATAGCACCCTTTCGTTCAATTGAAGGGGTCTCCGTTGCTGAGACTCTCGAAGTGTCCTGGCTTGTTGGTTCCTCGGGACTGGTTTGTTGAATAGGGGTTGGCTTGGTTCCTCTTTTTGAGGACGTCCGAGGTGGCACATCATCCTGAGACAGATGGGAACCATCTCGGTTGATCAGTCCTCTGGTCCTTGTAGCCGGGGTGGGTGTTGGGGCGATGTGCGCACTCTCGCCTGGGGTATCCTTCGCCGTTGCATCCTTGCTGTCCTCCAAGTGAACTGTACCTGTCGGCATCTGCGAATTCTGCGGCGTTTGAACATAGCTACTCCCTTCCCCTGGTTGTTCTAGTATTTGGCTCTTATCCTCGTCGTGAACACTTTCTTCCACAGTTGGACTTAAGCAGCCAATGTTGGGCCTAGCTGCAAGTCTCTTTGAGGCTGAACTCCCACGACTGCGCGACCGCTGCTTAGATATGCCCAGGGTAGGTGTAGGCGGTTCTGGGCTGTCTTCTCGTGGAATCTGATCTCCCTCGCTTCCTCGCCATTCCCGATCCCAACCTTGTGGTTTCCTGATAACAAAACTATTCTCGTTGGGATCGTCTTGACTTGATCGTGGGTGCGGTCGATTCATGCCAAGCGATTTCATTTGTCGCACCACATCTCTCCAATTGACTATAAGCATTTCTGCGATGGTATTGGCGATGATAATTTTGTCCATTGTTGGAGGTGCCCCAAGTTCGTTGCCGAGTGTCTTTCTTCCATTCCGATCTTGTCGTGATCTAGGAGATCTCAATGGAAGCACCAGCATCCCTGCCTTTGGGGCGGCTAGCTTCATAGAATATAGTCCAAGCAAATCGCCTATGAGAAGAGGTCCAAAGACGATGCCTAGTGCATTGTAGCCCATGAGGTCTCCCGTGGGTAGTGATCGGCCTTCTTCATCTTCTCTGGGGGTGATTTCTGCCACTCTTCCAATTAGACTCAAAAGTCCAAAGACGGCGCATATGAGCTCCCTCCGAAATTGAGATTGAACAGTTGCGATAGCCAAGGCGATGAGTCTGGCCCGAACCTTGGTCTGTTTGGTGCGAGGGAACTCTGGGTCACCCTGTAGCTGCGAATGGATTGCGACCATCGCATCAAAGAGTGCCAAAGAACCGAGTATCCCGCCGGGTATTACCGAAAGGAGGCGCTTGAAAGTCGACGCCACATCATGGACAGAAGCCTGCACATGCATCGGCAGGTTTGCGCATCGCACGGTGTTTGTGATGTCGATATTGTCGGTACAGCAGTAGTAATCGAACAGCGTGTTGACTACTCTGATTGACCCCGGTATACGGAAGATCCCCCGAGTAGTTACATGTTGAGCGATGTGATGCGCAGTAGCTCGAATGCAGGTTGGGAGTATCAAGGCAGAGGGTGTGTATTCAGGTGGGAGGTAGAGCATGCTCTTGCCGCATATTCTGACCATCGACTGCAGATCGAGTATCTTGGGGTCTCGACGATGTATCAAGTTGTGGGCGAGATCGGAGACACTGCGTTTATGGCGAGGTCCTTGTCGTGGTTGTGTATCTGCTGCAGGATGATTGGAAGAGGACCGTAGGATCCGATAAAGCCATCCTTGCTTGCGAGGACTACCAAGTCCGTTTCCCTGGGCTATCAGTGATTGCTCAGATACACCATCGACAACCTACAGTATGCCTAGAGTCAAAGTCGTCAATCACCAGTATTCGCACCCCATTCTAAGTCGTCAGCTTGGTCTCTACTTCTTCAAGGCCCTCACCTTTCTTGCTAGGCGGTTGTATTCTTGAACAAAGGTGGCTCGATCGCCCAATTCGTCGGTATCGCTTAGGATATTATGATCGCCACTACTCGTCCATGTTCTGCTGGTACGTACAGGTCCTTGGTCTGTTATGTGCCGTATCGTAGCCTGAAGAGACAAGCTACTCCTGGACGGTAATAGTCGATGAGGGCCAGCCTCTGGCGCAGAATAGTGGCCCAGAGGCGGGTGACAATGTTGATCCATCGGCAAAAGCCTTGCGGTAAGTAGATGTGATTAATGCTGAGATTCTGACATTTGTCGGATAAGATATCGTATCAAAAGGCAGTCAAAAAGCTGATGGTGTTTGAACAAAATTCTCACGTGTCACAACAGATTCGTGAATGTCGAAACAGTGGAAACTTCATTGCGAAAGGACGGAAGGATCTGACCGATCAAGTCAAAGTGGAAGGAACGCAGGCAAAGTGAATGGGGAAGTTTTCAGTGATGGCAGTGATTGCAAGTGGCAGGCAGAAGAAGGGCAGAACAAGTGGCACAAGGACAAAGAAGCACAGAAGTCTTTGTGCACAGAAACTGGATATGAATAGCATCAAAAAAGTAACCAAAGTGGGAAATGGTTGATAAATACTGAAATGGGTAGATAACACCAATGTCGTCAGAGTGCAGCATCAAGTTTGACCGTCATCCGCATGTCGCATCGAATGAGACCTGACCAATCCCACCCAGATATTCACAGCCACTCGGTTCCCGAAGCCGAAAAGCCTCTCTTGCTGTACTGTAACACTGACACTACCAAGGCAATCATCCTGAGACAGCTGTACTGTATCATGCATGCAGGCCTGTCAACGGTCTATAGCGAAAGATTGTATGCACATGATAACCTTCCATCTTGCCCTTGCGCCTGTCTATGCCTGCCTCCGGCGCCTCTGAGAGCTCCCTTATTCGTAGCGGCATGCAATCATTATAACCTCATCAATACTCAAGCCCAGTTGCTTGTATCCTCCACTCCGTAGAGCAGCACATATTTGAGAATGTCGGACAGCGAGATGATACCCTTGAGCTTGTTATCATCGTCCACTACTATCAGACGATGAACCCTGCTCTTCCGGACCGTATCAAAGATGGAGTCCAGGCGATCGCCTTCACTGCATGTGTAAATACCGGGGCTCTCGTCGGATCTCTTGCAGAGCGCTTCCCCGACAGAGCCATCCAAGTCTTCGTAGGCACCGTTTTTGATGCATGGGATGACATCAACCGCCTCAAAAACGTTTAGAACTCGTCCGTGAGAATCGATAATCGGGACACAGCTGATGTTGTACTTGACCATCAGGTGAACAACATCAAGCACGGAACTGCCCATCGAGGCTGTAGCGATGCCTGAATATGTACCGAGGCCAATGTCGCGAACCGTTTTCTTCAAGAGGACGGTGTTGTGTTCGTTGTTTACGGCGATAAACTTGAGGATGCGATACTGAGTGATGACTGAAACAACCATTTCCTTGTTGGTCTCGCTATCGACATCGACCAGGGGAATTCGTCTGGCGCGGGTCTTGAGCATGCGCCTGCAGGCTTCGTACAATGGTTTTGAAGGGTGAACAGATACAGTTTCGATGGGGATTGCGCCGATAGCTTTCTCGATGTCTGATATGGTCAGCGATGTCATGCTTGCATGGAGAGGCGACAACCTCTTAGGCTACTCAATCGGAACTGATCGAGTTTGCTGAACTCGTCAGGGAACTGGCAATAGTATTGAATCACATTGATAAAGTCGGTGCTCGTGAGGATACCGGCGAATCGCGAGGTTTTAGAGTTCCATAGAGGTGCCGATACGATTGCTGTGGCAAGGTTAGCATTAGACTCTGGACGTATCGGGCGACGCACAGTTCTGCGTCAAGATGCTGATGGCTTTCTTGATGCGGAGGTCGGTATCGAGGACGATGAGACGGAATGATAGAGGTAAGACGTCGTAACTGGTGCGAACTTTGAGGAAATCGCGTATGGCATTCTGTCGAGATTAGCTTCTCGTCGGGCTTTGATGCGCGCGTGCCCCACGTCAAGTACGGGCAAACGGATGCGACAGACAAAAGGCAGATGAACATACCAGACCCTGTAACTGATCTCTGTCCAGAGGACTTAGAGGCTTTGGTTCGGTGGGCGCCATTGGGCTTCGGAGTGAAGTCCTGCGTCGGAGGTAGGATGACGGAGCGACAAATTGAGGGACAAGACCATGACCGGCGGCTGTAGTGGAGGGGCCAGTGGAGGTTGATGCAGCCCGCCGGCGTGGAGTTATCAAAGCCGGTCCAGGTCCAGGTCCAGATCCAGAAACAGCTCCAACTCCTCCAAATGAGGCTTCGGCTGCTGACTCTTGTACTTGTCCCGGGGTATCTGTGCCTGGAGCTGAGGTTGTGGTCGAAGCTTTTGCAGTCGTACCAGTCACGCCAGGTACTGGACTGGGGGTATTTTCAGCGCGGGGCAGGTCTCCGACAGCATCATCAACTTCAACTGTTGGCGGTTCGGTTGGAGGTTGTGGTTGAGTTTCGCTTTGGGCTTCGATCCATGATTTGACGTTTTCTTTTGCTGGGTCGTCAATTTGAGCTTCTGTCACTTCAATTTGACTTTGGATTTCGTGAGGTTCGCTTGGTAGATTGATATCTGCTGGTGCTTTTGTTTCTGGATCCCCTCGTGCGGGTTCAAGTTCTGGGTTTTTCTCCATTCCAAGTAAATATCACTGCTACACAATACGGTTCGAATTGTCAGGCGGGATTTAATGGTTCGGTCGAGGATCGAAAGTGAGGTTGTCAAGTCCTGATAAATACTGACGTATAACGCATCACTGAGAAAATCACAGACGTATGCTAATCGAAAAGAAAAGAGACAGCATCAGCCTAGAGTTGATAAAAACGATCCGACGGCGTTGAGGATAATTCAATATCATTAAAGGCGCAAATTTATTTGCAAGGGAATGTGCTGAAGGGTAAAAGGGAAAAAGGAGCAAATATCAGTCACGGCAATCGGTCGGCCGTTTACTCACCTTGGACTTGTAATAAATGATAAGGGAACCACCTCGAAACAGTCTGCCCAACAAAAGTCCAGCAATAATATTACTGTACAGCATACGCTACTCCATACTTCTTAACCTTATGGCCAACATTGGATCTTAACCGGACCCTGGACTACACGGCGGAGACGGAGACAGACAGAACGTCATGGCGGATCGACGATGAGCTTCGGGTCTTGGCAAAGATTGACCGTTTTACAATTCCATCTCCGGTAATTAGGATTGGTCAGATTAGTTCAATATGGCCTATCTGGTTTGTTTGAGGTGCATTCTATCATGGTTTGAGGATTCTTATCCTGTCAAAATCCCGCAAGTTGTCACTGAGATATTGAGATAGAGATATTGACAGGTTGAGGGATTGGTGAGACATTATGTAGAAGGATAGATTGCAAGTCAACACTCGATCTCAGAATCTTTATTCCCATTAGCTGATCAGTTGAGCTTGGAACTGATATCGATGTAGCCAGGATTAGCAACTCGTATGTCTCAGCATAATCCATTCTAGGGGAGGAAAGAAAACACAGGACCTCGATCCTAAATGACAAAAAGACTTAGGGTAATATAGCCTAAGTTTAGGATAACTTTTGCTAAGTTTATTTTAATAAACTACAATAAGGTTTGCTGTTTTCTTGCCCCCCGAGGCCATTCCAAGCTTACCGTCTCTTCAGCCCTCTGCACAGGCATCAAAGCAAGAAGGGTCCAGGACAAGTTTGTCCGGTTCACAACAATCCCATCCATCACAGCCAGTCGTTCAAAACACCCAATAGTCTTTTGATCCCTGTTCATACATCAACCGCCATGACCTGCCTTGTGGTGGTGCAGGGTAGTTAGTTGCTGCAGATGTCTTGCAGCCAAAGTTTGTTCAGATTGATACCCAACAATGACACGATAAGCACATGGGCAGCACAGCTTGTGTGACATGAGAATTACCATTTTTGGAAAGCAAAACTCGCCAAAATCGAGTATCGACCAGGTCGCATAAAGTAGACCTCGGATTTGTATCTTACGTCAAGAAATGCCTCTATCACATGCCACGCGACAGAAGGGCAGTACTATACGCAATATCGAAGGCAGCAACATTCCGTGAATTTCCATCAAATAGGCGCTGAGTAGATGTCAGCTATGACAATGGGTAGATGTCCTACTCTTCATAAGAAATAAATCTTCATCAAACGATCATTCAATAATCTCAAAATGAGGCGTTGAAATGTCTGGATAAAAGCAAGAGACGGTCCAAGCTTCTCCACAGCCGCTAGCATAATGAGGCGGTCCACTGTAACAGCTGTCTCTGCACCTAACGTGCACTAGACCACCTAAACAATAGCGCACGTCGTCCCTGGCGGACCCTACCTTCGGCGGATGACCTCAAGTGAGGTCACCTCCTGCAGGGAACCTCGATGCCCCCTGTAGCTACCTCTTCTGAAGTGGACTTATAGTGGACGCCAATGTACCTGGAAGTAGCTTCCCCAATTCATCCGTTCTTGCCTTTAGCTCACGCTTTACTTACCTCAGGCAGCTTAGGTTTGAGCTCTGTAGAAGGTCCTACCCGAGCTACGGCGCTCACCTTGCTTCTTCCTGGCGCGCGTCTCGATCCCCATTCTTTCCCTCGCCAACCAACTGTGAGGCTAGGATAAACTCCCCCTCGGATTCATCTCTCACCTGGGCAATCGCCAACTAATTTTCCCTTCTACACCGCGATCTTGACACTATCTCGTGCCAGTGATTGGCCTCTGTGGTAGTCAGTCATTTACCTTGCCCGATAGAGGATTGTTTTGTAGTCTTCACCCGACAGCCGAGCCCGATAATAATAATTCGAATCTGGATCCCTGTTGTGACGTTGCCGACAAGTGGATGACCTTTCGTCAACAACCGAGCCTTGACCGATACTGCATCAAAAGCGAGACCGACTTTCATTCACCGTTGTTCAACATACTTCTTTCATCAAGACTTTGTGCTATTGTTTGCCATGGGTATCTGCAGCTCCTCGTGCTGCGGAGGTATGCATGCTATTATCCGTCGCCGTATACATCTGACAGCAATAGGTCGAGCCCGCGATGGCTTGTATGAACCCGTCCTCGCCGATAGCGAACGAGAGGCTGTAGCCGATCTTCTCCAGTATCTCGAAAATGTACATACTCCTACATTTTGCTCGAATTGTTACTAATTTTGTGATAGCGCGGCGAGACCGACTTCTTCTCTGGCGAACCTCTGCGTGCTCTGAGCACCTTGGTCTTTTCGGAAAACATTGATCTTCAACGAAGTGCTAGTTTGACTTTTGCTGAGATTACTGAACGAGGTACGAAAGAGTCCCGATTTTCCGACTGGTCTAACAATGTAGATGTCCGAGAGGTTGACCGCGATACCCTTGAACCTATTCTATTCCTTCTCCAGAGTCCCGATATCGAAGTTCAGCGAGCTGCCAGTGCCGCACTCGGAAACCTGGCTGTTGACAGTACGTACATCGGATCCAACATTCGCAGTCGCTGACAATTGTAGCCGAGAACAAGGTTCTCATTGTGCAACTTGGTGGTCTAACACCTTTAATCCGCCAGATGATGTCCCCCAATGTCGAAGTTCAGTGCAATGCTGTGGGATGTATCACGAACTTGGCTACACATGAGGAGAATAAAGCAAAGATTGCTCGCTCCGGAGCTCTGGGTCCTCTGACAAGATTGGCCAAGTCTCGGGATATGCGGGTTCAGCGGAATGCTACTGGCGCTCTGCTGAACATGACACATTCTGGTATGTTTGTATATGGCAACGGCAACGGCAATGACATGCTGACAAGAGTAGATGAGAACCGACAACAACTGGTAAACGCTGGAGCGATTCCCGTGCTTGTTCAGCTTCTTTCCTCTCCCGATGTCGACGTTCAATACTACTGCACCACAGCTCTCAGCAATATCGCTGTCGACGCGAGCAACCGACGAAAGCTGGCTCAAAGCGAACCCAAATTGGTCCAATCTCTTGTCAACCTCATGGACTCGACTTCACCCAAGGTTCAATGCCAAGCTGCCCTAGCTCTCCGCAACCTCGCTTCCGACGAAAAGTATCAGCTCGATATCGTTCGTGCCAATGGACTTCACCCTCTTCTCCGACTCCTCCAATCTTCTTATCTACCGCTTATCCTTTCTGCTGTCGCCTGTATACGAAACATCTCTATCCATCCTCTTAACGAGTCACCAATTATCGAAACCAACTTCCTCAAGCCACTCGTCGACCTACTTGGATCTACCGACAATGAAGAGATTCAGTGCCATGCCATCTCGACGCTTCGAAATCTCGCCGCCAGTTCCGATCGAAACAAGGCTCTTGTCCTGGATGCCGGTGCCGTTCAAAAGTGCAAGCAATTGGTTCTTGATGTGCCCATCACTGTTCAGTCCGAGATGACCGCTGCTATTGCTGTTCTGGCCCTGAGCGATGATCTCAAGTCTCATCTCTTGAATCTTGGAGTCTGCGGTGTTCTCATTCCTCTCACCCATTCGCCAAGTATTGAAGTCCAAGGCAACAGTGCTGCTGCCCTAGGCAACCTCTCTTCTAAAGGTAAGTCAACCTCACCGCCATTCAAACACAAACTAACAAACGCAGTTGGTGACTACTCAATCTTTGTACAAAACTGGACCGAGCCCCAAGGTGGAATTCACGGATACCTCTGCCGATTCCTGCAGTCTGGTGATGCTACCTTCCAGCACATCGCCGTCTGGACCCTTCTCCAGCTCTTCGAGTCCGAGGACAAGACTCTCATTGGCCTCATTGGAAAGGCCGAGGACATCATCGAGCACATTCGAAGCATTGCAAATCGACAAATTGAAGCCGACAATGAATTCGAGGATGAGGATGAGGGTGAAGTTGTCAACCTAGCTCAACGTTGCCTGGAACTCCTGGGACAGAGCATGTCCAAGGCTCACATCGAGGGCTAACTATATTCGCGGACTATTCATCTCAAAAGCGGAAGCGTATGGGGTGTTGGGAGATATGGTGTTCGGCGTCATGTAACATTCTAAGAATGATGTTTGGTTTCAGGGGTGTCTCTTTATACGGATTGCATCGCCTGTCATGGGCTTTCAAGAATTGTTCTTACAACAATGGTGTTTGACGGTGTACGAGAGGGCCACGTGCTGCATTGAAGGACGGTATTCTTTCTCTTTGTTTGATGATTCATGTGGCAGATATCGCTAGATCACTTACTGGGCAGTTGATTTGGGGAGAGCAGATGTAATTAGACGAGAGGTGTGAGTTTCTATACCCAGATAAGAGATGATACATATTTACATTAGACTGCTCGTGATTAGTCTAGCTCTTCAACCTTTTGAAGTCCATTTTTCATCCATTGACGTTCGTTCCATGGTAATATTTTGGCTATTGTAGTACCAGAGATGAGAGCTAGTGGTAAGGGGCCAAAATGTCGTGAATCTCTTGATGCTGGGAGGTTGTCTCCTGAAATCCAGCAATGCCCTTCGGGGATCTGAAAAGTTAGTAGGGCTAGGGACGAGGATGGAATAAGTACCTGTATCATTAACTCTTCTCCTTGCTCTCCTGGTGTTCCGACAGAGACATAATCCCCTGGCATGCCTGTTACACGTTTCACTCCCCACTGGTTGTTGAAGATTGGGATGCGGTAAACGACCAGATCACCAACAGAAACACCGCGACCATAGCGACGCGTGTGATCACATAGAATCCAGTCACCATCGACTGTGAATGTTGGAAGCATTGACGGGCCTTGAGCTGGGCTGATGGTATAGCCGTACGTGATTCCAAGGTGCACAAGACAAGCGGCCTTGAGGAAGGATACTGTTGTCTGCACAGGACGGCGGGCGAAATGAAATGAAGCCATCGTGAGTGCCCTGACGGGCTGAGTTGAGTGTATTACAACAAATCCATCCAGACGGGAGCTTGGTGTTGAAAGGGCAAAGAGCACATGATTGGATAGAGTTGACAGGACCCCACAGTGACGTTTCTGCCAAAATCAACCGCCCACCGTGAAGACGATAGATCAGTCATAGCATTCAAGCCATTGTTGACTGCCTACACTCCTTTACGGCGCGACAGACACTCCTTTAGGGCGCCTCGAGAATGAACAGCTTTACATGCCTTCAAAGCTCCCGTCGAGCCCTCTACAGGGTCTTCGTTCAGCATGAGGGTCTCCTCACACGACAGTTCCAACCTCCGCGAGCCCTACCTATACAGAACCGCTTCTTCTCCGCATCGCAAGTGAAAGCGCGGAATAAAAAATCGAAGAAACGCGAAGATGAAAATGAGGTAGATCTGTTTGCTGATGAGGGCCAAGACCGAGGTTTCGATCGACGATACACTACCCAGGAGGAGTTTGAAAAGTCTGGTCGCGATCGCCTCCCCCAAGATTTCGAGATCACGGACCCAAAGATCATGGTTCTCGATAATGGTGTATTCGATGGACCTCTTCTCACGAAAAACGTGATGAGCCGACTGCCTGAGACAGATTCACTTCGCATGGTGACACCCTACATCCCAGGTGATCCAAAGAAGGACAAGCCAACCCAGTATGCTATCTGCAAGATTGTCAACAAGAAGGAAGAATACGAGCGTCAGCGTGAATTAGCCCAACGCCGGCGTTTGTCCAAGCAGACCACACCCAAGCTTAAGGAAGTCGAGATGAGCTGGGCCATCAGCGAGCATGACCTTGGGGTCAAGACACAGCAGCTGGTTGGGTTCCTCAGCAAGGGTATGAAGGTGGAGCTCATTCTGGGGTTCAAGAAGAGGGGGCAGAAGAAACGGACGTCTGAGGATACCACAGAGGAAGTCTACACCAAGGTGAACAAGCTGATTGAGCAACTAGGCTCGAGAGAGTACAAGCCAAGAGATGGAGAGGTTGGGAAGACGATGAGGATTTACCTCGAGGGAATCACAAAACAGGCCCGTGAGACACTACAGGTGAAAGAAGAATCACCAGAGGTCGACGCTCAAAAGGATGCGTAAATGTTTGATATAACATCATATTCTGGGTATCTGCCAGTCAAGTCTATAGCCGAATAAAGAAAGTCATCAGTCCGGTTGTCGTATCCCGGATATTGAGCCCATTTTAGACACCAAACTCCAAGTCCAGACCCAAGAACTAAAGGATCTCATCGCCATCCTCGTCAGCGGGTAGAGGTACCGCCGCGGGAGCGGTGACCTCTGCAGACAAGGTCTCGTCCGCAACATCCATATCCTCATCCATATCGACTCGACGGCCCTTCACCTCGGCATCACTCTCCGCGCTCTCCGCACCCTCAGCCTCCTCAGCAGCCCTGTTAATCTCATCCCAATTCTTACTTCTCTGCTGAATATTCCTCCCCCGGCCCTTACTCTTCTCAACCTTATTCTTGGTACGCTCCACAACAGCAGCAGCCATCTCGAGGCCCTTCTCATGACGTTTCCTAGCCTTGGCGGACATCTTCTCTTTGCGACCGCGCTTGGCCTTCTTGGTGATACCGGCTGAGTGGTGCGCTGCTAGGACGGAGGGCCGCTGGGTAGCATCGCGGGGAGGCTTGACTTCTTTTAGGGACTTGTCGGTGTCGATGTCGATGTCTGTTGCGCGACGAGCGGCGCGGGAGTGGATTGAGGGTGCTGAACATGTTAGATTGGAGTGCAGGGGGGAACAGAGGACGTACCCTTCTTTTTCGCCATTTTGTTGGTGTTTGAGTGTGATGTTGAATCTGCAACTTCGGCTTGGTGGGGGATGGAAATTTTGATACCCCACAAAGATAAGCTCACCGAGACTCACCGAGCTCACCTCCCGGGGAGCTTAGGTAGACAGTCATGTTGGAAAAGCGTTGATGGCACTTATGTCAAACATGCTGCCTGTGTAAATTTGAGAACATGTTGAGGTAACTAGACTGCTTGGATGAGGAGTATTTATGGGAAATTGTGATTAAGCCATAGAATAAGTCGGGCTGCCGGGATGAGTACGTGCTCTTGCACTTGTACCCCATGAATGTCTCAACTTCCCTCGTGCACCAGCATCATCTCATTTCATCAATCTTTTACCTACAGCCGAACCTACAAGAACTCAAACTTGATTTACGCGTTCCAATTCTTCAAAAAGACCCGTGGCCGTGAATATGCAAGTGTCTGTCTAGCGTTCGTTACTTGTCAACGTCCCGCCGTCTCCAGCAGACGCATTAGCAATGCTTCCCTTCACGACCTGCTTCGTTGCAGGACTGCAATATCTGATACACCCTCTGAAGCTTGTATGTTGGTGATTGAAAGCCATGCGCATCCTAACGCGTCTAGGGAACCATTCAAGAAACCATCAACCCCGATGCTCTGATTCCAATCACGCTCCTCTCAACTGAGGAAATCTTTGGCGATCTCGAAGGAATTCTACAGCTCTTTGACTCAATTGATGATGTGTTTGTTCCAGACTTTGGTTCCATTCTTGTCGAAAAGAGTGGCGACAACAACAGTCAGGTTCGAGTCGATACGCGACAGATCTATCATATGGACCAGATCAGGGCTCTAGATGGCTTTTCTGAGTTACCGTCTGGCCCCTACTTTCTCTACGGTCCAAACCTTTACCAAGCCTGGCGACTGTACGATGATGAATTTGGAGCTTTCACTTCCGGTGTGATACCTGATGATCTGAACCAACCTGACGAGTATGTTGTGTCTCCAGTGCAAGTCGTAGCTGACCATACAGATTCCAACCCCTGACCTCTTCGTCCGTTTATGGTGACTCAGTTGCAGTTCCTGTGCCATCAAGACTTTACCATCCTCAAGCTTCTGCCAAGAAACCTTTGTCTGGTATCCGTGTTTCTGTAAGCGACACAATATCGTTGAAAGGAACCTATACAACCTTTTCCAGTCGGGCATGGAAATCTCTCTACAGAAATGCCTCGAGTTCTACAGCTAAATATGCACAAAGTCTCATGGACCAAGGAGCCGTAATCGTTGGAAAAACAAAGACATCGCATCTTGGGACAGGTGCAGAATGGGTTGATCAACAAGCTCCTTGGAGTGCAAGAGGTGATGGGTATCAAAGCACCAAGGGTGGTTCAGTTGGTGCTGCTGCTGCCTCGGTTGGATACCCATGGATTGACTACAGCATTGGCGTTGACGGTAAGTTGGGTCATCGCGAGAAGCCGTCACTGACCGCATACAGATGGTAGAGTGATGTCCGAGGGCGGCATATACTCCTTGAGTCAGCCTGAAAATCTATCAACCGACATAGCTACGGCATCGAAGTGAGAAATGTGATCTACCGCTGAACTTCACTGACCACCCTAGGTTCGACAAAACTCGAATCTTTAGTCGAAGCCTCAAGGGACTCCTCGATTTCACCGCAAATCCGAAGACCGGGACTTCTGAAGCTTCTTCGCCCAGGATAATCGTACCAGACGACTTTTTATCACCCGAAAAGTCACAGAAAACAGCCATAGCGACTTTCGTGTCAATTTTACAAGATCTGTTGGACACGAAAGCCGAGTATATCAATGTTGGCAAGATTTGGGAAGAAAGTCCTCCATCTGAAGCTTCTCGAGAAGGAATGCAAGCATACATGGAAAAGGTTAGTCAACTTCATCAAAAAGACGTCACTGACAATTCAGGCACCTTTCCGGTCATGGTGTTATGATTACTACCATTCCTTTGACACTTTCCGAGATGAATATAAGCATAAGTTTGACAAAAAGCCGTTTATCGAGGCTACGCCGCAATTCTTCTGGTAAGACTATACGTTGCGCAGTTGTTGAACCAGCTGACCTCCCAGGAACGAATGCAAGTCGGTGACAGAGGAGGAAAACCGTCAAGATACAGAACGTGTCGGTGTATACCGGAAATGGTTCTTTGAGAACATTATGCACAATTCTACCCCCAATGCCAAGGGAGACGCAGTCGTGATCCTTCCATGTGGGAATACTCAAGTTGAACATCGGAACGATCCTGTGGCGTATGTACATTTCCCTGCATTGATACCTGGCTGACAGCATATTAGTCCGCCAACCATTTACAAAGGCATCGACTCTACAACACTGGCACCAATATTGGGGGCTTCTGTATTATCGTTTCCATGTAAGTTGAGTGTGTTGGCTTTCAGTAGCTACTAACACAGCCAGTCACCCAAGTACCCTACGAGTCTGACATTTCTGGAGAGACAGAGTACCAGCCAGTCTGCATCTCGGTTCTCGTCAATGGAAATGAAAATTCGACCATCCAATTGATCAAAAAGGCTCTCGAGACAGGGCATATTCCCACCAAAGTCGACGTTGGACGGTTCACGTTTCCAGTCAAGAAGTCGGATCATGTCAGCAATCAGGTACAAGCTCCCTTGTCGGGTCAGAATATATCGGACGAGCTGTAGACCAGAGAAGTGCCCCCCAAAGTCATGCCATGCTGTACTTCCACCACCACTCTGACCTGAATGCAAGGCTGTCGGTAAGAGATCTCCCCACATGAAAACATGCAATAAATTCCCCACGATGCTCGGTGGATACGAGATTGGGGCCCCGGATGATATACCGGTATTTGTGTATCCCGGTACCGGCTTATGCAGGCTCCCATTTGGACATGTACTGTACCTCCTATGAAGCAAATTGGATACATTCACCTCTACTCGATTCTTGTTAGTGATTTGGTGCAAACAACTCCACATCGAAACATAAACCGGGGCTCATCCGGCTCGGAACCGTCATTTGACAAGGGTCGTCGTCAAGCTCACGGGCCGGAGACAGGGGTATCACTGCCGTGGGGGCTGTCGAACCAGACAAGGCGAGTGGAGGTGAGCGTGCGGCTGAGTGTTATCGATCGCTCCACTTACTGAGACACATTGATCTGATCAGGCACACATATCTGACTACCTAACATTTTGGGCAATCTAGTGTACTCTCTCTCATTCTTTGTTTTTGTAAGACCGTCGACCATCAAAATGGCGGAACCAACCAATACACCGGTGCCAGCTTCTACACCGCGAGCTACATCTCCTGCTCCTCAACTCCCCTTCATTTCTCAAGGATCTCTTTCAATACGGTCATCCATGACATCCTCAAAACCGCGGGTTCTTCATATCGGAGACCCTATCATATACAATCCTGACACATATCTCCGCTTCAGCATTCAGTGTGAGGTCATCAGACCGCCAATTGAAGAGCGACAGCGACCAGAGTTCATCAAGGCCCTCAAGGAAAAGAGATGGGGCGATTTTGATGCCATATTTCGTCCATTTTGGGGAACTGGAGGCGAAATGGGGAAATGGGACCAAGAGTTGATCAGTCTGCTGCCACAGAGTGTCAAGGTATTTGCGAGTGCAGGTGCTGGCTTTGACTGGGCTGATACGAAACTGCTGGGAGAACGAGGTAAGTTGACACACTGCCTGCAGGCATTTGCTAACTGACAAGGAATCATCTACTGCAATTCTGGTCTGGCAGCTGCTGAAGCTGTAGCTGACTTTGCCATCGTTGGGATCATTTCAACATTCCGGGTCCTCCCATGGTGTATCTCATCCGCCATGTCCGGCAATGAGGAGGCATTCAAGGAGAATCATCGCGACGCTACAATGCAGTCGTACAATCTTCGCGATCAGGCTCTAGGAATCATTGGGTTTGGGAACATTGGCCAGCAGATTGCTGCTCGTGCCCGACATGGCTTTGGGATGGACATTCATTATTATGATGTGCTTCCCAAGCCTGCTGCTGTCGTTGCTCCTGTACGAGCTACTCACCACGAGACGCTTGAGAGTCTACTTGGTCGATGCGACTGTGTTGTTCTTTGCACACCAGCTGGACAAGGCACTCTGATCGACTCAAAGACTCTGCCACACTTCAAACGTGGATCGCGGTTTGTCAACATTGCACGGGGAAGTCTTGTTAACGAAGATGCACTGGTCGCAGCCCTTCGAGATGGTACACTGTCAAGCGCGGCTCTCGATGTGCACGCAAACGAGCCAAAGATACACCCTGAACTGTTGGAGCTTGCCAAACAGGGCCGTGTGTTGGTGACATGCC